CTAATTCATGTTAAAATCATGCTAGGTACATGCTAATTCATGCTAGAATCATGCTAACTACATGCTAATTCATGCTAGAATCATGCTAGTTAAATGCTAATTCATGCTAGAATCATGCTAGTCAAATGCTAATTCATGCTAGAATCATGCTAACAACATGCTAATTCATGCTAGAATCATGCTAATAATATGCTAATCTATCTATCTATCTATCTATCTATCTATCTATCTATCTATCTATCTATCTATCTATCTATCTATCTATCTATCTATCTATCTATCTTTTCATACTTTTTAAAACTGTTTAAACTAAATAAACTATTACCGTCAGGCTTTCACAAGCCAGCCTCAAAGTTTGTTCTCAAACTTTAAGAATCTAGTTATTCTTCTTCTTCTTTCTTCTGAGACTAATTTTAAAGTCTATCTCCTCCTAACCCTTTCAAGCTTCATACCTCAAACTTTCGTCAAACCTTCAAACTGGTCTGACTCGGGTTGCTATATCTTTTCCGACTGATCCGACTTTCGGTTTTCCGAAAAACGACCCGGAAAATTCCCAAAATTCCCATTGACTTAACATTGGGTCAAACTTTGTGACCTCATAACTCTGCATCAGACGTTCCTACAGACTTCTAACTGGGCTCATTTAACTCAGTCTAGCCAGCAGCCAATAACTGATGACCTTTAAACTTACTAGCCACTCCCTAGCAACCACTTTTGGCACCCTAGCAACTGTCCCATAGACTTCCATTGTAAAAGACTGCCATTGACTTAACATTGAGTCAACCTTTGTGAGCTCATAACTCTGCATCAGACTGTCCTACAGACTAGAGTCAGGCCTCATTCAACTCAGTCTAGTCAGCAGCCAATCACTGATGACCTTTAGACTTACTAGCCACTCCCTAGCAACCACTTATGGCACCCTAGCAACTGTCCCGTAGACTTCCATTCAAAAGACTCTCATTGACTTAACATGGGATCAAACTTTGTGAGCTCATAACTCTGCATCAGACTGTCATAGAGACTAATGGCTGAGCTCAATTAACTCAGTCTAGCCAGCAGCCAATCACTGATGGCCTTTTAACTTTCTAGCCACACCCCTAACTACCACATACTGCACCCTAGCAACTGTCCCGTAGACTTCCATTACAAAAGACTCTCATTGACTTAACATGGGATCAAACTTTGTGACCTCATAACTCTGCATCAGACTGTCATAGAGACTAATGGCTGAGCTCATTTAACTCAGTCTAGCCAGCAGCCAATCACTGATGGCCTTTTAACTTTCTAGCCACACCCCTAACTACCACATACTGCACCCTAGCAACTGTCCTATAGAATGTAGTTAGCTGTGCTATCAAATGCTTACATGCATATCTTTGCATAGCAGTGTCCTATTGACTTGGGGGATGGCTCATCTGACTCAGACAACCAATGAGCATCTCAATATGATAATAAAGCTCACAAGCCACGCCCCCAAATTGATTCCATAGACTTCCATTAAAATAGGCCAAGATGCATATCTTTGCATAGCAGTGTCATAGAGACACGGGGGTTGGTTCATTAGACTAAGACAACCAACCACATTCAAGTTAACTCTGTAACCTCGCCCATAGCAACAAAACAGAGTACCCTAGCAACCATTCATCAACAGCTATATCTCAGCATCAGAACATCGTAGAGACTTGGAGATTGGCTCGTTTGACTCATGCTAGCAAACGAAACTTCCTATATGCTACACATGCTAGCAGTGACTAGCTACATGCTAATATTGACTAGCCAAGTACTGTAACTTGCTAGAAATGCTTACTAAGTATAAATGTTTTATCAAGCATGTATGTGAGGCTTGCCTAGTAACCAACCAGGGTACCCTAGCAACTGCCTAGCAACCACCCAAATTACCCTAGCAACCGCCTAGCAACCACCTAGCAATGGCCTAGTAATGCCTTAGTAAGGGCCTAGCGACCACTCAGGACACCCTAGCAACCGCTTAGCAACCACTCAGAATACCTTAGCAACCACCTAGCAACACCTTAGCAACCACCTAGCAACCACTTGGGACACCTTAGCAACCACCTAGCAACACCTTAGCAACCACCTAGCAACCACTCAGAACACCCTAGCAACTGCCTAGCAACGCCTTAGCAACCACCTAGCAACCACTCAGGACACCCTAGCAACCACCTAGCAACACCTTAGCAACCACCTAGCAACCACTCAGGACACCCTAGCAACCACCTAGCAACGCCTTAGCAACCACTCAGAACACCCTAGCAACCATCTAGCAACCACTTAGGACACCTTAGCAACCACCTAGCAACACCTTAGCAACCACTCAGAACACCCTAGCAACCGCCTAGCAACACCTTAGCAACCACCTAGCAACCACTTAGGACACCCTAGCAACCGCCTAGCAACACCTTAGCAACCACCTAGCAACACCTTAGCAGCCACCTAGCAACCACTCAGGACACCTTAGCAACCACCTAGCAACACCTTAGCAACCACCTAGCAACCACTCAGAACACCCTAGCAACCGCCTAGCAACACCTTAGCAACCACCTAGCAACCACTCAGGACACCTTAGCAACCACCTAGCAACACCTTAGCAACCACCTAGCAACCACTCAGAACACCCTAGCAACCGCCTAGCAACACCCTAGCAACGCCTTAGCAACCACTCAGAATACCCTAGCAACCACCTAGCAACCACTTAGGACACCTTAGCAACCACCTAGCAACACCTTAGCAACCACTCAGAACACCCTAGCAACCGCCTAGCAACACCTTAGCAACCACCTAGCAACCACTCAGAATACCCTAGCGACCACCTTGCAACACCTTAGTAACCACTTAGCAACTAGTCAGAACACCTTAGCAACTGCCTAGCACCACCTTAGCAACCACCTAGCAACCCCTCAAAACACCCTAGCAACCGTCTAGCAACACCCTAGCAACCACCAAGCAAATAGTCAGACCACCTTAGCAACTGCCTTGCACCACCTTAGCAACCACCTAGCAACCACTTAAAACACCCTAGCAACCGCCTAGTAAAATGCTAATTCATGCTAGAATCATGCTAACAACATGCTAATTCATGCTAGAATCATGCTAGTAACATGCTAATTTATGCTAGATGTATGCAAACAACATGCTAATTCATGCTAGAATCATGCTAGTAACATGCTAATTCATGCTAGAATCATGCTAACAACATGCTAATTCATGTAAGAATCATGCTACTAACATGCTAATTCATGCTAGAATTATCCTAGTAGCATGCTAATTCATGCTAGAATCATGCTAGTAACATGCTAATTCATGCTAGAATCACGCTTACAACATGCTAATTCATGCTAGAATCATGCTAGTAACATGCTAATTCATGCTAGAATCATGCTAACAACATGCTAATTCATGTAAGAATCATGCTACTAACATGCTAATTCATGCTAGTAATATGTTAACTCAAGCTAAAATCATACTAACATTCTATTTACACTTTAAAACCACTTCAAACTTTCAGATTCGGCTTTTCAAGCCACCATAAAGTTTGTCCTCAAACTTTACTATCTAGTTTAAATATGTCTTATGATAATACTATGTATAGGCACATTTATACATACAGTTTTAAAACTTTTAGAACAACCGTAAAGCAAAACAGATGTATTTCCCATGTAAAAACTATCCAAAAGGCACGCAGGTCTATGTGTTTTTGCGTATTTATATGTTTATAATATATAGTGTGGATTATAATATAATAAACAGAGAGAATAAATTTTTGTTATGGACATTATTTTTAAAAATAAGCCAGATAAGTTGTCTGTTGCAGGGTGGGGCTGACATTACAGGCCAGCGCCCTGAAGGCAGTGTAGTTCGTTTATAGCCTAATGTTAACTTTTCAGTTCTTGCTATGTATTTAAGATCCAAAAGTGCTCTAAGTTGTGTTTTCGAGTGAGGATTATCCGGCTGAACAAAACATGTAAGTGTAATAAACAGTGTTTGAACACAGAGCTTATTATTTGCAATCTTCGAAAAGCCTATGGTAAAATCCTATAGGGATTTTATCGAGGGAACCAGTTTTATGGTAGCAGCCGATTAGCCTACAAGATGACGTCATAGTTCCTCCACTCTATTGAAAGAAATACATCAATAGAGCCGCCGTTTTAGTACAGGGTAGCGATCCTTTGAAATGAATGTGGGACCAAGGTGCAGTGGAGGACTGGCCATCCAGAGTCAGAGATTTATACACATATATCTATAATAGGGAGTTTTCTCGGTGGTCAGTATGCAATTTTTTTACGGAAATTATCATTTTACATGACTTTTCTATATTGAAGAATGAGTGATAGCACCAGCATTGCCAACAAAGAGCGTGTGTTTGTGTGCATTATGAAAATGTATTATCCACCCTCCTTGTTAATTTTGATCACATGCATTTCCTGATACACACCCCCTCTCCCGCTTTCACTTCTAATGCTAATGAAGAGAGCGATTCGTTTATGACTGAATCTCTGTTATGAACGACTTATTCATTTAGCTGACAATAATATAAGTTTCTGGCACTGCAGCATCATGTTGTCATGTTTCATTTAAATTGTTAGCTGGTTTTATACAACAAAACTAGCATAAGCCTGGTATTTATAGTGCGAGTTAGTGCTACTTTGCTTTATGGTCAGGGCAGTAAGTGACTTTATTATCATCAATACTTGTTTCGCACTAAAGTTTGTAGCATACAAACATTTAAAAAATGAAATCTGCCTTTATGCTTTATTTTCGACACTGTTTTCTACACACTACACAGCGCTACCCCAGCATCTTCACATTGGCTCACTAGTGCGGTTCAATGACATTTGTCCTAAGAGCACTGTCCAAATGTGGCGGCGGTATTGACGCATGCTCATTGTCCGTATGCGATATCTAGTGTATATATCTATGGTGAAATGTGATTCATAATATGAAATGTAATGTCGACTGTTTTATTTGTTTGTTTGTTTTTCTACCGTTTTCCCCAGTCCACACTGCTTCTGTAGGTTGGTAAAGACATCCTGAGCGCTGAAGGGTCTGTTTTTCTCATTCAAGTAAGCGAGGATCTGTGCGACTGCTGTGTGTGAGACAAAACATTCTCCTTTAGACCTGACGTTTACAAACTAAAAAAGGTTCACTCGCAAAGGTTTAGTAATCATCACCTACCCGCACTGTCTTTTTTGCTCATCGTTTATTCTGTCAGGATATGTCAATGATCTGAACACTTCTGTCGTCTAATGTACCTCAGTGTTCTTCTTCCTCTTGGATTATTTACTTCAGTCAGCTCAGCTTTCGCGCGCCGAGTTGAATTGTGGGTCTGCTGGTGACGACGCTACGCACGCCATCATTTTGAACACACCGCCGTTTGTGTTTAGTTTTCTGGAGATAAAAGTATCTTTTAAACAAGTTCATAAATCCTATCCGGTTAAGCATTTCTCGGTACATTTACAAATGAAATTGCTCTTTTTACTCTCTGCATTTGGAAACAGTACCCCACATCATTTGGTACTGTGGTTAAGTTAAAAAGCTTTGATTTATATGATGCTACTGTCTTTTTTAAGATAAGTTACTCTTTAATTTTAATTTGCATAATGAAAACGTAATTTTTGGATATTTTAATAATGATAAATTGAAAAGCAAAGTTTTTGTTATTAACCTTTTTATTTTGTTGATTATTTTTCATACTCAAAAGTGTAAAATTTCCATCAAAAAACTCTGTGTGTGTGTGTATATATTTATATATATATATATATATATATATATATATATATATATATATATATATAAACTTTGTTGTTGGAAACTATATTTTTATATATTCAAAGTTTACTTTTGCATGCTAAAAGTACTTGAGTAAGAGACGTTTTACTTGATTTGGGTCATTAAAAAAGTCAGACTACCAATATTATGATATAGGTAGCCTATACCTGCTGTAGACAACCTAAAACATACAGTAGTTTGACATAAAACCAAAACAATACCCATTCTTGTTTTAAGACATTTTATTAAGCAAAGTTTTGAATAACAGTAAGTTCATGATGTTAATTATATAGTATAGTCTGCTGGTTATAAGCATACAGAATAATAATAAATACAGTTATTTAACAACTATAACATTACCGTTATATCGTAGGATATTTTTGTTAAACTTTTTATTACCTACACTAAATGTTGACTAATGAAGCATCATTTATAACAACTATTTATTTGTTAGACTACTTTATTGTCAAACCATGTTGCATACAAATGCATTCAACAGTCTTATATGACAGTGTAGTATTGCTCTAGAAGACAAATAAAACACGAGACAGGTGTTTAGAAAGAGTATAGTTTATTTTGTTTGACCTGCAAACTTATCTAAACAAGATAAACTTTCAGAAAACAGCACTGAAACATAATGCGCGCGTTCACGAATATAACCTACGGGTGTCTTCAACGGTTGTCTTCAACAGTCCTTTGCTCAACAACTCAGCTGAAAAACAAAGCAAAACATTACAACAGTCAGACATAGAGCAAACAGCATAAAATCACCAAGAGGCGACACTCTAGTGCAATTTGGGAAACAGACACTAGATGGCGGGGTGGACATTTTATCAACACTCAACACTTCCGATAGTAAGTGTTGTATTGTCGTCTTTCAGGTTGTATCTCAACTTTAACACGCTCTTTGAATAAATTAATTAAAAACAAAGCAGCTGCTTGCCATCGCGACAGCAATGAGATCCAATGGACAGTCGATCTGGGCGCTGCTGTTGCAATGGAACGTTCTATTGAGTGTCGCCTCCTGGTCATTCTAAGCTCTTTGCATAAAGTTAAATCATAACAGTTACCATGGTTTCTATTTTAAACTATAGTAAACTAAAGTTTGAAACTATAGTTTAAAATAGACTATGAGTGGGCCTCGCTGCTCCCACCCACCATAACCCTTGCAGCAAGGTCCCACTATCGGCCTACCGTGTTTCCCTGAGGGTCCTCAGGGCTTGTTTGTTCCCTGCCTAGGGCTCAAAAGCGCCTCGCCCCATGGAGTGCACGAGAAAACCATACGCCAGGCCATGCCAGTGTTCACTGCATGTTGCTCAGCGGCACATTTCGAGCAACAAACACGTAATGTTCTTCGCGATATTGCATTTATGTACGCAAACCGCAAGGAACTACAGCACAGATGGGCCCGAGTAAAGCTTCACGAAGCGGAATTTGTGAGATTGGCGTGGCTCCACTCATACTGTCAGTATTGAACTAACCTTGGTCAAGTACAAACAGCAACACAGAGTGAACTGACAACTCTGAGAGAGAACCGAGGAGCTTTATAGGAATGCATATGCAAATTTTTACAAGACACGTCACTGCTGTGAGTCTCGTTGTCATGGTGTGCGCTGAAGAGGGCTCACCTCATTGGAGCATACAAACTCGGGAATCTGCGTCACGGCGAGCTGCGTTTTGCTGAGGACAAAAAACATATTAAATATATTCAATATATATTTTTACATTTTTGGATCTGCTGTGTAATATTCTGCGATGCAGTAGAATATGGAGACAGATGAATAAAATGGGGTTTATGCCGAGCTAGTGTTGTTCCCATACTTATAAACTTCCGGTGACCTGTTATTGTGAGTTTTCTTTTTTTTTTCATTTTATACGGTTCCTTTTACAGCATCGATGTTGTAATGTAATTAAAATACATTCAGTTAAATAAACTTTGGCATTCATTTAGTTGTTCAAGCGTAAAACGAGACAAAAGGCCCTTTACTCGCACTCGCCCGTCAGAATCTGCAGGCAGCTCCATTGAATATACTGAGGTAAAATAAATACTCATATTATAAAGACATGGGTAGGGAAAAATGTAATTTAATGAAGTGCTTCTTGTACAATCTGAGACCCGGATATAGTGAAGATCGCTGATTTTTAAAGAAAACAGACCTTAAACGCGCAGATTTTTCCATTGGCAAACTTTTTGGTGCGTTACAGCCACCTCTGGTGAAACTTGCTTGATGAAAAGATGACTGAGGGAGAGTAGTTGTTTCTGAAGCAGGATTCCTCGTGACCACACCTCGAAAAATACATGTTAAGATGCAATAACTTAACTTCTGATACTGTGCTCAAAAAATATAAATACTTTAGTATATATAACACTATAATGCTTATGAATATATATATATATATATATATATATAATTTATTTATTTATTTTATCATCAAAAATGTTATCAATAATATCCCTTTACTATAAATGATTATAGTATTTTAAATATGTAACACCTGGTTTTATTTTTTATTTTTTTGTTTTAGCTGTTATATACTATAATGTGTTTTTGTTTAGTACAGCATATTATTTACAGTAAATAATTGAACTGAACTATTATGCCTCATATGTTTCATTGACAGTTTTATTGATCACTAAGATATGATTGACTTGGATTTAAGTTTCTTCGATTTAAAAATTAAAATTGTAAAAATAGCTTAGATGTAGTTAAGCTACTTTTGCCATGTAGCTTTTAGCTTAGCTTGCTATGGGTATGCTTGCTTTTCAGGGGGTAGCTTTAATATAGTTAAGCTACATATTAAGTAGAGTTGCTTAGCTCACTACATTTGTCAAGTAGCTTGCTCAACACTGGGAACTGAAAAATTACTTTTGTATTATTCTGCATAGTGCTAATGGAAAGGCCATTAAAACTGTGCATTTGTGCTCTTGTTTCAAAATTTTTGACTAATGTAAAGGTCCTGCTTATTAGTAATGGTAAGAAATGTATTTAATTATCTATATTCTTGTTTTTTGTGTTTATTAATTTTTTTGTACTGTTATTATTATTATTTACCCTCCATCACCCTGGCATTATTATTTGCTATATTGTCATGTACGTGTTGTTTAAAGCATAATAAAAACATAACACTACAATTTCTGTTTAAAAATATTATGTTTGTACATTACTCTGTATATACCTCCCAAAGATGTACATCTCTCTGGACCAAAGTGTTACTAAGAGCATGGTTATTTCCTGAAAAGTTCAGCATATCCAACAAAATAAGAGAAATACATTTAAAGATTTTGCATAATATTCTACAAATTGCTAATTATTTAATATCTGTGTACTTTCTGCAATATATATGAAACTTTATTTCACTTATTCTAGTTGCACTCACGTTAAACTTCTTTGGAACAACATTAGTTTTATTTATCATCCTTATTTAAATATGATTTAAATTTGTCTATAAAATATATATTTCTGTATTTTTCTGATAATGATCATGCTTTCGATCTTATTGTTAATTTTTTGTACACAAAAATAAGTTCCTAAAGGCAATAACTAGATTTAATACTTGTTGAAATTTCGTTCAATACAGAATCTCTTAAGCTTATTAATAATAATAATAATAATGTTTCTTAAAGCTTATGATGCTGTGATGTTATTTTTATTGTATTCAATAAAAAAATAAAAGTGTGTATTTGTCAATAATTCTGTGTTTTATACAAAAAAAAAAAAAAAAATAAAATCCAAAGATTCTGGAATTAAAACATCACTCAGATAAGTTTATGCACTAAAACTCTGATACTGAAAACACACTTGTCACTGTACACTACAGACTAAAAAATAATTAAAAAGTGAGCATATAATTTAAAATATAGCTTTTCAAGACTTCTTTAAGAACAACTCTAAGAATTGTTGTTAAATTATCCTATTATCTCAATTAATTTGATTTGGACAATTATTGTTTCTAATTAGAAAAAACAAAAACAAATATTTGCTATAAAACCAAAGTAGCTGTTCATAAATAAACCACTGGACAATCCTGTTTTCTGTGGGCATGCTATTAACATAGCTCTTTATGTGATTTTCTAGAAAATAATTAAATATTAACTATAAATTTGCTAAATTTGGCATACTGACACTGTAATCCTAAAATTGATATAAATATGTCTGTAAATATGGCACATTTTTATTTTATTAAAAAAATGCTCTAAATGAAAGCATCTTTATTAGAATATTGCAAGATATACAACATTACCAATACAAGCTATTAAAATAAGTTATTAAAATAATAAATAACTTATTAAAATAATTAAATAATAATGTAAAATAATACAATTTTACTGAAAAAGATCACATTTCTCAATTCAAGAGTTTGTTCATTCATCAGTTTATTGTCTTGCACATCAAAAAGTTATCAAAAACTAATTACAGAGAATGGGAAGTAAAGGGAAATACTTGTTTACAGAAATAAAAATCACTGACACTGCAGAATCCAGCTACAGAAAGACTCCTGGAAATAAAAACGCTCACACGAAGAAAGATGAGTGATTCTGTATTTTGCATTTGCCTCAACATGACTTCAAACTGATTTCAATTTAAATCACTAACACCAATACAACACCAATAGATGACGCTGGACATTATTTCCATTCCTTTAAACCAGAAATCCACTGTTCCGTTTAAATTGCTGGTGACTTCTGTTTGAATTGAACACGAAAAGATGAATAGTCGAGGTAAATGTCCAGAGAATTTTCCCATTGGATGGTAATTACACTGACACACTTCATTAGAATGACAAAATATTTCCATGCATTTTATTCAGAAGACAAATCAATGAATCAATTTTTCAACCCAAATATTTTCTGAATTGCTTTTGTTAACAATTAAACGTGTCTGTATGAATTATAATGATAAATAAACTAAATTAAAAAGGAAAAAAATAGGCTTTGGAATCTAAAAATAACTATGTGTTATGCTTCATCCATTTCAGCAATCCAGAAAAACAAAACTATCCCACACGTCACATATAACACATAAATTACCTTGAAAAATAAATCCACAGCAATCAAAAAAAAAAAAAAAAAAATCTAAATAAATCAGCAGCAATTCAAAACCTTAGGGCTCACAATTAAGCAAAACAAAACAAAAAAGAAAAAAGGGTTTGAGTAAATCACAGCAACACTCTAAACTGATTTTAAACTACGTCAAGTTGGCTGGATAAAATAAGACTTGGATTTGAAATGTAATAAACTGGAACAGCAGGAAGTGACAGACTGCGAATACAGAGATAAAAAAAGACAAGCTGTTTCCTCAATGCTTCATTACTTTAAATTAAAATGAGGAAACCAAACTGCTTGCTTGGAAAATAAAACAAGAAACCTTTATTTGACTGATCTCTGATAACAGAATGCCTTTTCATTGCTGTGATCCTGCTTTACAGCATATACGCAATAATGAAATCTAAAAGCCAGCAAAGATATCTATATAATCAGCATCGCCAGAGAAACAGAAACCTGGCAAAAGTGCAAAGCTGAAAGAAAAATGGGTCAGCATGTACTAAAAAAACAGCAAATAAAACAGCAAATTCCACTCATTTCTTTCCAACAGCTCCATCACACTAGAAAGGATGAAGTTAAATCCTTTGTGTCTTAGTACTGTACTTAATGCTCCGAATCTCATATCAGACCAGGATGCAGAGGATATAGTTTGACCTGTATATATAAAAAAGTTCCTGTGTAAAGTCCTAACAGTTAAAGGTGTGTTTGACTAAAGGCTGTGTATGAACAGGTGGCAGTTATAGCCCAATGTCTTGTTTGAGGTAGAGTCATTACAAACAAAATTAATGTACTGCCTTAATATCCAGATGAACAGCATTGCTGAGCTGTTAAACAAGCTGGCCATGTTTCATATTTATTTAGACTGACTGATAGATGAACAGATAAAAAAAAAAAACAGCAATCTGAAGGAAAATATAGTGAAAAATCTGCCTTACTTTTTACTAGAGAAATCTTGTTTTAGAAAATCTTTGCTACCATTGATCCTGACTCTTGGTTTTCAAGTAATGAAGAAAGAAATCCAGCCCCATATGAACATACATGTAAATGTCACTGTGGAAGAAATGCTACATGAGCTAAAATGACAAAAAAAAAGCTATTGTAGAGTTGAAGCAAAATGACCAGGCAATGAACATATTTATATATTTAAGATAGTATTTCTGATTTTCGAAATATGTCTTTTCTTTGCTATATGATTGAATTGATTAAGAATGTTAGCATGGAAAGAAGCAAAAAAAAAAAAAAAAGGATGAGGAAAGGTTAGGTGCAAATATACGGTAAAGTGAAGAACTGACTGTTGTTTATTATTTAGTGACCATAGGAAAACTCTTTAAGGGTCAGTTCACAAATAAAAACAAAATCACTAATTAACTATGAATTTTTTGACCGTATGACTTTTGTTCTGTGAAACATGAAGAAATTTGATTCATGTTGCTAAAATAGCAGTTTTGATCTACTGATATCCAATAAATTGTCTAAAACGATTGAAAAAAAAAAAACAATTTCTCAAAACCTCCGTTTTTATGCTCCACAGAAAAAAAGAACGTTTGAAAAAAGTATATGAGGGTAAGTAAATTATTTATTAACATGAGATGAGGCTGCAGTTTAAATACGTGACCATTACTTCAGATGTCTTTGCTCAGCAATGTCTTGACTATAGATTTCACGAGATCTTCAGCGACTTCATATTTGTACACATGGTCAGCACTGATGGTGGAATGTCTGATTTGGTCCCTTGTGTTATTATAGAAGACACAAACAACACAGTCAGTATGAAAAAGAAAGATGTGAAAACTTTATAAGATGTGTAGGTAAATTTGCTGGTTTAGAAGAAGGTAAAGGTATAGTTCACTCAAAAATGAAAATTGGCTTTTAATTTACTCACGCTTATAGGCCACACAAGATGTTGATAGATCTTATTTTTCTCTTTAAAGGACTTTTTAGCTGAACTGTGCTCTTTGGCAAGTCAGAAAATTCAAATCAATTGCTGTCAGTACTTTGACAGTCAAAAACACATATACAGGCAAAACTGAATTAATACTCATGGCTTCTGATAATACATTGAGGTCTAATAAAGAGAAATGATTGGTCTGTCTGTCCAGGAAATATAATGAAGAACATTTATTATTACCTTTAAAACAGCTTCTGAGTGCATTCACAAAATCTGGAGCTTCTGGTTACACGATTGATTCACTTCACAAAACCTCAATGTACCGCCAAAAGTCACAACTATCAATTTCTTTTAATTATTATTCCTATTAAATATTGAACTATTCATTTTTTTATTTTGCTAGGAAAATCACTTCAGCTAAAAATTGTTACTGTTATATTGAAGAAAAGAAAAATTCACATACATCATGAGAGTGAATTAACAGCAAACTTTCATTTTTGAGTGACCAATCCTAATAAAGGGATAGTTCACTTAAAAATAAAAAAAAATTCTCATCATTTGATCCCCCTCAGGTGGTTCAAAAAATTTGAAATATTGTTCGTCTGTTGAATGTTGGAAACTGGTAGCTATCGACTTCCAGAGTAGGAAAAACAAATACTATGGCAGTCTATGGCTGCTGCTTACCAACATTCTCCAGAAGATTTGTGTGTACACAAACTAAGAAAAAAACTCAAAAGTTTGGAACAACTGGAGGATGAGTAAAGAACTACAGAATTTTCATTTTTGCGTGAACTATCCCTTTAAAGCAGGGGTGTCAACCTTAGTTCCTGGGAGGCTGCAGTCCTTCACAGTTTATTCCAACTCAACTCCTACATACTTACCTGCAGGTTTCAAACAAGCCTAAAGAAATCAATTAGTTTGACCAGGTGTGTTTAAGTAGGGTTGGAACTAAACTGTGCAGAGCTGCGGCCCCCCAGGGACTGAGTTTGACACCTTTGCTTTAAAGAGATCCCAGATGTTTCAATGATTGTTGTCCTATTGCTTAGCCTACAAAGTAAATCGGAGTCTTTCGCACCCGAGTTTCTCACACACACCCAAAAACGAAACGAAAAAGGACACGGAAGCTCACGGAGCATATCTGACGAAGAGTCTGACTACAAAGAAGATTAATTCACAGTGATATCAACTATAGCCAGGGGAGAAATCCTGGCAAGTGATACTAATTACTCATTAACAGTGCAAAACAAACACGCTTCTTCTCCGTCTCCCTCAGTCAGAAAAAAAATAATTAAAAGCATCATCTCAGTAGACATTCAAACCAACACTGCAAACTTCTATTCAGATCAAGGTGCGAGGAACACAAAGAACAGACAGACGGAGGAAAGCATCCCCAAAACTTCGCTCACTGTGGCTTCCCCAGAAAGTTGGACAGGAAGCTGGATCCCTGGGTTCGGTTTTGACCGCCTTGACCACCTCCGAATGGATCCAACTGGTTGAGCTCTGACTGATCTAGCATCTCAAAGTCTTCTCCGTCATAGTCCAGGTCTGTGTCCAGCTCAGAGCTCGACTGCTTTCTGAATCCCCTCGGAGCGGCTCCAGCCCGGGGGCCGCTTTCTCTCCGAGGGCCTTGCGGTGGACGGGGCTGCATGGCTCCCGCAATGGCTGCCTGGATCATGTTGCTGGCGATGACCCCTGCCAGGTTGCTAGTGAGGTCAGAGGTAGTATTTAGGGAACCGAGGGAGAGTTCGAGGTCTTCCTGGTCCGAGTCCATCTCGGTGTTCAGGTCCAGCAAGGCAGAGGTAGAGCCACGGTGGCCTGACGGTGCAGCGGAGTTAAGACTGGGCAGCCCTATGCTGGCATCATCGTCATCCTCCATCAGTGTGGCATCTGGGTTTATGGAGGGAAAGTCTGGGAGCCCACAGGCAAATGATTCTTCCGGATCGCTATGTCTATCGAGATCTATTAATTGAATAAATAGTGATTATTACAATGAATTGAACAAACAGTGGTTATTATAACAAGATATGCTGGTCAGTCACTCCTTTTTGGCCTATTAATTAGTTCAAAATATACCCTAGTTTTAATAGTTTGAGTACAGGTAGAATTTAAAAATTTGTTTTTTGAAAAACTGCTCAACAATGCATTTAAAGTATAAAAAACTTATAAAAATGTAAAGTAATATAAAAATTCAAGTAATATTGTTAAAACACATACTGGAATAGTGATAAATAAGGAACTAAGCTGAAGAAAAAAAGAATGAATGAATATTGTGAAATGTAATATTGCAATTTAAAATAAGCAATTTAAAGTGGTAAAATAAGCTATTTAAGTTTTCTACATAGAAGCATTTTTATTTTTGTAAAAATGTAAATATCTTTGTCATCTTATTCTTGTTATTTATTAATAATTTCTTTACAATTACTTGGTTAGGATGTTTTTAATTTATGAATAAACACATTTTCATTGATTTAGCTTTTTAGGTGCCATTTATGAATTAATTTTTGAAATTATTATGTTTTTTTTTATTATATTAACCCAACATAAAATGCACAGACCACTTTTTTCCACTCTTTTCTTCATTATACAAGTAATAATGTAGAATCCTACAATCCAAGCATTTTAAATCTGGGATTAATGGCCTGTTTCAACTGAGTGGTACGGTATGGGTCACCTTTATCACGCTTGCATTTCCACTACCCAAAGGGTACCAGTGGTGTACGACAAAAAGTTTCAGTCGATGCCCTTCTTGCTCAAGGAAATGTCACAGAAATTTAATGCTTTATACATATACATACTTGTGTATAAATGTTCATAACTAACCTTTCTATGAAAATATTCTTATTATAACTGCAGATCAGTGATAGTCTACTGTAACGTCTGCAATTACAGTATATAAAATAAATAAATAAATAAACATATGAACACATAGAGACCCTCACAGTCTCCGATATGTTATTATTACATTTTACAGAAAAACTACAAACAGCATTCATTTAGTCCTTATTTGGGTTCAAAAACAACACGCAACATTTAGCCCACAGTTCGTGCAAACCTCTCATCTGTATTTTTTTTCTTGACCAGCACATGTAACCTCTTGTTAGAAAGTAATTCTGAGTTACTAATAGTCCAAAAGATGATAATAATAGTTAAACATGAAAGTTTGTTTATGTTTTACGTTGCTGAAAGAATCATTTGGTTCTTTGTTTTTTTGCGCATCACTCTCGCATTTGTCGATTTCTGAAAGGATCGGGTGTCAGAAGCGCTTCAATAATCACGTGCACATTATTATCATCAGCTCAAGAAGTTCGTTATTTCAAATGTAGACGTGCAGCGAGCTCTCTGAAGAAAGTGAAACCACTTGCGCTTTTAGGTGGCCTCGTAAAACAACAACAGGACACGGCAGATTTAATTCTTCTTGGCTTTGTGGCTGTTCATCAAGATGACGACAAGGTCTGTTTGAGCTCGGGTCGACCATGGCTCGTTATTATACAAATATAATATTATGATGTAATCTTTCTGCTGTGTATTTAAAAATGGCTATTAATTTTTTTCTTTCTCCTGGCTTGTGCGCGCTAGTGATGCTTCTCTGTAAATCAATAGCGTTCAGCTGCGCGTCTAGCTCTGCCTTTTGGTAACTTTCTTTCATGCTAGGAACCCAAAATGTAGTAAGTTGGTGTTGTATGCAGGCACAGTTTGCTTTTTGGTACCTTTTGACAGCGGAAGCAGCCATAAAAGCGTACCAACCCATACCATAGCGTACCACTCAGTGGAAACGGGCCATAAAAAGACTTTATTGAGTCTTACCCTCTGAGCCTTCTGTGAGTGGTGTTTGACCCCTGGAGAGATTAAAGGTGCCGTTATCCATGTATGAAATCTCTGCATCGGAGTGCTCAGAGTCAGTCAGTGCTAGTTCCTTAGCCACCACTGCTTCATCAAACTATAGGTGCAAAACATTCAAGTGAGTTCATTAAAGTGAAAGTGCGGGTAAGTCAAAAGTGAGTTGCTTTTTACTATCATAAGCTCCTACAGATCTTCAAAACTTATGATCATGCAACTGCTGTAAATCCATGTTATAAATAAAATCTGTTTCTGGACTCACCGTTGGGCAGAATGCTGCCAGTTCCTCTTCACTGTCACTAACATCATCAGAATTCCCGCTCCTGATCGGCTTACGAAGAACTACAAACACAGAGAAGTCAACAGTAGTTCTGTAAATGGGCTCTTCATTCTAATATAAAATACAACAAACATTCAACAGAGCTGCTAAATTCTGGATAAATTGACAATGGCATTATTATTTTTTTAAATAGAGATTATAATTCTTTTGATTCTTCTATGACTCTGAATGGATAATTGAAGTTTTTCGTAAAGTCTAAATTATGCAGGTTTTTCGTTTAATTAAATGAAGTTATTACTATTTAAAATATGAACAAATGATTAAATGACATACTCATACACACTTGATTAATTACTGGATGAATATACTAAATAAATTATTCAATGGTAATTCAATGTCTTTTTAACAATTGCCTTCTAGCATTAAATTACTTAATTAAACTACATAGGTTTTTATCGTCGTCCATTTATACTTCTGCAAGCTGAAACGCTAGTTTGCAGTATGTTCTTTTATGTTCCACTGTTGAGTTTTTTTTATTTTTTGTTTAACCTTCAAATAACAAACTCTCTTTGTCGAGTTTCTTTGTGGATGTTTTGTTTTTTTCTGAACGCTACCTTAAATGTACAAGTAGCTCAAGCTTGCTCATTCAAAGGCAGGACCCGGTAAACGTGCAAAAACTTTAATTATAAGGTAAACACAAAACAGAAGTTTCCATCTGGAGATCCTTCACGAGACTCAACGCTTTTAAATACTTGCTCCATCGGGCTTGTCACCGGTAACAAACCTACCAATCAGAGCTTGCACTACATGTTGTTGGGACGTCCAGGTAAATTTTTTAGAGGTGTGCATCAGCGTCTGCGGCAGCCAGGGCAATGGCTGGGCGACTGCACGAAGGCTGCACCGGAGCATACATGTGTTAGGCGACCCCTGATGGATAAAGGTACTAAGCCGGAGGAAAAAATGAATGAATAAATAAAAGAAAGCAACTAGTGTACCTAACTTAACTCCATGTTAATATAAATTTCCTCACCATTTACTAACTCTCAAGTGGTTCTAAACTTTTATGAGTTTGTTTATTCTGTTGAAAACAAAAAAAGATATTCTTGAGAATGTAAAAAAAGCTGCAATTGATATCAATAGTAAGAAAAAAAATCTATGGAAATCAATTGCTGTATATGTTATTCCAAATATTCTTTATAACATCTCTCTTAGTGGTCAACAAAAAAAAACTCAAACAGGTTGGGATCAAGTGAAGGATAAGTAAATGATGACAGAATTATCACTTTTGGGTCAATTATCATTATAGTTATCATTATTTCATTTGTAAAAAAAAACTGTCCTTAGCTATGGCCTTCAAACACACAGTATTTATTTACTGTCTGTTCCTAAAGTGCGGACTGAGATGGGAAAAATAAATATATAAAAAAATATAATCTCAGGACTTTTTTACTGTATACTGATCAGAGAACCAATCACACAGCAGATGTGTGCAACAATGGAAACCTAAAATTGTGTTGATATTAGAGATGCATCAAATTTTCAGCCACTGAAAATGTATCTATTTTTTGGATCATTTAATAGATGCTCTAACTTTTGTGGCTTCAGTCGTTGGGGTACTCTTTTAAATCTGGAAGCTTTAACAAGTTAATATATATTGCTATTGTTCAATTTGGAAAAAAATAATCAAGATTTAGATTTTTTTGCATTTTTGCCATATCGCCCAGCCCTATAATCTACAAACAAATTGCAGATTAAAGAATTGATTTCACTAAATGCTTTTAAAAAGAGTTTTTGTAAATGTGTGATTCATGTTAACTGTTAATTGTTTTTTGTTTGTTTCTGTTAGAACCATGTGACATGGATACTGCCTAATCTTGGCCATGACACTCTTGTAAAAGAGATTTTTAATATCAATGTGTCCTTCCAGGTAAAATAAAGATTATAATAATAATATAATAATAATAATAAAAGTTCTTAAAGTGCAACCAAATCTGAAATATCATCAGTTTTATGAATATTTTATGGATTTATATATACACACAATATACTCACACTGGTTGTCTAGAGGCTTTGACATCATGTATCCTTTGGCACTGAAATCCAGCCACTGCAGGGCTGGCTCCAGCTTCACACACACACGCTGCCATAGCCGATAATACAACGCCAGTGGGCACAGCAACACACCCAGCACTAAATAATAAATCAGAAAAGAATAAATATTTAGCAGTATTTAAGGCACTGGAGATGATGAGTAAGCCCAGAAAAATTTCTGCTACTCACAAGCCGCATATGAAAGCACAAGTCCAGGGATGTAGCGCCCCACCATGGCCACTAAGGTGAACAGGCCACAAACCAGCACGCAAAACTGCAAAACAAGTTTCAGGATTTTGCATGAAAATTAATCAAAGGTTTTGAATGCAATAAAATATTTTCGTATCTTATAAACAATGACTGCATCTGAAAGATCGGAGCAAGAAAGATATCAAGGCATGTCCAAATCCAAATGAATTGTGGTAGGTCACTTTGCATATTGCTTCCTTTTTAACTGGGTCATTTCCTAGCCATAATATTCCTCAAACTACAAACTATTTTCTGCACAAGAATACATGATAGATAAAAAACACTATGCAAATGTAACAACATTGACTTCTCCAGTGTAAAACTAATGTACCAGTGTATTTGGTAGTAATCTCACCTTCCCTGGATTGTGCCGTTTGAACTGCACAATATTTGTAGCACAGGTAGACCCTGTAACCCAAATTTCAGCCAGATGGTGGCATAATTCAGGTACACTCAACGTCCCAGGCTGCACCAGACCCCAGCTATGAGCCATTAAGAACAGAACAGAAATATAATAATTAAACCATTATGTCTATCAAAATGACTGAAAGAGCATTCAAATACACGACACATTACCTTTCATTCTCACTCTCATCTTGTTTTTTAACTGTAAAAGACCAAAAACAAACAATGTCAGGCACATTTGTAAAAGTTAATTGCTGCAAGCTTTCTAAAAATATTTTAAAATCCACCATTACGCATATTTAAAAGTCCTCATTTTAAATTAAAGGTTAAAAATAAAACCCATATGATTTTTTTTCAGATTGTACAATGCAGCATTATCTCTTATTACCAGAGTATGTCTTTTATTAAAGTGTTTGAGAGATATATTTAAAACAGCACATTACAGAGACAAGGACAACTAAAATAAAAACAATTTACTGGCGCAAGGCTGAACTTTTGTATTTCAGCCTCCAGTGCACCATCAGACAGAGCTTTTGTTATTTGTGGTCACACACTCGAGCACAAATATACATATAAAACAAACTGTTTTACAAGGGAAGCATCAAATGGTGAATCACCGTCCATATGCTGCAATTTTTCAAAGTAGAAGTGTTTCTGCAATTGAGCACAATGCTTGCATCACGGTTTCAGCACATCATCACTATACAGGCCACTGTCTGTACTCTACAGAGTCATCACAAGCCCCTGCTGACAACTGACCAATTGAGAGACCTCTCAAGCTGTCTTAGGCCCTATTTACAATAATACATTTTCGTTTAAAATAAAATTAAAAACGTTTTGCTACGGTTATGCCTTACATCCACACTATCCTGGAGTTTTCGAGTGCCAAAAACAAAGCATTTTGGAAACGCTGAAGAGGCTGTTTTCATTTTAAAATGCTGCTGCTCCGTGTCAGTGTGGATGGGGGAAAACAAAGACAACTGAAAACAGAGGCGGGGCTGCAGACATTCTGATTGTTATTTTATATGTTTTGTTATAATATAACGCCATTTACATCACCCTGGCTACTTTGCTTTACTATCTTAACAATAAAATTACAACAAGTTTAAACATTAGGAAATAAAGACAAGCATTCAGTCAAATGTGCAGAATCAGTGTACATGGTTAAATAAATTAATACATTAACTTATCTTTGCGCTCAGCCAAAACACATTACCTGAGAACAAGTAATAGATTCAAAAGACCAAAGTCAGGGAATATGTCATTAGATGTAGACAACAAGATGAATTAAATATCACATATATCAAATATAGTAAGATTAGATCCAGCGGTAGATTCTCCATCTGACCTGGGGTTTTGTGCTCAAAGCACCTGCTGACTGTCTGGAGCTCAGATGCGCACATATGTGCAGCGCATGCCAGTATGTGTGTGTGTGATCATGAGATGTGTGCTTTCACTGGTGTTGTGTGGATGGAGAGCAGTTCAGAAATGGTAGATGAAATGCCAGTGTAAAAAGTGGATCGTTTTCATTTTAAAACCTCATTTTAAAACTAAAACGTATTAGTGTAAACAGGGCCTTAAATAACTGGGAGAACAAGAGTGATTCTTAGCTTTAAGATTCTTGAGAACTTACTACTTAACTAGTTTAAAAGTAGGAGTAAATTTCATGAATTCTCTGAACTAAAAACTAAAATGGCTTTTTGGGAAGCTTGGTAAATATGGGACATGTTCTCTCTAAACAGCTTTTTGGGAACCTGCTCTGTTCTGATTGGTCAGCAGGCCCACCATTGTAATTGGTCTACCTTAGAAATAATATATGTAGTTTCAAAACAAATCATTCATCACCGGATTTCCTCAGCAGGTTTTGAAACACAGTGAAACAAAGGGATGTGAGATTTGGGGAAACTATCTAATTGCAGTATTTTTTGACTGATATTTCGATAGCGATTTGACTTACAATTTAATTTTGTAGTTAAGGTTCAGCTCAACAATCTGTAAGCCTTGGCAACAATTCTGCGACAGCTCTTAAAAAATACCTGCTTTTGTTCGGTGTCTGTGACTTTGAAACCAAAATATTTCCATAATACAAATGCTCTTTTTTAGTACTAATTTGTTTATTAATGCATCTGAAGCAGCAGACACCATAATCCTACTTGTCAGCGTTTTCCTGTTTGTTTTCTTTTTTTATTGTGGGTGTAGTTCGGTTGCGCAATTCTGATTGGGCAGAACGAAAGTGTGCTCACTCAATTGGCTAGTAAGGCTGTCACACACAGGCGGTGATCTGTCGATTTGTCCTACCATTAGGGGTGTAACGATACACTCAGCTCACGATACGATGTGTATCACGATATTTGGAATAAAAATTGAAAATTAAACTGAAATGCAATGCAACTGAAAAGTAAACTATTTTTTATGTATTTCTTTTGTTTCAACTTGTTAAACTGAACCTTCTTTAAGAAAATAAATTAAACAGGCCTGTCTCTGGAAAATAAAACAATTTAAAAACTTCTTAAAAATTTTATTGAAATGACAGTGACAAAATTAAGGAACAATTTAAGGTGCAAAAAAAAAAAAAGCTTTCTATTCAATTGAATTTAACAGTAAGAGCTTAAGGCTTTGCTTGGTCACTTGCGTTTTTTGTGTGCGCAAAAAAAAATCCACATTTCGAGGTATTTAATTCATATTTAATTAAATTCATTTAGAGATATCTCTAATTACAATTGTGACTAGTCAAAACTCAAAATTTAGAGATATCTGCAAATATTTTTTAATGGAAGTCAATTGAGGAATATGACTAGTCATAATATATTTGCAGATATCTCTAATCTGATTTCGTACTAGTACAATTGTAATTGCAGATATCTCTAATTGTCATTCTGACTAGTCAAAATATAATTAGAGATATCTCTAAATATGGATAGTCAGAACAAAGGTTTAAATGCTAAAACGGCTTGCCATACGCGCGCGTCTATCATAGTCCGCCCTCTGTAGTAACAGCTCACGTCATGTGTGATTTTGCGGCGGGAACATTATATGAAGACGGAATGATATTTTAGGGTGAATTGTACCTTATAAATACAGTATGTGACTCTTTCAACACCATTAGGAGGTATCCCTGTCGCTGTGCAAAGTATGCAAATCACTGTAAAGACTTTAAAACTTAGGATGTTTGACCCAGTATGCGTGTCAAAAAGCGGACGAGTCTAAAGCAATGACTGTACAACCGAAATGTTGCCAGACGTCTGATTCTGAGAAGATGGGCCATCCTCTATTTCAGCTCCACTCATCTTGGTCTGCTAACATTACTGCTGCTGCAATCTGAACTCACGTGCGACAGCAGGTGGAACGTAGCTCACGTGCAAACAGCTCAACTAATAAGAGAAAACGGATGTCATATCGTAATCAAATCGTCATAACGCCACGATGCATATTGTGACATTTTTGCATCGCAATAAAACGATAAATCGTTACACCCCTACCTACCATGTCAGATTGTCCTACCTTCTATTTAAAAGGCAGGTAGCAAATTTTGATGATGATGATAATAATAATCTAACGGGTGAGATAAAATGTCAGAACACCTGTTGTCACGCATTTGCTCTGGGCAGGGGAAATTAAATACATATATATTTCATATTGCAGCCTCTTGCGATTAACCAATCGCAACGTTTCACATTACGATTGTGATTTAATTTCGAATAATCACACAGCCCTACTGATACGTACAGTAATGATGGTGTCACTTATACAGTATCACATTACCTTCTTACTATCAGAAAGTAGAATACAGCACAACTAGAGTGTGCAAAGGTCAAAGCAGATGTTGCTTCTGAACAGCCAGTGAAGACCATAGACTGCCATTATACAAACTTATCATGTTTGTGCAGGAAGCAAGACTGGAATTACTCACACACAACAACAATTAGATAAGAATGTGTTGTTTCTTATAAAAACAATAGCTCCATTTATTGTACATGTTGCAGACCATACATTCAGATATAGTTATAGTTCAGCTTATAAAAAAGCTCAAGCATAAAACAGTCTTTTTAATTAGACTAGAATTTGTTGCTCGTTCTATTAAAACTTCCCACAGTGCAGAGCAAATGCTAATAAGCCTCTGTACATCAGCTACATGCAAAATATTGATTCAGGTCGATACTGTTCAGCTCATGGAGCAGTGCTGCTAGAAAATGTCACTTTCATAGGAGCTGTGCGAATTGGAAAGGGAGAAAAGAAACTTGAGTGGGTCACAGCACAGGGAATAGAGAGGTTTTAATTACAGCCACTATAATTAATGTTAAGTCAGATAGGAGATGAGACGGCAAGGTCTTGTGTACTTGGGTAGCAGTTGTAAACAAGCAAACGAGGATAACAATTTTTTACCTCTGATCTTGGGCCAGATCTTATTCCTCCAAGTGTCCACACAAACAGCCAGAGCCAGACTTGATGCCAGCAGAAAGAGCAACCTCAAAGAGCTCAGAGCAAAAAACCTGTGAAGAGAAGCATTCCTTTTTTTAACACTGCAGTGTGATAGGAAACAATGATTTCAATGCAGAATTTATTCTGAAATACTAACTCTCTGACCAAAACCTTGTGATGACATACGCCAGACATGCATCATGCAGAAACCTTTGTACCACAGGTGTTTCCGGCCCCACTGTCTTCCTGTGCAATCTCAGAGAAATCATGTGCTGCACAAGCGGTTGTGGTTTCACAGTATGGCTAATTCATTCCTTCTACACATTTTATTTTTAAAAACTGCATGAACTTTAGGTTATGAATATTTGCCTGAAAGTCGCCAAATGTGTCATGTAATGCGCATACTTTACATAATGCAAATTCAAGTTTATTACTGAATAATACTAACTAAACTCAGGGCTGGGCAATATTGCAAAAAAACTATCAGGATATTGTGTTTCAGAACATTCAATAGCGATAATTCTTAAATATTTTATAACAATACATTTAGGAATATTAGGATTTGAATTTAACCACTTTATTTTCATTTTGCAACATTACAAAGGCAAATAGTTTTAATAGTCAAAAACAAAAATATTTAAAGAAAATTAATGATCTCTTTATAATAAAATAAACAGAAGTGTTAAAGAGACTCAAAAATTTCATAAATAAAATGTTACAAACTGTGTGCAATGGTAAAGCTTAAAAACCTAAAGGTGTGAATAATAATGACAGCAAACCTTAAACTCTGTAAACAAATCCAATTATGATAATCAAATCTGAGATTTCAAGTAAAGGAACTAACCAATCATTATTCAAATACGTATTGCAACATTATAAATTCTGATGTTGAATGACTACAATGCCCCCTATGCTAAAAAACCACTCTGGCGACATCGTTTCATCCTTTACAATCTCCTGACTGCTGCTATACGGCACTCATTTCCACGTGTGTTGTTATTCTGACCTGAATTGACAAGCGCGTCTCTTATAACTAGGTGACCAGCGACCGTTTTCTGGCAATGACAATTGTACAAGTTGCTGAAGCTGTGATGCAAGTTTTTGGAGAAAAATAAAAAGCACTGCAGTGTTTAGGTGTGCTGTGTTTGTCTGAGTTAGTCTACCGCAATTACTGAAATGTGTATATTCTATACAAAGTGTAAAGTAGATTGGTTAGTTGTACTTGCATTAAAAAGTTCAGTTGTTTTTCAACTAAAGCGCCTGGAAAATACACGTGCGTCACAAGTGCACCGCTTGCACACCATGTGCACGTCGTGCATGTAACGTGCCTCTAGGGCTGCATGATTAATCGAAAAAAAGATCATGACCTTGATTCAACCCTACACACGATCTTAATTCAGCTTTTTCTACGATTCAGCCAACTATATTTTCAAGTTCAGGAGAGAAGCAAGGCAATCGCACAAATCTTCACAGCAACATGACACCTTCAAATGGCGTTAAGTGTCACATACTGTATTTATAAGGTATAATTTACCCAAAAAATTCATTTCTGTTTTCATGCAATGATGTGTTCTTGGCCGCGAAATCACACGTGAGCTGACCGCCAGCTGTTTGTTTACTTCCGAGAACCAGTGTTGCCAGATGTAGCTGACTGTTTCCAGCCTAAAACCCGCCAAAAACTAAAAAGCACCGCCCAACAATCTGTAGTCTCATTAGGAGATCAAAATGGTTGTAAGCGTTTGTATGTTGAGAACGGGGGCTATGGCACCTCTTTGGGGGATCATAACAGGATAATAAGTGAAGACCAGGGTTGGCGGGCACGCAGTTACAAAACCGCCCAATTATACACCTATGTCATTTTTTACAATCTGGCAACATTGCTGAGAATGCGCATGTGCCTGTCTATGACGCCTACTTTAGTAAACAGAAGCTGCATAGGCTGTGAATTACAGGTTATGAATTTGTAAATTACGTTCAGTTTGTTGCACAGAGTGATTGTTTGAGGGCCGTGCTGGAGGTTTGACTTGCATGTATGTGGTTTTTTTCTCACAGTGACGGCAGCCATGAGCCGCACTCAGAAGTGAAAGTGAAACCTGTGCGCACATCATTTAAATCATCATATCCCATTTTACAGTTATTATGATTACGACAAGCATTGGATGTTTTTTCTTTAATAGCGAAAACAAAGTGTTGTGCATAAAAATAAATGTTTACTGTGTCAGTATAACAACCCTAGCCTATATATAATGTGGAATATAATGCAAGAAGGAATCTAATATGACAAAATTCTAATTTTACCAGTGAAACAAACGATCTAATAATGTTGTCAATGACAAATAACAAGCACAAGTCTCAAACATAATAAATCAACTTTATAATTATGAATGGTTATATTCTGATGTCATGATTTTACTGTGAATTAACAAACGGGACATATTGAAAGTATGTTCAAGTCCACCATAATGATGACTGTACAAAATTTAGCATTTTAAGCAACAGTATACCTACACACAGACCGAATATTATTATTGTTGTTTTACCATATGTTTGAGAATTAACAATAATAATAGGCGAATCATATTAACCTTTATTTTACATTTACAGAATCGTGAAAAAGAATCGGGATCTTGATTTTAAGCAAAATAAATTGTGATTCACATTTTGGCCAGAATCATGCAGCCCTACGTGTCTCCATTGGAAATGACAAACTTACACACTGAGCTTATTGTCACTGCTTCCAAGGCACGTGCTAAGCAGCCACATTTTAATAAAACTACAGTGCTTCATACTGAAACTACATACCGAATCTTTTTTTTATTTTTTTTATCGATATAGACATAGACAATGGTGTTTGGTCAATAAATATCGATACCCATTTTATCGCCAAGGCATAACTAAAATAAATACATTTTATAAAAAAGAAACATTTATTTAGATGATACTTATTCAACAGTATTGTATAAAATAAAGTGAAAACATGATGTGATTGTCCACAGACAAAAGAAGAGTTTACAAACACCAACCCAAAAATTATTAGAACAATAATGAAAATTATGAAAAACAAAAATGACAGAACTAAATGATCTGTAAAACTGCACTTCAAATGACAGTTTTAATCAGTAAACACTGGGAGAAGGATCTATCTTATGAACAACTCTGAAAACAAACCATTTGCATTTGGATAGTAGTTTTATGCATTATGAACGTTACATTTCTGTGAATGTTTTAAATTACTCGCAGTCCGAAACCAAAATTTAAGCTCTTCAAAATATTCAAGCAATCCAAATATTCCCCAGGCCAGTTTTATAGTGAATGAGAGTAAAGCAGAAGGGCAGCTGCCTTTTGACACTAAGCAGATTTTTTCCAGGACTGAAAACTGCAATCTATTAAATTACTTGAGCAAAACCGGAGCCAGTGTGGAGACAAGTCTAGACTATTGGTCTCTCAGTGTGAAAACAGACAGGGAATGTGGTGATGACTGGATCAAACAACAAACCACATGAGATGTCAAAACCATTATAAATGGATATAAAAATCACTACATCAAATCATTGATACATATGGTATTTATGAAATGGTCTGAAATTAAGGCCCCATACAGAGATTCAAAACTTGACCGGATTGATGTATAATTGTATTTGCTTAAACAGCCACTTAAGACCACCTACTCTCTACCTAATGACAATTCTTGAACGTCTTGAAACTGAAGATTGAAATGTGCTTGCCAGACATAAGTTTAACATTGCTGTATGAAATGATAAATTGGCTTAAAATCGAAAACTGTAAAAAGCACAATATTTCTTAGTGGCTCTGATACTAACATAAACCCACAACAATGAAATTCGTTTTACAGCTTTCAAAACGCTCAAAAAAGCTACTCTGTATCATTTTCTGTTGTCTCCTGGCATGTTCATATGTAAATTGCACATGCTTATTTGGCAATATTAGCCCATACAAACTGTACACAACTGTAGACCCTGCCCTCAATTAAATAAGCAATGTGGAAAAAAAAACAAAAAAAAACAAACAGGTTTGATCCAATTGACTAAAACCTATCCAGATGCAAACAAGAGATTTATGAATTTGGCAAGTTTTCCAAGCAACCTACCTTGCAGTATTCAAGTCCATCTATTAATATGGGGTCACCACAGCGGAATAAACTGCCAACATATGCAGCTATGCAGCGGATGCCCTTCCATCTGCAACCCACTGTGCCATTGTGACGCCGTACCTTGCAGTATAAATCATATATTGCCATTTAATCATTCACCGAAATCGAACCCATGACCTTGGCGATGCTAATCATGATTGTACTGTTGTAGCCAATGGACTGTTAAGGCCAAAATACTAAGGCCTAATATATAAAAAGGAAGTGATGTAGCTTTTTATTTAGTCTTTAGTACAGCATTATAAATATATGTCTTTACAGTAAAAGAAATACCACAAGTGAGTTCCTCTCCTGCTCAGTGAGGCAAATAAAAGGAGATAATAAGATCTGGGGGAATATTTCTCTGATGGAGAGGGTGACTGCACTAAGTGAATGAAGACTGCATGCCTGAACAGTAAAGAAAAAGAGACCGAGGCATCCAGCCTGTACTAATTCTGTCTTTCCCATACAGCTTTCCTTCCTGAAGGATTTCATCTAAAGCTTTTCAGACTTACTGAACGTTCTTTAAGGTGACGCAGTGGCGCAGTAGGTAGTGCTGTCGCCTCACAGCACTCACTGGTTCGAGCCTAAGTTGGGTCAGTTGCCGTTTCTGTGTGGAGTTTGCATGTACTCCCTGCTTTCGCGTGGGTTTCCTCTGGGTGCTCCGATTTCCCCCACAAGTCAAAAGACATGTGGTACAGGTGAATTGGGTAGGCTAAATTGTCCGTAGTGTATGAGAGTGAATGAGTGTGTATGGATGTTTCCCAGAGATGGGTTGAAGCTGGAAGGGCATCCGCTGCGTAAAACAAATGCTGGATAAGGTGGCAGCTCATTCCACTGTGGCAACCACTGATTATTAAGGGACTAAGCCAAAAAAAATGAATAAATAGGGATGTAACGGTATTGTAAATACCGTCATACCGCAATATTAATTTTTTTCGATATTACCGAAGTCGCATGACTCGGTAAAACTATAGGTCTTCTGAGAAAATTTGCTCAGGCGAATGAAGCGAACGGAAGGTAACGAAAACTACAATTGCCATCAGCCCATGCTTGACCATCATCCCTTGCGGTCTGTTGTTGCTACAGATCCAGTAATGCGGAAATGGAGTGTGCTGCTAGAAGCGGGGATGAAAAGAGCTGGAAAACTCTAAAGCAGGTCGCACACCAGAAGCGCCGCTCGGCGCCGCGACACGGCGCGTACATGACAGATTAAAGTATCGCACACCAGACGCGCACATTCGAATGATATTTAACATGAAACTAATCAGATGGCACTCTGTGGCGCGGCTGAAAAATGAACTGCGTCCTGAGCCGTCGCCGGGCGCCGCCGACAGCCGCCGGTGTGTGTATCCTGATAGAAACCTATGATTAGAATTCTAAAATACATGGCGCTGCGTGGCGCGCCGCGCCGCCGAGCGTCGCTTCTGGTGTGCGACCTGCTTTACACGCACAGTTCAGTCCTGCATTATCTCCGTGTAAGTTCAGACTTCGCAAGTTTGATCAAGGCTGCAGTCTCTTCTTCTCAGTTTGATATGGAAAAGCAGATTATACCGAGGACACGGGTAAATCTTCAAAGGGAACAGTGTACTTTATAACTTCATTCACATCACCCTGGCTTCGTTGTTTCACTTTCTCAACAATAAAATGTAAACATGATTTAAGGAACTGCCTATTTTCATTTTAATATTAGCAACTTAGACAGCAGAAATGTTGAGGCGTCGTGCTGCATAAGATGAGCGTCATCTTCACTGTGTGGTTATTTATAACAAAACGGAGCCGATAACAACTGCCTCCTTTCAATTTCAGTGAAAATACGAAACACAGCCTCTCTTTTGCTGAGTATCAGTTTTAATAATCGATAATGGCCATTTTAAAAGTATAACATACAATAAGTTTATACATTATAGGAAATAAAGGCAAGCGATCAGTCAATATACAGAATGTACGTGCTTACATTAATCATTAACTTCTCTTTGCGCTCAGCCAAAACACGTTACCTGAGAACAAGTAATAGATTCCACTGACCAAAGTCAGGGAATATGTCGTTAGATAAAGACAACAAGATAAATGAAATATCCCGTTTAATAAATATAGTGAGATTAGATCCAGCGGGAGATGCTTGATGAGAAGTCCGACTAGCAGAGCTCTCATCTGGGTAGATGGGCTGAGTGTGATTAAATGTTGAATGTGATGAGTTTTCAACAATACTAAATTGAAACTTTATTTTTTTTACATGGTTTAATAATTTTTTGTTATTAAAATTGAAGTTCCTGTTTCAAAGCTTACAGATAGATGGCTAATTTGTATGTCATTGACACTTTTGGCACTTTTTTGGAGTATTTTCATAAGTTTTGTTTTTTCCTGTAAATGATTCAATAAATACCGTACCGTGACATTCATACCGAGGTATTACCGTACCGTGAAATTCTGATACCGTTACATCCCTATGAATAAATGAATGAATGAATGAATGAACATTTTTTTTAAGAATTCAATCAACATAAAATCTAGTTTGCAACTCAGTTTACTTCTGTAACACCACATATTATCAAGAAAAGAGAAAAAATGTTGTGGCTGGGAAGTACATGTCAGACTGGATCCTGGATACAAGTTTGCTTAAAAAAATGCTTAAATGACTATTTGAGCGTTGATTAACATTACGATTTTAACAGTGGAATATAAAAGTAATTTACAGGAATATTCAAGATTGCAAAAATAAATTTACATAGATCAGACCAGAAGATGTATTACATCATTAGGGTTAATTTGCATTAAAGGGCATAATCATAAACAGACTGGTTTGTAGCGCATCTAGTTATAAAATAATATAAATCAAGCTTTTTATTATCTGAAATGTGCTGCATCTTCAGTCATTCATTCATTTTCTTTTCGGCTTAGCCCCTTTATTAATCAGGGGTCGCCACAGTGGAATGAACCGCAAACTTATCCAACATATTTTTTTTGCACAGCGGATGTAACCCATCATTGGGAAACACTCATATACTTTCATTCACACACATACACAGCAAATTTAGCTCACCCAATTCACCTATACCACATATCTTTGGACTTGTGGGGGAAAATGGAGCACCTGGAGGAAACCCACACAAACAGAAGAGAGAACATGCAAGCTCCATACAGAAATGCCATCTGACCCAGCCGGTGCTCAAGCCTCGAACCAGTGACCTTCTTGTTGTGAGGCGATTGTGCTACCCACTGTGCCACTGTGACACCATGCTGCATCTTATTTAATAATAATTAATTATTAAATGGGAAAGACGGCAGTATTTTGTAGTGCTTTTCTTACATGCTGCTGGGTTCAGTTTCATTAACTTGTTTAGTCTTGATATTTATAAAAAAAAAAAAATGTTTATAGTAAATGCTACTATTATTTGTTTGCTTTATACTCTTAACCTTAAGAATACCGTTTAATTATATTATTATTGTGGAGTGAGGGAGCTAAAATATATGTTGCAATGAATGTAGTGCCAATTTTGTTTTGTTTACATTGCATTTGTTTACAATGCATTATTTAAAATAATACTGTGACTTAATTGAATGGCAGTTCTTCCCACACATAGACTTTACTTGGGCAGGCTGCCCAGGTATATTAATGGCCGGCCAAGTATAGTGACACATTTTTTGTACGGTTATTAACATCCTTTTACAATTTTTTTTTAAACATTTTTGTATTTATGAGGAAAAAAGCTTTGTTATAAATGTGACGTCTCTCCATTATGGATGTGAAATTTGCACTTGTGTGACTTTAGTAAATCAAATATAATTGTTTGAGAACATCGGCAGAGACATTTCTGAGTATTTTTAGTCAATACAAGCCTACACAAATAACTTAGAAAGGGTTTTGCTATTTTGGTAAAAATATTTTTTTAATGACAAGGTTGACATTGCATGGAATTGCTCATACATCACAGAAGTATATAGGGTTCTTTTTGATGTATATTGATCTTAGAAACACAAATGCTAAGTATGTACTGAAAGCACATGGTTTGCCAAGTTAGGATGGCCAGTAACAATATTTAAGGCATGAACAAAATCACACCAGGCCCATCCAACTGGTTTGGGAACTAATATATATCCTACTGATCTCTCTGTGTGTGTGGCAAATGCTCTTTGATGATGATTACATAAATAAATCACATGACCTGGAAAAAGATTTACACCCTGTTTGAGTAGAAGGTTGAAATGTCATGAGACAGTGGCAATACTTTATTTTGGAACAGAAAAAACTGTAAGCAGAATACAATTCTTCCATTTAGGAACCTAACAGATGCTACTACCCACATCACGTACATTGATTGCTTTGCATTTAAAATACATACTTAAAATGTGGAAGGAATGTTATCATTCAGGACAAAATAAAACAAAAATTAACTTATCAAACACCCATTAGTTTTAATTAGTAATACTCATTCATAACATTAAATAACTATAGTTTTTATAGTAAATCATGTACATTCAATTATATCAACAATTAAATATGTAATTTGAATAACACAATTTGAACTAATTAAGCTAAACTAGCCTTAGTGTATGCCAATATTAGGTATGGGACGATAACCATTTTCAAGGTACACCGCAGTTTGGAAAAGACAAGGTTTTAAAACCATCAAAATTTTCTGCAATGTTGTTTCTAAGGTACGTGTACGATTTTTTATTACTTTTTTTTTGTTTTGTTTTTTAAGAAAACATTATCTCCAGCAGAAAATATATTCAAAGATGCTGTTTTAAATTGTTGAAAAAAAATCTGTTTTTGAAACTAATTAAGACAACAGAAGTTAAATGTATTTGAACTATTTAACCTGACATATTTACTACTCCAAAATATCATAAATGTCTCTTAAAATTTATTGTTTAAAGGGAAAAGAGTTTTTGTTTTTTTACCCAGAAATTTAAAAAGAATATATTATAGAGCAGTAATCACAAAACCGCATAACTGTGATATTTTTATCCAAGGTTATCATACCTTCAGAACCTTATACTGAGTATGTGCAAGAGTGTGTGTGTGTTTCCCAGTGTTGGGTTCCAGCTGGAAGGGCATCTGCTGCATATAACATATGCTGGATAAGTTGGGGGTTCATTCCATTGGGGCGACCCCATATTAATAAAGGGACTAAGCAGAAAAGAAAATGAATGAATACCACAATTAAGTGTGGAGATCTGCACAATCTCTGTCATAGTGATCTCCTGCCTATACTGACAGTAGGAAGGGGAATACAGGCTATTCAACAACATATAGAGTACACAAACAATTCAACAGATTGTTCTCAGAAAATTCTTGTAAACATATCCTAGCTTGACATGAATTAGTAAAATCATTGCATCAAACTCAAAGTTTAGCTTAATAGTTGAACTTGAATGTTAAACCTAAACTCAAAATAACAAACTGTTGCACGGACAGCATTATGTTTACAGTAGCACCACCACCAACACAGCCAGAGCTCTGTCTAAATATAGTCTCCTAGCCTGACCATCATCTGTTTCTTATCTTAAAAGAAAAGGGGCAGAAGTCTGGAACAACCAGACACGTATATACATCCATCGAAAACAAGAAAGAACTATACAAGATCCTCAAAAAGCCCATTAATAATGTAAACGCTTCAACTGTATGCACTGGGTTGTAAACAGAGCCCGAGATAACGTCAGATAAATCCATGCAGATAAAGCTCATCCACTCACCAGAACGTGACGTTGGCAGCCGTGTACAGTAGGACGCTGTGAAAGGGTCTCTCCCACAACAAAACGGACTGCAAATAGGTGAGCAGGCGCTCGTGTGGCCCCAACCGCTCCAGCAGCGTTGTTTTGACCGCGCGGAGCTGCTCGGATGTCCCACCGGAGCACGAACCGCTCCGGAGGCCGCCGCTGGAGCGCAGCCTCCCTGCACAACCGCTCGCTTCTGTCGCTTCTTCTGCCCCACCCGCCATACTCAACGTGTCTCTAAAAAAAGTGTCTGTAGATAAACCAACAAAGTGTACAATAATGTAACGCTAAAAACAACCCTCGTGCTAAAGAAACGGTTTGGTTAGCGAGCTAGCCGATTAGCCTGAAGCCGCTCAGGGCAGAGCAGCAGTGGGCAGACCTCGTGCGTTCAAGAGGCTGCCGTTGTTGACACGGAGTGACTGAGAGTTAAAACCCATTATTGGGCACGAATGTGTTGAATTAATACGTTTAAGTATCAGCTCGGCTCGAATTTAATGTTGTCACCGTGCTGCTGTCATATCTATGGTCATATCCAGTCGTTGTTTTGTCGCGGGAGCAACAGCGAAGACTGACGGGAGGACGGGCTTGATCTGGCCAATGGCAGACCAGGATTACAGGCAGAGCTGCTAAACAACAACCAACACCCACCACTGAAGTAAAGGCTCTTACTTCACATATCGTTCAGACAACACTTACAGATTATCTCCTTCCATGCTTTATTCGCTTATTAAACTTGTTTATGCATTACAGTTTGATGTTAGTTTTTATAATAAATAAAACAGATGTATCGTAGATGGATATTACTAGACTGTGTATGCTTGTAAATTGGGGGATAGGCGAATTAGATAAATATTTTATGTATTTTAAAAAGGAATATATAAATATTTTTTTATTTTAAAAGTCAACATTCATTCTTCAGGAGAGATTTAATTTCAGTTGCAGTAAAAAACTATAATTCTAAAAGTTTTAGGACTATTTTTTTTCATAGTACAGAATGCAGTTTACAATCTCATTTATAAGACAGTAACTAAGAATAAGATCTAAAATACATATTTTAATTTAATAAAACTGCTTATGCGTCTTATATTACTACATAGATAGAGAAAAAGACACATTCCTTTTAAATTCTTACAAAAAAGTTTAATAATTTCTTTACAATTTACAAAATTTATAGTTATTTAAATATATAAATAAAAATAATAATTATATGTATATCCCCATTGTAAGTATCTTAGGAGGTTAAAAAAAAAGTTGCCCGGAGAAATGTTATAAATAAACTGCATTTTAAACCTGACCAGAAATTCTATGCTTGCAAAATTCTGCGTAACTGACGCGCAGCTTTGATGTTGTTCAATATAAACGCATACATACGTCTTGAAATACGTCGGTAGTGCCCTCTACGTTTATGTCTTTTTTCTTTTACATATTTGCTGTTTTCCATAAAAACGTATTTTGTTCCATCCTTACAAAGATTGATCTAGTTAGATTACAGAGTGGCTTTAAATTTGTAAAGTTGCCGGAGTTTGCGCATGCGCAGTGGGCGTCCGATAGGCCGTTGCTGTTGGAGCGGGAACACGCATAGTGGTTGACTGACAGCAGAACGTCTCTCACATTTACTGATCGTACAGCTGAAATAACAGCAGGACGGGATGCCTCGAGAAATCATCACCCTGCAGCTCGGACAGTGCGGGAACCAGAGTGAGCCATTTTCCTTTATTAGGCTTTGTTTGCCAACAAGAGCCATCTTTACATAAACAGTGTACGTTAGCTAGCTAACGTTATCCAGCTAACGTTATCACACTGCACAGCTTTAAAACGACACCATAAATAAGCAACGTAAATAAGATCAGAAGATGGTTTGATTGTTTACAGTATTTTTTCAGCTGCAGGAAGCCAAGTACTTTCATTATTTTCCATTTAACACTACTGTCTGTTCTTTGTTTGTGTTTCCTAATCAATAAAACTAAACGTGGTAAGTTAACGTTATGCTTGCTTTGTAGTAACGTTAATTAACATTAGTCAATTTAGTCACATTGGCCGTTTTAGAAAGCGGGAATAGAGTTGTATTTATTTATAGGTGGAGACGGACTACATCCATCATAGAAGCTGTAAACAGTAACAGCCGTTATGTTGCTATTATTCAACAACGTTACATATAGCATTTCCCAGTAGCTTTGTCTTTGAGAAGTGTTTTTTAAACATCATGCAATAGAGTACTTGAATAAATGTAGTCCTCATTGTCTTTCTCTGCAGTTGGTTTTGAGTTTTGGAAGCAGTTGTGTGCTGAGCATGGCATCAGTCCAGAGGGCATCGTAGAGGAGTTTGCCACTGAAGGCACTGACCGGAAAGATGTCTTCTTCTATCAGGTACTCAAATACAGAATGCCAATTATCTACCATAATCGCATCATACCAAGCCTACTGCTTTAGGACTACATTTTATTCAGTGACCTAAATAATTAAGTTTAGTTAGACATCCGGCAACATGTTTTAAAGTGGTCAAACAAAAAAGTGGCATTCCAGAAAGCAGGTGATGAAGCTATACTTGGGTATATTTAAACGTCTGTAAGCAGATAGCTTCAACTTTCGCTTCCAGAAACAAAGGTTACTTTCTTTCATGGTGTAACCATAGTAACTTGTGCTCTAAAAATAGACTGTTTAGGGTCAATGCACCCCTGAGCCATATAAGTGTGCATTTAAAAAAAAAAATTTTGGTCAGTTCTCGTTTGTTCACCTGTTTGTTTGTAATATTATACAATTAGTTATATTTTGTCTCACACGGGGGCTCTGCATTTCTTTTTGTTTAGAGAAATTGATACTGTGATTTTCAAAATGCATTGCTATTCTTTCTCAAATCAATCCAGAGCTTAGCTTTTTAACAGCAGATGGAGCTATATGCTTTACCAAGCAAACAACTGTAAACAAATCTAATTAAAATAAAGTTTTAAACAAATTTCAAGTGTGTTCACAGCAGGGGCAGATCTAGAAAATGATTTATGGTTTTACATGAAAATTATGCAACACTGAATCAAGCCTGTTTGCATGTTTTCTTGTGGATTCAATGAATGCTGTACATAATTCTGCTTCAACAACTTTGTTGTTTACTTACCTCAAGAAACAATAAGAAAGATTTATATAGGCCTAATCAATAATCATATATATATTTTTTAATCAGAATTTTTGTAAAATATGACAGTAATTCAGTACCTTTATGTGACGATTCTCAACTTTATTTTATCAACATTTTCTATAAAAAATATGCTTCAGTCCGAGAAGAGCATAAGTTTGTTTGCATTGCCATTGCCACATCTTAAAAATCATGAGATCTACATCTTTAATAATAAAAAATGTGTCAGCTGTGTTTTTGTTGTATTATATTAATGACAACAAATAAAATGTATAGTTTTATTTCATGCTTCAATTTGTTAATTTTTTTTTTTTAGATTTTTTATTAAAATTTGGTGTGTGAGGGATGATAGACAAATGCTTTAACGTTACATGATTTGCATATAGGTTTAATAAATGTTTATGTATTTTAGGATAAATTCCACTGTAAATGTACTAAACTGAACGAAACAGCATATATCCTGGCCATTGTTTTGATTTCTGTTTTTTCCACCAGTGGGGCATTGCACAAAAGTAAAATCAAGAAAGCCAGGATAACAGTAAAAGCGCAGTTTGACCTAGCTTAATCGGGTCGTCCTGGCTTAGTCTATTCCACGTTTGTTGATCCAGAATGGGAACGAGCCGATAAGTCAAGCCTGATTTAGATAGCTAGGATAAGTGCACATTTGTGGCATTTGTTAATTATTAACAGACCGGGAACACATTCATAGCAGGACTAGGACAAATAAAAAAAAACAATTCAGGTGTTTAGAGTGTATTTTTGTTTGTTTGACATGCAAAATTATCTGAATCTATTATAATAAATCGTGGTGGTCTTGACTGTGTTGTTCTGAAGCGCTACTGGCTTGACTGCAGTGCAGCACGCAGTTAAAATGAGTCTTGTTTGTTCAGTAACACTGCTAACAAACACACACACACTCCAACAAACAGGCATACAGTTACTACAGTAAACTAAAGTTTAAAATAGAATAAAGTCCCACCCACCATAACCCTGGAAGCAGGTTGCACTACTGCAGAGACCCGCATAGCACCTTGTCAAAGCATGCATGAGCCACCTCGCCCTAGGGAGCACTGTGCCGGATTACCCGCATTGTTGCTTGGTGGCACAATTTGAGCAAGAAACACATAATATTCTTTGCAATATTGTGTTTACTTTACATATGCAAACCACGAAGAACTAGAGCACAGATGGGCAGAGTGAAGCTTCACAAAGATTGGCATGGCTCCACTCGTATTGTCAGTATTGAACTCGCCTTGGTCAAGTACAAACAGCAACATGGAGAAAACTGACAAAATTGAGAGAGGACTGTTGAGCTTTATTAGAATGCAGATGGAATGTTTAAAACGCGACGTCACTGGCTGAGAATGACGTGAATCTCCTTATAAGTGCTGAAGAGTGCTGAAGACACACATATATATATATATATATATATATATATATATATATATATATATATATATATATATATAAATAAAAAGATTGATAGATTGATTGATTGATTGATTGATTCTGATAGCGATTTCTTTGTAGAAGAATGACTTCCTGCCCTCCATCTGAATTTGGCGTGTCATTAATGACGTGATGTGAAAAAAACTTTATATTTTGATGGTGTTTAACACAGTTTCATATACATAGCAGGATGATCATTGCAACTATCTTACCGAATATATGGTATCATCACTGCAATAAACATCCTAAATCCTTTCTTCGCTCTTTTTTTATTTTATTTCTGCCTGTCAGTTTTGATACAGTTTTGCCTAATATTGCTATGAAAAACAAAACTAATTGTTTAAGCGTAAACGGTTAAATTGATTAAGCTGTCCCCCACTAAAATAAGTAAAAACATTGTTTTTAACAACTAGAATATGAAATACTTAAAGAAAAAAATTAAAAGTAATATAAGTAGGTAAAAATAAGTCATACGACCTGATGCTTATAAATAATGACAATATCTAGCAACATGGATGGCTGCATGATTCACTTCATGACACAATTAAGTTCACAGGAGTCGTTTGTTTAGACTACACTTTAACGATGCGCCACAGCAGTAAATCAGTCGAGGAAACTTATTTATTTTTACATGAATCCCAAAACATTAGTCAATTTGCATGACTCTAAAAACTAGCATACAGCACCATCTATACAGCACCAAGCTGTACATTCACGTGATTAAATATTTATACTTTTTCACTGTCCTACCAAAATCAAAACAATACAACCCATAAAAATCTAGTAACGTTTTGTGAACACAAGTCAGAGTCTTAGTTATGTCGAAATGTAAAGTGGACTATTTAATATCATTAGTGTTTATAGAATAATTTATGTACTTTTATTTTGATACAGACCCCAAAACCCCTCTTCACAATCTTCTAATCACATAATCTACCACCAGGTGGAGCTATATTCCTGTGTGTGTTATTGTTATAGGCCCTCCACTCTTCTCCATTACATTTTGTACAGGCTTTTTCACGATCTGATGAAAAATTTACTTGAAATAAATGACACAAGTCCTAGTTTCCTTTTTATCTGTTTGAAAAACCTGCAATTGAAGACTAAAACTAGTTATTTTACAGAAACTGGACTGAAGTCTTATTGTTTTCAAAGATATTGCATGTATTTCTATGTAATGAGACTGAATTTAACAGCATTCTTATGAATAAGAGATGTTGCAATAAATTTTAGATTTTGTTTTACATAATATTTACTAAAATAGAACTAAATAATTGAGCAATGCATTAATAATTAAGTTACAAGTTAATAATTAAACCTCTTATGGTAGATTTGCTAATGTGTGTGTGGCCAATGAAAGTAAATATATCTGCTTCTGACATTTATAAGCTTGCTGGATGCAGATAACTACAAAATTGCAAATATCAGCCAATTGTCAGTCTAACCTACACATCACTTGTCATGTAATCAGCGTTAAGTACATGTATTTACATAATAAGTACATTGTAACGAATTACTAATTTCAGTATGATTACAAATTAGTTAAGGCCACTTAATATAAAGTGGGACCAGAAGCACTAATGTAAAGTGTTCTCCTCTGTTTCGCCCCCTTCAGGCAGATGATGAGCACTATATTCCTCGTGCTGTGCTGCTTGACCTGGAGCCCAGAGTCATCCACACCATCCTGAACTCCCCTTATGCCAACCTGTACAACCCGGAGAACATCTACCTGTCTGAGCACGGCGGAGGAGCTGGAAACAACTGGGCCAGTGGCTTCTCTCAGGTGCCCTCAGTGATCTTTTTTCCCCTTTATTTTAGCTTAAAATAGTTACATTTTAAGTTCTATAACTTATGATTTCTTAATCACGTTTTTGCAGTTTCCAACTCTTGAGTGCAATAGTTGTATTTATAATCAGATACTAATTCTGATTATAGAATTAGTGCAGATATTTAAAATCTCAATTTTGATTAAACAAATGTACATTTTATTAATTAAATTAAAACGTTAGATGAAGAATATGATTGTCATAGGTGTCGTTGTATAGGTGTCATTTTTTGCCAGTGTTATGTGAATCACCCAGTACTTCAAAGTCATGCTAAAACGTTAAACTCATTGTTTCATTTTTGACAACTTTGTATTGTGTCTTATAATTAAATGATGCTTAATAAAGATGAAATGCTTTTTCATTATAGGGAGAGAAAATCCACGAGGACATCTTTGACATTATCGACCGAGAGGCAGATGGCAGTGACAGTCTGGAGGTATGAGTCTCATTGACTGGACCTCTATTGCGTGCAAATGGTTTAGCATGCCATATTAAATTTAGTTTAGAAGCTAATGCCAAAGAAGTAGCTTAAAGTAAATGTTGAAGGTATGTATGTGTATTATGATTGGGTTGGTCTTTGCATCCTGTGTCATTCATTAATTCTCTTTCCTCTGACTTTCTAAGAATTTCCGTTTTTTTTTTAAACAGATTAAGTTTTTAAACAAAGTTAAACACTTTTTGATGATCTCCAGATGGTAGTGACATACCATTTGACGTACTTCCGTTTTTTCCTTCTTTCTTTAGGTTGCTGACATGCATGCAAAAGGTCTACAAATGTAGATCCTATATATTATGTGCATGTAAAAATCTATAGATGGTTATACAAGGTTGCTATTTTATACCTTATTTTGCACTCTTAATTTACAAGATACAGATGTTCCTCCCATTAAAACAACAGACTCGGCCCTCACTGTGTAATTTGTGTTGTTCACTTTTTTACCCACAATTACTGGTGTGTGCATGCACATGTGTAAGTTGTAAGTGAAGGTTGGAGAGTGGTTTGGAGAATGATGTTAACGGGAAGTTAACTGCAAGCACGTATGCGTGCCGTGCATGTGGCATATCAAACTAACTACCAAAAGATGAGTGAATTAATCAGAATTTATTAAAAACAAAAATATAAAGAATTCAAAATACCATCTTCTATTACCCATAGAGGATATTCCTACAAATTGTACTGTTTGGAACAATGTATTTCAAGTGATAAAAGGTTCAGTTCAATTATTCAACCTCTCAGTGTTTGGGTTTAAAATACTGAAAAAGCTATGTTATTTTAAAATATCATTTGTGTAATAAAATGTATTTTTTTATTTAAATGTTTGTGTTAAAATGATTCAAACAATTGTATTAATGTCTAAGCTGAATTTTCAGCATCATTATCCAAGCCACATGGTCGTGTAGAAAACATTATATCACAATTTTCTGGTCAGAAAACATTTTTTTCTTATTATTATTAATGTTTTTATTTAATATTTTACTGAAAAACATGATTTATTTGTTTTTTGTTTTTTATTTTATTATTATTGTATTTTTATGCTATTGTATATTTCCCCTAAAAATCTGTTTTGTTCGGGTAAATGCAGTATTCACTTTTTGTGGACTGACATAATATATATTTAATACCAAAGTACAAAGTAGTTTACTTAGAATCCAGTCTATAGTTAGCAGCACTATATCCACCTTAGTATTTGTGCATGTTAAATATTCTGTTTTTGTTTTTAGGGGTTTGTGCTTTGCCACTCTATTGCCGGAGGCACAGGATCAGGTCTGGGATCTTACCTACTTGAACGACTGAATGACAGGTGCGAAAAACACACGTCACTTGCCATGTTTCCATCATAATGTCAAGTGAATCTTTTCAAACATTTTAATAAATAAAAAAAACAAAAAAACAAATGTGAATTTAATCAGTGTTCCTCAACCATGTTGAGAAACACTGCCGGCAGCTAGCTCTATGCAACTCTCACATGGTCTCCCACTGAAGCTAAGTAGGGCTGCGCCCGGTCAGTACCTGGATTGAAGACCACATGGGAAAGCTAGGTAGCTCAGTAAGCTCCGTCTTTTGGATGAGACGTTAAACCGAGGTCCTGACTTTCTGTGGTCGTTAAAAATCCCTGGATGTTCTTTGAAAAAGAGTATGGGTTTAACCCCGGCATTCTGGCCAAATTTGCCCACTGGCCTCTGTCCATCATGGCCTCCTAACCATCCTCATATCATAATTGGCTTTATCACTCTGTCTCCTCTCCACCAATCAGCTGGTGTGTGGTCTGGTGCAATATGGCTGCCGTCACGTCATCCAGGTGGATGCTGCACACTGGTGATGGATGAGATTTTCCCCATTGTGTAAAGTGCTTTGAGTGTCTAGAAAAGTGCTATAAAAATGTAATTAATTATTGTTAATATTATTGTTATTGTGTTCCTGGAGGACCACCAACACTGCTTGTTTTGGATGTCTCCTTGGTCACACCCATTACAGGTCTTTCAGTCTCTGAATTGCTGAGGATCTGAATCGGGTGTGTTTGGTTAAGGAGATATGGAAAATGTGCAGAGCTGGTGGTTCTCCTGGAACATGGTTGAGAAACACTGAATTAAATGTGTTTCCATCAAGTTGTTAGAACGGCTCTCTATAGTATTGGTAACCTGGTAACCACAATTAAACAATGCTGGCATGATGGAAACCGCTGCTTAGTCACATTGTTTAATGTTCACCATATCAGACTATATTCTGTAATTGTGTTATTCGCCTAATCTCTTTTTCACAATTTTTATTAGAAATTTTCTGTTACTGGTTTCTCATGCAATACTTCAAAATCTGTGTTAATGCACGGTGATGGAAACCCAGCAAGTCATACGAGACTCATAAAAATACTTTGAATCCCCCTACTCTGCCTGTCTACCTCTCCTGAAACGTAGATCCACACCCTTTACGTTGTTAGTCTAGACTAGCAGTCATGAAGCGTTTGGGTGGCAGTCAGTGTAATTAAAGGGAGAGGCAGGCAGCAGCCATCAGCGGGTGTAATTACCTCTCTTTAGGGGTGCGTTTAATACCATTGCGTGTGCAACCTCAAGGGCACCAGCGGCATTCAGCTGGGCGCGTGTTCTTGAGCCTTAAACATTCAACCGTTCTGCTGTCTTTTTTAGGTATCCTAAAAAACTGGTTCAGACCTATTCGGTCTTTCCTAACCAGGATGAGATGAGTGATGTTGTCGTACAGCCATATAATTCTCTTCTGACGCTAAAGAGACTGACCCAGAATGCAGACTGTGTGGTGAGTGAATGGACAACCGCACACACTCGCACACACAGACAAGGAGAGAGAGACTCTGATAACCTTTTCAGCTGGCCTAGAATTTGGTGTGAGGTGTTACACACTGACACACATACATACAAAGACACAGGTTTGTTTTTGCGAATTGTGGGGACATTTCTGTACAAATTGTACTTGTAATTGTATTTACCATCTCACTTTAAAGGAGATTTATAGGGCTAATTTCTACTTCGAGTCCACCCTGTAGGTCACAGTAGCCTTTGCACCCTTTGGTGCACCCTGGCACGGTCCCTGACATGTGCCTCTCAAAACAATTTATCTACACTTCACAACAATATGGAGCCAGGCCAGTGCATTCACTAAACATTTGCTATTTCCTGTCAATTCTTTCCTTGAATGAATGAGATTGATAGTAGCATTGCACACATTCCCGGCCAAAACATTAGCAAAGAAACTCAACACAGTGTACCATAGAAACTCTACTGCTACTAGCATTTCAGAAGTGCGATTGCAGAGCAGCACAGACAGAATGCAAAAGTATAAGTGCTCACAATGTCATCAGCTACATGCGAAGCTTGTGTCGTGCGATACAGCAATCACTCAATGAAGAAGTATAAATCAGGCTTCTGTCATCTTCTCCTTGTAATTTATATGTCATACCCATGTCATTATACAAGTGTGTGGTGTTTTATGTCACAAAAGCATCCACATAGACACTCAGTTGACACAGAGTTGTGGATCTTGAATCACATTGTTTCATCAACATCCCAATGTGTGTACCTGCAATAGTCACATTCCAGGATCTGCAGTGTTGAGTATGGATTATAACAGCACTGCAGTTCAGAACACGTGTGAATTGTGGAGTCATTGCAAAGTTTAACCATGTACTAGATTTCAAAAACTTTAGAACATGAGTCTAGAATGTCATCTGCTTGTTTAGTTGTGATGTATGGATTACTGTTTCCAGGTTCATGCCACTACTTGTTTAAATTGAGAAAATATTCGTTTAGGACCACTTTTTAGTCATATCACACATTCATTCATTCATTTATTCATTCATTTTCTTTTTGGCTTAGTCCCTTTATTAATCTGGGGTTTCTACAGCGGAATCATCTGCCAACTTATCCAGCATTTGTTTTACGCAGTGGATGCCCTTCTCTGTGAAACATCCATGCACACTTATTCGCACTCATACACTACGGACAATTTTAGCCTACCCAATTCACTTGTACTGCATGTTTTTGGCCTGTTGGGGGAAACCGGAGCACCTGGAGGAAACCCACGCGAATGCAGGGAGAACATGCAAACCCCACACAGAAACGATAACTGACCCAGCCGAGGCTCGAATCAGTGACCTTCTTGCTGTGAGGCGACAGCACTACCCGCTGTGTCGCCCATATCACACATTAAAGTGAATTTTATATGTAATCATGCTGTACACAATAGTCTTTGTTTACATTCGACACATACGTTATTTTACATCCATTTATTAAATTTCTGTTCTACAAACTTCTGTATTTTGTCTCCCCAGAAAACCATAAAGCACTGTTTTAGTTTATTTGCATCTTTTGTTTTTATCTATGGTTGTAATTTGTTTAAAGGGGTGGTTCACTACGATATCATAATTTAAACTTTAGGTCATGTATAATATAGCTGTGTGGACATAAACAACATCTCTTAATGTAATATGCTCAAAGTTCAATGCAGAGGGAGACATTGGCTTTTACAGAGTTAGCTTGAAGCCTATGGCAAACAAAGTTTGTGGGGACTACAAAAAATACATCCGGGCTAGTGAGATCACAAATGCTTCAGGTTACAGATTTTATTTTAGAGAGCAGGCATGACATTCAGCTGTGTGCTCTTCATTTTCTGATTCAGGCCCAAACTGATACGCTACTCTGACTGACAGTATTTACACAGCAGAGGCAAAGCGTGTGCTTGTAGGTGCGTGACGTTTTTTCTAGTGATGTGGAGCCGATCAGCGAATCACAGCACATTATGTTAGCTGTCCAATCAGAGCCTCTTGAGGGCAGGCTTTAGGAGGGGCTAAGAAATATGACATTTGTTTTCATGTTAGCAGAAAAGCTGTATATAATCAAAGTAAGATACATGAAAAAATAACCAGATTTTTTACAAATGAAGCATGAGCACACATTGCTTTGCATCTTATAAACACAACTAAGCCCTAAAAATACACTCTGGACCACCCCTTAAATTTATTTTTGTGTAGATGCAATTCCCCAAAAAATAAATAAATAAATAAATCACCACAATCTCAAATATAGACTGTAATAAAATGCATTGCAGAAAAAAAAAAACAAAGCATGGCAATGTGTCATCAGTATCGTGCAGCCCTAAATGAATGTGTTTCTATTTGAAACAGAGCCCTTCTCATACACAGCCTGCTACCCTAACAGCACATTTCCTCACAGTTACACAATCCACCTCCTCAAACAGACCTTCTTTCTTCCTTTTCTGCTTTCATTCTACAAATAGCAGTGGATGGGGGAAAGATGGACAGCCTTATGTGATTATCCACTTCTCTCTTTCCATGTCCTCCTGGTTAACAGTAGCTTGGTCCCAGATTACATTTTATTATAAGCCATACAGCGCTCTGACACCTCTGTACATCTAGAATGCAAAAATTTATAGATGTGTCAACATTTACTGGTATATTTTCTGACTGATAACCATCTGCACATGATTGAGGAGATCATTATTTAACAAACACATCCTATTGACTCTGAGGAGTCAGTTATTATGTATTGTATAAAGGTGTTTAAGAATGTGTTTGCATATCCTTATTTGAGCTTTTAGAGCGACTGATGGCTTTGATCAGTGTAGCTGAAGAAATACTTCATTGTCCCTGTCTCCAACCAATCTTCATGTGCACTTCAGAATAGATTGGGCTTCAGTGGAGGAAATGCCATTAGTAAAGGTTAAGATGCATATTTTGTTTCTTGAAACTGTCAGCTAGCTTTATTCTCATCTCTGCCTTATATAATAGAGTCAGATTAGAGAGTCAGCTCAAAAGATGAGGAGGTTAATAGAGGTGGATTATATTATCTTTCTTGGTGAGAATACAGATTAACTTCAGGTCTCAAGCATTATTAATAAAGATTATTTAAGGCATTATTAAGAGGAGTTTGTCAAAAATTAAAATTGTCATTATTTTCAAGTTCATAAGAAATAGAAATGAAAAATCTTCAAAATAGAAATGAAGATATTTTTTAATGATTAATTTATGTCACTTCTTTGGAAGTCTTTCACCATGTTCAGACTTTAAAATGTTTAGATATTTCCTTTTCGGTGGCAAATTTTGTGTATATATTTGAGTCATGCAACATTGGGAAAAAATGTAATCAAATTATTTGTCCATTTAACATGTTTATAATTTTAAAACAAAAGCAAATGCCTTTATTTAGGAATCACTAAATCATTAATTAGCTTTATTGTCCACAAACACATTTAGTTAAAGAGCTAGTTCATCCAAAATTTTAAAAAAGAAAAAAAAACACCTGAGAGTGGGAAAATTATGTCAGAATTTCCATTTTTGGGTGAACTGTCTCTTTAAAAGTTCAAGACACACTGGTGTACTTTTAAATTTTTTTTATGGATTTGTGTGTGTTGAGCATGAATTAAAACAAAATTAACATCGTCAGCTTTAATTGTAGGAAAAACATGAGAATCTTGAGCTTTTATCAGCTTATTTCATCCATAGCACGCATCTGCTAGTAAAGTGATGACGCGTCAGTTTCTCATTACTATTCATAGCGGAGTTTTCTTGCCCTGCTTCCTAATTATTTATGGCAGTATGTGCTTTTAGAAGATGAGGCAAACCTGCCAAACTGTGAGACCCAATGATGGGGTGAGACTGCATCCACTCATGGCAAGCAGTAGCAGTTCATGAAGGGTCGTAACGTTATGTGCTTTTTTCCACGATCCACGGGGGTTTGTTGCATGTTTTTTCCCGACGATGCTGTCAGGGCCAATACAGCAAAGCTGTTGCATTGCAGCAAGCATTTTTTTGTTAAACTTTGTCGTTTATCAGTTGATATTGTTACCATTCAGATACATTGCCTATATCCATGCTGCTGTGTTCACCTATTTTTAAAATCCTCTAGATTACCGACAAAGGTAATGGTTGAAATAGATAGGGCAAAAGACCTGCTGCACTGCTATCCACTGTGTCTGCATTCAGACCCGGGGATTCAGGAGGAGAGAAGTTTTGCTCATTTATGTTGTTTACATGGTTATCTTTATAATGATATAACAAATTGTGGTTATGTGTATATGAAATTATCAATAACATGTGTTGCAGAGCATTAAATTACTGTTTATTTCTTTGCATTATAACTTTGAAGCTATAAAATCATGGGTCTCTTCACGGTTTGTGTCTGAATTTGTGAGCCAACTGACAACAGTTGTCTACTCCCCTGCTCTGCCGGCCATGCCCACTCATCCCTCTGAAGCCAGGGTGTCCGCGGGGTTGTAAAAGGTAGTAAATGAAATTAGCCAAAATTAAGAGCTTTAAAAAAGTATTAAAAAGTAATAAACGTCATCTGACGAGGTATTACATTTTCGAGACCAATTGTTTTAGACACATTTTTAATTTGTGTTAAGTGCAGGCCTTTGTTCTAAAATGTGGGTGGATTTATTTATATGTTGAGAGTAGGACCTGAGCGATATCATGTGAAGTGGTGTGTGGTAGCTTGATAACAGAGCCACAATGTCAACACACCAGAGCTCATATATGACAATGGATTAAAAACTATGGACAAAGGCCTATTGTGACATCTTGATTAATCCCTCTGCTTTACTTAAATGTATATGTTATCTGTATCATGATATTCTATTTGGAAAGATATTTCATTTATGCCACTGCAGTTGCAGCTCTAAGTTGTGCTGGCAGTCATTTTTTTTTTTAAGGTATTAAAAAAGGTAGTAACAATGTATTAAATTCAACTTAAGAAGCTCTGTATATACTCTGAAGGCATTTTTGAAAAATTCTGAGGTAGACTTGAACCGAAAGAGGGGGTTTTATGGCCCTTTAAATAGCTTGATACTTAAAGAGTAAGGGGACTTTAAGGCTGTTTTTTTTTTTTTTTGCATTAGTCATGATATCACTATCAAGGTGTTATTACTATTATTATAGTATAATTATATAATTTTGTATTCAAATAGCATTACACACTGTTCACACTGTTTTCAGATGACTTTATAAAAATAAATATTGATATTAAATACTGCGGTGAAAGATAAATATTGACAATATTGCTTCATAGTGTGACTGTAGATGGCAATTCTAGATAAAATTACTCTATTTAGATTTCAGTCTGTCATGCTCTACCAGTTGAGCGGTTCTGCAAGATTCTCTCATTTTAGTTTATCTTAGTTCTAATCAAGTAGCAGAAAAGACTGGGATTATTTAAAATATATATATACCAACTGTTGAACACCTAATAGTTTATTATTTAAAACAAATGCATAATATATCCATAATATTTCCAGTACAATGTTAGGGATGTAAGAAGACCTCAGATTCACACTGCAAAAAATGTGTTGCGTAGAGGTTTTGTCTTGTTTCTAGTCCAAATATCTACAAAGTCTTAAATCAAGAAGCATTTTCTAGACGAGTAAAAAATATTGTCATGTTTTTAAAAATAATGTGGCCGAATTGAGTTAGTTTTTTCTTAAAACAAGCAAAAAAATCTGCCAATGGGGTAAGAAAAATATTGTTTTCGATTTAAAACTAGATTTCTTACCTGGCAGATTATTTTGCTTGTTTTCAGAAAAAAAAACACTTAAGTCTGTCATATTATTTCTTAAATCAAGACAAGTTTTGATGGTCTAGAAAATGCTTCTTGATTTAAGAATATTTAGATAGTCAGAAACAAGACAAAACCACTAGGTAAGTAAAGCATTTTTGCAGTGCACAATCCTGATTAAAAGTGATCTTTATCTTTCAATGTTTCTTTCAGGTTGTGCTGGACAACACGGCTTTGAACCGAATCGCCACAGACCGACTGCACATTCAAAACCCTTCATTCTCTCAGATCAACCAACTGGTGAGTTTTAAAACACATCTCTCTTTCAGGAGACCATGAGCATTAAAGAAGGTAATACAAAAATCCATTCTTGCAGCTGTGATTAGTAGCCCACAGTTTGAGCAATTATAAAAAGTGTTTTACCAAATAGACATGAAAAGATCTGAATTTGGTAAACATATGGCAACTCTCCTTTGTTCATATATGTAACCAATCTTGTAATAATAATTTATTCCAAATAAGTGCGGAATCAATACAGGGTTATTTCACCCTCATATCTTTTCACTCTCCTGAGACTATATTTGTAACACAGATTAAGATATTTTAGATGAAATCAGAGAGCTCTCTCATCCATAAACAACAACACTGTGCTTTCCACACATAGACTTTACTTGGGCGGGCCCCCGTTCCTTTTCTGGACTTTGAATGTCTGCACCATTGCTGTCTATGAAGTATGAAAGACCTGATATCCCTCTCTGATGTCATCTAAAATATCTTTATTTGTCTTCTGTAGTTCTGAAACACTTCTAAAATAATATCCAAATTCATAAAACCATAAAAATGTTTGATTCCAGTATCTTCTCTGAAATCATAGCATCTAATTACATTAAGAATATTCATTCCAAAAACAAAAAGGTTGCTTGTCATTAAAATAAGATACTAAGACATGAGACATTAGCAGATAATATCTGCAACAGTATCTAATATATGACAGTACAGCCCTGTGTTTAAAGCATTTTATAGGCTACTTTAATGCACTAAGCATAAATGGAGAGCTCTTAAACTCACTGACACAGATACCAAGCATTAATATACATTCTCCAACGTCACACCATTTACGTACATTGTAATGAGTGAAATACAAGGCCCTATTCATCAGTCTTGAGGCTTCCAACCAAAAGCAAGTCCTTTTCATTTTAAAGCCCTACCCTGCAGCAGAGGGACTGTCCTGGTGTGGTTCATGTAGGGACAGTATGGAGTCACTCCTCATATATTAGTAACAGTTGGGCGCTGACACGACATGCATTTCACACTTCAAACAATCAGAAAACCAAACCAAAATTGTTGCCTGCCAAGAGTTTGTTTGGCACTGAGACAAACAAGAGGAAGATTTTACAATAAACACAGAAATGTCAAGAAACTAAATAAGCTGAACCACAAAACATTAACATTAAAAAGGCATTCGGGTGGTCTATCACAGCTGTATTGTATTATATGCCGTGTAAATTGGAAATAGTGCCGCCTGTCAGTTTCAGGAGGATGAAACATGGGGAGTCGCCGCTTCTGAAAGCTGTAATCGGCAGCGTGACATGCCGTCGTGTCACATTCTAATGACGAGGTAATAAATAACCAGTGACATCTTGTGCTGTGTTTTCTCTTATACACCCATACAGCACCCTGCTTCAAGGTGAATAGTTCACTTTCGTCGACTCATCCATCACTGTCTTATAGTCATATGAAATGGGTCATATAATGGCAAGATTTGTGACCAGAGTGCTAATAGAAAACCGGTTTCTCCAGTCCAGGCTATTGTATACTTAAATAGCAGCTTCTTTTACAAACAAGAGTACCATCAGCACACCCAAATAATTTAGACGACAATTTATTTAAAAAAAATAATAAATAAATAAAATATTGGAACTTTGAACTCTTTTTTTGTGACACTTGTCTATCTAGACCAGTGTTTCTCATCTAGTGGTACACAGATCCACAGTGGTCTTTACCAAATTTGCAAAGGGTCTCTAGTAAAACTAAATGAACTCTCACCTTTCTCAATTTGGATGGACACAGTGGCTCAATGGTTAGCACTGCCGCCACACAGCAAGAAGGTTGCTGGTTTCCTAGTGTTGACATGGATTTCCTTCACTGTCCAAAGAAATGTGGTACAGGTGAACTGAATAAACCATATTGGCCGTAGTGAAGGAGTGTGGATGAATGTTTTCCATTACTGGGTTGCAGCTGGAAGGGCATCCGTTGTGTGAAACATATTCTGGATAAGTTGACGGTTCATTCAGCTTTTGACCCCTGATCAATAAAGGGACTAAGCTGAAGGAAAATGAATGAATAGTCTCAATTTACACAGTTGAGTTTTACTATTTTTGAATCCAGTCAGCCGATCTCCTTGTCTGGCGGGAGCACTTTTAGCTTAGCTTAGCATAAATCATTAAATCAGATTAGACAATTAGAATCTCAAATTTAAAAAAAAGTTGATGCAGCGGGTAAATAATATTACGCATTATTATTTTAAGTAATGTAACTAATGTGTATATAGCACATTTATAGAGTATGGCCATACATCCAAAGCGCTTCACAATCATGAGGGGCCAGTGAGCTCACCACACACCGGCTATTGAGAGACAGTGATGGAGCCAATTCTGTAGATGGGGATGATTAGGAGGCCATGATGGGTAATGGCCAATGGAGGGAACTTGGGTTACACCCCTACTTTTTACAAGAAGTGCCATGGGATTTTTAATGAGCACAAAGAGTCAAGACCTCGGTTTCACGTGTCATCCGAAAGAGGGTGCCTGCTTCAGCTTGGAAAACCACCAGTGTTTTGTGCAAAAAGTTTTACGTACGGCCACGATATTGTTGCTTCTTCATACTTCAGCTGGTAATTGTGATTGTGGTGAGAATGTGAAACCAGGAATGGAAGGTGACAGAACGTGTTTGGAGGTATTATAGGTCCAGACTGTTAAAAGACAACTGTGTTTTTCTCTCTTAACAGGTGTCCACCATAATGTCAGCAAGCACAACAACCCTCCGTTACCCTGGATACATGAACAATGACCTGATTGGACTGATTGCATCCCTCATCCCCACTCCTCGCCTCCACTTCCTCATGACTGGATACACACCGCTGACCACCGATCAGTCTGTAAGTTCTTCAAGTGGTAATTTACATAAAGATTCTTTGCAAAGCGTAGCTCTTTTCTGAAGTCTAGTGATCTGCTCTCTGCTGTAAAACTTTTGAGTGAATGATTGAAAAGCTCATCATCAGTTGCATTCAGTTCACTGTTGATTCGTTGTGTTAACTTGTAGCAAGTTAACAATAGGTATAACCATTTTTATTAGCCATCTAATGAGCCATCTGTCATTCTGTAGATCTGTTTATCTGCCTTTTATAGCTTAAATGGCAGATGGACTATATATTGACTGAAAAAAGACTAAAACATACAATTGTTTTTAACAAAATATGGTAAAGCTTGTTAAAAAAAAGATTGTAATGTTAATTTGGGAATGCTCCCTTTGCCATTAAAGAAACAAAATTCTGTTATTGTTTTATATATGTCTCTTTCTTGGCTAAATACTGTGTAAATACTTAGGGTGTGCAATGTTTGGGGAACAAATTCCTCCATTTCTGTTATTTCCTATTATGTACTTCTGTGCATTTACCTGTTCATGTGTTTGCATGTTGTTCTTTCAATTTATTTGCCGGCCTCTTTCTGACTGTTCTTTTTTATTTGTCTATGGGTGATTCTAGAATTTTTTTGTACAATTAAATTTTTTTTTAATTAATTTTAATAAACCCATTTTGAATAATTACACCAAATGTATCAAAGTTTTGCTTAAAATACTTTACTTAAAGACTCCCTCTAAATCCATTTTTGACTCTGCCTCCTGAATCCAGCTTTGATTGTCATAAAATAATTCATTTGCCTAATTTTCATTTTTTTTTTAAGGTAAATATTTACATAAAACATCTTTGATGTTATCTGTAATTTCAGTTATTGAAAACAAATTTTATGTCTGTCCATATGTTCTAACCAGCTGTTACATCGTTTTAACATTGGTTATTAAAAGGCATAAAAATCTTTGCAAAAAGCACATGACTTGTTCCAAGTGCTATCACTTTCTTGGGTGGGAAACTCTGTAAGGCATTGAAAAAAGTCACAATTGTTGCCTCATTTATAAAAAAAATAATATTTAGGATACATCAATATTAGATTCATTATTTGTCAACATCGTTTTTAAGATATTTAATATTTTAAAAACAATATTAGGATGAAAATGCATAAAATTCAGTTTTGCACATGCCATATGGTGTCTGGTTTGAGGTTTGCAATTGCATCTTAAGCTAAAGCACAAAATGGTGGAAAATGTCAACTCTGTTGTCCTCAACTATGTTAATGGTTTAAGTTAAGGTTAGGGTTCAGTTTAACAACAATTTAAACAACAATTAGTGGACTTGATTAGACTACAGCTCGACGCCATCTTAAAATGTACATTTCGACTGGGAGTAAAGACCTGCTTACTGGGCCTCAATGATGAGTATACCTTATAATTTTCGGAACGGAGACCTACTACATATTTTGATTTATTTTGCTCGGAAATGTATCCTTGTAAAGTGGATTAATGAAGAACCACCTGCTTGCTGGCTGCTGCTTGCAGTCTGCAGCATAATCCCACTTAAGGCTTTCTCCACAGCTATGAAGAACAAACCTTTTCTATTTTATCAGACCTGGGATCCTTTCTTTGATTATTTAGGAACCTCTAAGTCTTTAAGACTAAAATCTTGTCTGTTAGACTCAGCCTGGACAAAAGAAATGTAATACGCCTTTTTGCAATATAAGATTGTATTTTTTTATGTCTTTATTATTTTTATTATTATAAGTGTTATTATTATTTGTTTATTTTATTACAATTTAATTTTATCTAATACTATTTTTATTTTTATTTTTCATGTGGGGGTCAGAACTCAAATTACATGTTTGACAGATACTTTCTTTCCACCCAATGTAATTTTCTGACATGTTATTGCACTAAAAATGTTCAATAAAAATATATTTGAAAAAAAAAAATCAATTAGTAATAGAGTCAAGTGTTCAGTTTACTCTAGACTACACATTTGTTATGTTATTCCAAATGAAAGTTAAATGTGAAATGCCTGAAATGTACCCGCAACTAGTCCTATATGTCTCTCTTTCTGAAATTATGGCATCCACCAGCTTGTTTTTGATATTATTCTCATAAATGAACACACTTTAAATAATATGGTCTCTTTTCAGGTGGCAAGCGTGAGGAAGACTACAGTTCTGGATGTGATGAGGAGGCTCCTGCAGCCTAAAAATGTCATGGTGTCCACAGGCCGAGACCGTCAGACCAACCACTGCTACATCGCCATCCTCAACATCATCCAGGGAGAGGTGGACCCCACACAGGTCTGAGAATATCTGTTACAAGCAAGCCATTCTAAATCATATTCGCCTATCCTAATGTTTATATGTGGCCCTTGCAGGTCCATAAGAGTCTCCAGAGAATCAGGGAGAGGAAGTTGGCTAATTTCATCCCATGGGGTCCTGCTAGTATCCAGGTTGCACTGTCCCGCAGATCTCCCTACCTGCCCTCAGCTCACCGCGTCAGTGGACTTATGATGGCCAATCACACCAGCATCTCTTCAGTAAGAAATTTATTTCATTTAGCCATCTCTGCTGTATATTATAGTTCTTTATTATCAGTATTACTGTTAAAAAGTAATTTGCACTTTTATTCGACATGTTGTCATATCTACTGGGAAGCCAAAAATAAAAGTATGTGGGGGGGGTCTTAAACATTCTTAAAATGTCTTTCATTTCAAAAACTAAATTTTATGCCTTAAATTCACTGAAATATTGTGTTCTATGTCTTAAATAATTTTAAACGGGTCTTAATTTTCTTCTAAGTAAAGCTACCCAATCAGGCCGACATCCATCCAATCACCAACATTCCATCTTAATAAAATCAGGGAAGGAAAACTTAAAACTATTATGCAGCTCCTTGTAAAAATAACAAAGCAATTTATCCCTTTACATTTATCCGTTTTCTTGTTTTCTTGACACATTAAAGTATGTTCCTAAGAAATAACTACATTTTTTTTGTGTGTGTGTGGCAAGCAAAAAAATTTTATTGGCCCAACCAGGCCATTAGAAATAATCATTAGTGTTTAGACCTGCATGTCTAAAATGTAATACTTAATGATCTTAAAAGGGTCTTAAAAAGTCGTAAATATTAAAAACCCTGATATTATATTAAGATAATTGTAAAATAAGCAATTAAAAATACTTTTTTTATTTGAATATTTATTAAAATGGCATTTATTTCTGTAAAGATAAAATGTAATTTTTAGTATCATCACTTTGCATGATCTTACAGAAGTCACCATTGCTCAATCAAAGGAAAAGGAAAAGGAAAAGAAAAAAAAACAATCACTGATGCCAAAGTAACAATGGTTCTGGAAAATATGTTAAGAGCCTTATTTACTTCAAGCTAAATTGAAGAAATAACTGAAATAGTGTCATTTCGAACAAAATCCAGCCAAAACAAAGTTAGTTTTGAGTTTTGAACTGAGGTAGTCTACCATTGGTCCATGGCGATTACACAATCAGCGGGCGTGTTCTGAAACTCTGCCTTCTTTGATGAGTGATTGATTTGCATCTCGTATCCATGGAGGCCAGACAGGAGAACAACAGCAACAGGGATAAACTGAAGGGTCGAGTAGCAAAACTAGTACAGATATATCCGCATCTGCACGATCACTCGTGTAACAAGCTGGACAAGGTTATTTGGCAGATGTTTACAAAACTGTTCTCCTCTAACAGCTGCCATCATTGTGTTTATGGTGGTGTATGTGTGGGATACTATTATCAAATTATAAACCCATAATTCACACAGAACCCCCAACACTACCCACCATAGCATCCATGATTATGGAACACTAGAAAATAAAGGCTGCGTCCGAAATCGCATACTTCCATACTATTTAGTACGTTAAAAACCGCATTCGAGTCGAGAAGTATGTCCGAATTTATAGTATTCAAAACTGGCCCTAAACCAAATGACTTACTACTTTCAGCGAGATTCTGAAGTGTGCATCCAATGTAAGCTACGTTGCTATGAATTCGTAATGGGAGTGAATCGATGCATCTGACGTGGGTAGGTTACATGATCATAACAAATAAAGGATATAGCATGTCTGAATTACATTTATACTACTCGCATTCATACTATACAGTATGTGCTTTTCGAGCGGTCATGTAGTAATCTTTAATACAAATGTAATACATACTCAAGTAGTAGGTGATTTCGGATGTAGTCAACATAATTTTTAAACTTTATATCCAGGCCTAAAAGTTTCTGTCGCAAAATAGAAGCATTTCTGGTCCTTCTAGAGCAGTGTTTCTCAACCACGCTCCTGGAGGAGCACCAACACTGCTTGTTTTGGATGCTTGTTTTGTTTGATGCTCTTTCAGTCTCTGCTAATGAGCTGATGATCTGAATCAAGTGTGTTTGGTTAAGGAGACATGGAAAATGTGCAGACCTCCAGGAACGTGGTTGAGAAACACTGCTCCAGACAACTCTATGTCATCAACATTTTTAATGAGTCCAGTTGCTCTAAAAACAAGTGGTCACTCTCTAATCTGTAGTTGTCCTGTCTGTGTCTGTCAGTTGTTTGAGCGCACGTGTCGTCAGTATGATAAGCTGAGGAAGAGGGAGGCCTTCCTCGAGCAGTTCAGGAAGGAGGACATATTCAAGGACAACTTTGATGAGCTGGATAACTCTCGAGAAGTGGTTCAGCAGCTGGTGGACGAGTACAGCGCCGCCACACGTCCCGACTACATCTCCTGGGGCACACAAGAGCAGTGAAACCTCTTTCACAACTCCGAAACTCATCCTGTAAAATATGCACACCAACTCCAGTAGAACAGAATAACAGTAGTGGAAAAAAGGCTCTGATCTAAATCTTTCATGGCTCATCAGTCACACTGTACCTCCAGAGCCTCACTCGTGTGTATGTGTATAAACAAGTGATTTGTCATATTTACAAGACTATAGAAGAGTTCTTCATGACCTGGTGCCTCTATCCTGAGCTATAACTTTCACTTTTGTCTCAGTTTCTCTCTCTCTCTCTCTCTCTCTCTCTCATGGATTTCCTGCGTTTCTTTTGATCAGAGAATTTATGGCTCCGTCTTAATCTATTTTTGTACTGCACTTTGCACTCTTCAGCACGAAATCTACATCAATCGACGTCAAGGTGGCCTGTGCACAAACTTCTCTGACCACACACACACACACACACACACACTGGACGTCTGCACCGATAAGACTGGGTGGTCTCAGAATGAATGTAACCGTAGGAGGGAGTGTGAAAGATTAAGCCTCTTAGAAAAGATCAGACTTCTGAATGCTCCGTCAAACTCCCTCACATTCACACTTGCATGCTTTTAGACAAAAGGCGCTGGCTTTCAGGGGATAAGACTATGATTGTGCGATTGAAGCCGCTTTTTCTCTTGGTCTCGTAGTCATGGATTTTTCTAGAAGGTTATCTTAAGAGTTTTGAGAGGCGATCAGTGAAGTCAAGTGTTATGCTGTACCTCAAGCCATCCAATCGGTGATGTTTTTTCTCTAGTCTATAGAATCAATGATGTTACAGTACCTCAACGTCTGGCAGACTCAGTCATACAGCACAGTCCCAACACATCGCCTTCATCTACTTCTGCTCCAGAAGCTGAACCTTCACGTGCCAGATGACTTTCCCTCTGTTTTGTCTCTCTCTCTCTTCAGTTGCCACATTGTTATTATTAAGGTTATACTCTGTATATAGTTTGCTGTCGGATTTGATGCATTTACTGAATAAATGTTTTTGTACAAGAACATTTCCTTGATTTTTTGAGGGGGGTTATTATTCTGTATGAACTTTATTTCCTTTAAAAAAAGCATTTATGCTCATGTTAAAGTTGCTAATATTTTTGATTTAAAGTTCACTCAAAAATGAACATTTTCTCACTCAAATGGTTTTAAACATTTATGGAGTTTCTTTTTGTTGAAAGTAAATGATATTTTGTGGACTTTTGGAACTTTTTAGCTTAATGGATGCTAGTTTTCAGCATTTAATATTCAAAAGGAGAAAAAAAACTTTAAACAGGTGTGATAACTGTCATTTTCAGATTAACCTTATGCAAAGCCTGGTTACTAAAATGATACTAATAAGATAATAGTTATATCAGCTTTTTGAAGCAAATATGACTGATTCTGGACAACAATAACTGTTACATTTTTTTTTCTTATAAATCGGTGTCCGCAGGGTCTTAAAATGTATTAAAAGTTGATAAATCAATGTGGAGAACTTTAAGGCCCTTTAAAGGATTAAAAAGTCTGAAATGCTATTTTGCAAGGTATTATATTTGATATCATTTTTGATTATGCAATGCATGGTTGTATGCAAGTCTGCCTAAATTAAATCGGCCAATATTAGGATGCTGTGCAGTTTAAACAAAGCAGCAGGATGTCAAATCTAACAGGATTTCATACTGAAGTAACCAAGGCAAAGCCATTATTTCTATAAGCGCCAACCTGCTGAATTAACTAGATTTCATAGATTTTTATTCGGCATATGAAAAATGTTTCAGTTTTGGACAGGGCTTGACATTAACATCTGCCAAATGCGGGTAGATTTCAGCTGTGGCGGGTTAGACAACCACATCCACTAGCCACTTTGGCCAGTTGTAAATAATTTTTAAATTGTAGTTTCGATTAAAGCAAAGTTCTACAATAAAGATGCCCATTGAAAAGAAGCACGACTGACAAAATCAACTGTGTTCACAAGAGCAAAAAGGATAATCCCGCGCATGGACTCTCACTCACTGATGAGGGCTTTAGTGTGTTTAGTGTTTTAGAGTGTTTAAATGTTTGAGCGCTCCCGCTTCCTTGCGTGAAGCAAAAGTGCCTGGAAACTCAACTTATACGATCAGTTCCCTTTGAAATAGACTGGACAAAAAGCGATGCTTGCTTTCAAGAGTTTGAGATTCTTTAAAAAAGTGTCTGTGTAAGCAGCAGAGGTTGCCACTTTCACTTTAATCATTATTTGAATAGATTGTTAATGTGCCTAACATTAACCGTGTGTGCTTGATCATCCTTTCATTACCGCACAGGATGTTTTTCACCTGCTTTCTTTTGCTTTTACTATAGGATTAATTTAATAGGAGATTAAACTAGCCATTTATGTATAGTAAACTGGTGATCTGGGACCTTTAGCCAGGACAGACTACTGTGCATATTTCTACATACAAGAAAACTAATATATATATATATATATATATATATATATATATATATATATATATATATATATATATATATATATATATATATATATATATATATATATATATATATTTTTTTTTTTTTAAGGAAAAGTTTTGTTGAATAAGAAGTGTATATACAGCTGTATTTAGTTTGTTTTGAAAATGTCTAATTATTTTTAATTTGTTACTAAGAAATTTTTTATTTTTTTGCTTATGTTTGGTGTGGCCAGAGAAAAAAAAATAGGTAAATCCTTAGTGTTGAGCCCTGAAAATTCTTGTGAAACAAGAACTAATTGCAATGTGACAGACACTATGAAACCACAAACCATTTGCTCATGCTCACCGAGCAAGGTCATACACAACACACAAAAAGTGAAATGAATGAGGACTTATGTGGACATTATGCAAAATATAACTTAAGTAATTTTAGGCATGCCAAAGTCATATGTATGCATATACATCTATATTTTCCTAACAACAAAATTGTGGCTTGTGAAAATGACAAGTGGCTAGTAATGTTGAAAAACTACTAGCCACAGTGGCTGGTGATCAAAAAATTTAATGTTAAGCCCTGGTTTTGGTTTAGTTTCTTATGTTAATATAGAGTAAATACACTGCAAGTTAAAATCTCGCCAGTGTTTCGGTTGGTTATAAAGTCTTAAAATTTATGGAAAGAGTCTTAAAAAAGGTCTGAAAAGGTATTGAATTTCACTCTCTGATTCCTGTATATACCCTGTAAAAGAAAGCTGAATAAAAGCTCAAATAATTTCATTTATGTATACCTTGTAAAGATGGGACGATGCTTGATAATCTGAAGGTTCAGGTTTAAAAAAACATCTAAATTCAGAAAAATTCACCTTTATGAAATTGTCTAAACGAAGTCCTTAGCAGTTTTTGATTTTTAGAATTTTGGTATTTATATATGGGGCATCACGGTGGCACAGTGGGTAGCACAATCACCTCACAGCAAGAAGGTTGCTGATTCCAGCCACAGCTGGTTCAGTTGGCGTTTCTGTGGTTTCCTCCGGGTGCTCCAGTTTCCCTCACAAGTCCAAAGACATACGGTACAGGTGAAGCTAAATTGTCCTTAGAGTGTATGTGTGTGAATGAGTGTGTATGGGTGTTTCCCAGTGATGGGTTGCAGCTGGAAGGGCATCTTCTGCATAAAACATATGCTGGATAAGTTGGCAGTTCATTCCGTTGTGGTGACCCCAGATTAATAAAGGGACTAAGCCAAAAAGAAAAACAATGAATGAATGATATTTAAATATACAGTAGGAAATATACAAAATATCGTAACGGATTATTTTAACCCAAGAAATATTTTTGGACGGTTTTCAAAACTGTATTACGTGGTGTATTAAAGGTGTAGGATCACACATATCATTCATCTGCAAATGTCACATCATATTTACAGGGATTATATAGAATGTGTACGATATTTAGACTGCTTGCAAAGTTTAAGCATAATAGAGTGGAAGTTTATATTTTGTATGGTTTGGCATAAAGTAACAGATATAACTTTCAGAAAGATAAATGGTTGAAATACACAGCAGTAATTAAATTTGAAACAAATAACATGGTGACCGATCACATTATGGGGTTTTCATGTCATGTTGTAACTTGGGCTAAAAAATAATAAAGGCTCTCAAATCCCTTCCAAATCTCTACACTTTGACTTTTAGATCCATCAGATAGTGTATATTTCTTCAAATAAAGCAGCTAAAATGAACACCCTCAGATGTTAAACCAGATGTTACAAAATCAATTATGTTTCATTCATTTTGAACTTACAGCTGCTTTTAACCATGAAACTGAGCTAATACATCTACAAAAACATTACACAATGCTAGACTTTTGCAAGAAAGTTTGCAACCCTGCATCCTTGGTATTTCTGACAACTTGGATTTGTGTAGAAAACTAGCTTCAGAGCACATGATATAGAACAAAAATGGCAGCTCTTACCTCTAATGATGTCTGGTCTTCATCTCTTCACCATATAAACTATGGACAACAATATACTGAATCAAAGACAACCATCATGGAGTCCAGTCCTGCTGCAAGAGCTTCAGTGTCCAGCTGAATTTAGTTCAGTCGAGTCCAACACATTTGTCTGCAAGTTGCTTGAGATCCTCAAGACCTTTATTAGCTGTTTCAGGTGCGTTTAATGAGGACTGGAGCTAATGTTGCAGGATGACACCTTTTCATCCAAAGGATCCTGCCTCAAACATAATGTTATTGCACTACAAATAAATTACTTTGCAACAGGACGGTTAAGCTATGTTAAGCAGTGGGTTTCACCAGGGTTTGTTTTTCTTTTTTAATAACTCAACATTGCAAGGTATTGGGGTCCGCTCTTCGTAAGTGGATTGCTCAATTAGCTGGATTTGGTTACTGAGATAAACTCCAGTTTCACACTAGATTGTAGTCTGTTGGGGATGTTTTCATCCACTCTGGGGTGATTTTGAGTCATAATTTGGCCATAACTTTCTCTACGTTTCAGCAAATAGAATGACTTTTGGTGACAAATCTAATTTTGACACATGTTATGGGAAGATGCTTGAATTGTTTTCACAAACTCAACAATACACTCTGGGTCATTTTGCTACCCTTTCGTTATGTTGGTGGCTGTTTTTGCCCCATTGACTTTCATTAGAATCACATTATTTTTTGTTTTCGTTGTTGTTAAGAAGAGGTTAAATACATTTTTTTTTTTTTTTACAGTTGACCATCAGTTGTAGTACAAAAAAAAAGTATAGTTTTTGCCTTGGATATGGATGTATGTGTGAGGCTTTTGTGCACTTATCTTCATATGTCTGAGAAAATCAAAACAAGCAAGCTCAGCTCTCAGAACATAGTAAACATAGTAAGTGCATTCATGCACACAGACACACTATAATCTGCTGTTTACTCCATATAAAAGTCAGAAAGTGCTTTTGCACAGGCCTAACCAAAGGGTTAAGGGTGCCTACTGATGATCAACAGTACGAATGACACATTTTACCTCTTCTCAACAGGGTAATCCACCAACAATCAAGAATGCATGATTATTATGGGCAATCATGGCTTTGCGATCAAAAATGTCATTATAATGAAAGTCAATGTGGCATAAACAGCCGCGACCAAAACAACTAATAGGAAGCAAATTGTAATCATTTATTCCAACTCTCAAACAAAATCTAGTTTTTGAGATAATTTCAAATTTGGATATTCCATGTTTACATGTATGGCTTTGATTTTCTCACAGTTTTGCAGTAAAACGTGCTGTAGAAAATATTTGTCTATTGATGAAAATGAACAAAGTACACCTGACACTCGAGTGATATTGCAATGGTGCTGCTTTTTATTACATACAGTATTCATCCTTTTGCATTATTGCACATTTAAGTTAGCTGTACAAACAATAGTGCAATTGACTATTACATGTGTAACATAATAAAGGTACCATGCAGCATACAAACGGTCTATAAAGCATCAGAGGTTGTCGTTGGAGTTTACATGTATGACAGTGAGCGGAGCTGCCTGCAGCTAAAGAGTGACGCAAAACACAAGAGCACTACTGCCGTCACAGGGGCAATAGCCCAAACACAAAAAGAAACCACACTGAAGAAGTGATTGCCCTCCACCTTTTGACTTCAAGTAGCTGGTCGGATTTGTATTCGAGCAGACAAGCTGCGATAGAATAAAGATAGCGGTGAAATTAAAATACTCTGAATACAGTGAGCCTGATTATGAGTGAGTTAAAGATTGTACAGTTTGTTTGACAGGCACTAGTGGCTCCTCTAAAGGCAACCTGATGCCCCATAGAGGACCAATCTGGGCAGGCTTTATTGCTTCAGTGACAGTTTGGCAGTCATTCGAAGGGGCGAACAAGGGACACCAACCCCCTAAATATTTGGTCCGTGTGACTTTAAAAGGGACGAATGACATTTTTGGGTTGACAAACATCGCAGTAATCTACAAAGGAAACCATTTGTAGAGCTTTTGTGATGGGGGAAATAAACGAAAACCGTAAATAAGCATATTTGAACTGACGTCATCAGCTCTTTCGATGCAAGCACTAAAATACAAATACAGGTCTTTATGAAAGATATAGAAAACAAACGTAAAGAGGACAATTAAAAAAAACCTTACACACAATGTTTACAACGGACAGCCATAAATAAACGAACAGAAAATAACACGTTAAAGGAGGACAATATGAACTCTCAGCAGATAAAAAGACAATGAGCCGTTAGTCGTGGAAGCTTTATAACAAAAGCAGACGGAGGCTACGGGTTAGGCTTAAAGGGATCATTCACCCCACAAGAAATGACAACTCTGACATCATTTCCTCATCCGTGTGTCTTCCCAAACCAGACAGATTTTCATATGTAGAATTTAAAAGAAGGTATTTTGTCCATGCAATGCAAGTCAAAGGGGTCCAAACAAAATTGGACCCCATTGAAATTCATTATGTGGAGAAAAAAAAAAAACAACCTCCAGTTAAATGATGACAATGTTGTTATTTCTTGCATGAACTGTCCCTTTAATGGAAATGTAATCTTTAGAAGCTGGCGTAGCAACTTTGCATATCAATAGTGTTGATTATTTGTCTATCTTCAGTGTTTAATGTGTTCAAGAGGCTTAGTTTAACCAAAATGATCTTCTTCTTTTTTCTGGAAAATGTTATTTACCTTCACAGGTACCAGGCTGCAATGGGGCGTCTAAGTTAGTTGTTTTTAACTGAATCTAAAGATCTGAGGCTACAGGACGCGCACATCAGAGGAACTGTAGGCTAACAGCAGTCAAGCAGCACCAGGTCGGGCTCAAAGCATTTCACAAATACACTCACATCATACGATGTGCTAAAGATCCTTTGGTTTCTACAGCTTTAAAAGTCTCTCGCGACCACACACACACACACACGCGCCACCATCAGTTCAGTATTGGCCAGTTCTCAAGGACGGCATGATTTGCACCAGTTTTTGTTTCAAGGTCATGTACGGATTGATGAATGGGTTTATGGTGAGCTGGGCAGGAGGTTGAAAAGTACGACGAAGCAAAGTGAGTGTGTATGAGCGTGCACAATGGAAGATGGTTTGTGTCGCCTAAATATAAAACTTTTCTTGTTTGCCAAAACATATAAACATCTTTAGAAAAATGGATACATTTACACTTGAAGAAGGTAAGAAAAAAGTGCTTAAAGGGACAGTTCACTCAAAAATAACCACACACTGCCTGTCACACTGCCACACTGTCACACTGCAAAACATGCTTTTCTTACTTAGAGTTTTTGTCAGGTTTCTAGTCCAAATATCTAAAAATTCTTAAATCAAGAAGCATTTTCTAGACAACAAAGCATATAGTCTTGTTTAAAGAATTAATATGCCAAAATGAAGTGAGTTTTTCTTTAAAACAAGCAAAATAATCTTGTTTTTGCTTTCGACATAAGATTATTTTGCTTACCCCATTGACGGATTATTTAGCTTTTTTTTTTAAGGAAAAACTCATGTAATTTTTGCATATTAGTTCCAAAAATTAGACAATATGTTTTGCTTGTCTAGAAACTTCTTGATTTCTGAATTTTTTTGGGGACTAGAAACAAGACAAAAACTCTAGGTAAAAAAAGCTTTTTTTTTTTTGTTTTTTCTAGTGCATGATTTACTTCCCCATAACTTGTTTGAGTTTCTTTCATGTGTTGAACACAAAATAAGCTATTTGGAATAATGTTGGAAAACGGTAGACACTGACCTTCATAAGGTTTTTTTTGGCCTACTGTGGACGTCAATGTCTTCTGAATGTTTTCATTTGTGTTCAACACAAAATAGAAACTCCAACAGGTTTCAGATAACATGAAACGGCAAGTAAATTTTTGTTTTGGGTGAACTATCCCTTTAATTTAAGGTAAACTCCTTGAAAAGTTATTAAAATTATACTCTGTGTTTCACAAATTTCACAAAATGAAATGCATTTATAATTTTCAAATAAAGTAAATGACAATTCGTGTTGTTTTAAAGAATTTAAGCAAATATTTCAAACATACAGGTTGAATAGTTCACCCAAAAGTGAAATTCTGTAATCGTTTAACTTAAAACTGTATGAACTTTACTGAAGAAGATGATAGAAGATATTCCGATGAATTTTGGCACCAAGTCAGTGTCTGGTCGATACCAATGACACCAAACCTAAATGACTTTTTCACCTTGCCAATAACAATAAAAAACATCCCAAATTTATTTCCCCTGCAATGGAAGTCAATAGGGTCCAAAAAACTGTTTACCCCATTAACTTTAATTCAGGGGTGCTCAAACTTGGTCCTGGGGGCCGTGTGTCCTGCAAAGTTTAGTTCCAACCCCAATCAGACACACCTGGGCCAACTAATCAAGCTCTTATTAGGATTTCTAGAAACATTTTGCAGGTGTGCTAAGGGAAAGTTGGAGCTAAAATCTGCAGGACATCGGCCCTCCAGGACCGAGTTTGGACACCCCTGCTGTAATTGAATAGATTAAAGACTTATTTTGTGTTCTACAAAAAAGTCAGAACAAGTTTGGAACAACTTAGAGGCCAAATTATAAAGAATTCCCTGTACAAAACACTGCTTATCCACATTCTTCAAAATATCTTCTTCGGCATACAGCAGAAATCCAAAATTCATACAGCTCTGCAAAAACTTGTACAGCGAGCAAACAATGACAGCATGTTCATTCTTGAGTGAGCCATCCCTTTAAACAAATATGATGTTTTTCGCACCTTCCATTTCTGGACTCGCTCTTACATTCCTCTCGGTGACATTTGACGGGCTCCCAGATGGCAGGGGACTGCTGAGGCCCCCTGTGTCCTTTTTGGGATTCTGTTGGCGGTGTAGCAATTGAGTTCCTGAAGCTGCTCTCCTGTTTGTGGCTCTCCTGACTCCCTCCATTTCCACAGCATCTGCTCCTTTCAGTCTCATCTGAGTTCTCAGCGAAGCTCTTTACAGGGATGCAAACAGCCAGGACTGCATATATATGTGTGTGTGCATGTGTGTGAGTGTGTGTCGTTCACTCTTCACACCGGGTGAGATGGCAGCTCAAATAGAGACGGGTGGAGTTTGGGGTTCGTTTCGAGGGAGATGCAGTCATCTTTGCCTAGCTGGCGACGAGTGGCACTGAAGTAAGCATTCATCAACTGCATGATCTCAGTCAGCTGAGAGAGAGAGAGAGAGAGAGAGAGAGAGGGAGAAATGACTTTAGTAAATTTCCACTGTGTAAAATATGTGTCACAGATATACTGTCAGTGCTAAGCACTTTATTCTAGTACAATGACTCTGTTATGCACTAGAACACTTTGTACACCACACTTAACACTGGAACACTGTAAACATCGTTTTTAGGTTAGTATGAATTAGAGGAGCAGCACTGTTGCTCAAATGTTTGCAGTTGCTAAAATTATCCAAAGCTGCATTTATTTAATCAAATAACAATTCGAAACAACCATTTGTGTAATCGATTCTTTTCAAAAGTTGTTTATTTGTGTGATCATCAGTGGTGGAGAGTATTGAAAAATCGTATTCAAGTAAAATTGAGTACCATTACGTAACCAAAATATAGGGCAAGTAGATTAAAAGTTCCTGTCATAAATATTACTCAAAGTACTCAAGAGTAGTATTACACTGTCAATTTGTGCATGTGTGTTTGAAAACGTAACATTCTGTAGTGATTTAGTGATTGTTTAAGGCCATTTGGTAATTTCAGTCATCATACAGTAGACATCCCCCATCTCATCAGAGACAAGAAGTCTAGACAGTCTCTAGATTATTGTGTGTAACGATTTTGTGTCTTGAGGTTGTTCTGTATAATGCGATTTGATTGGATGGCAATCCCAGAACTGATTGTTCTACTTCTAGCACTCTACTTCTACTTCTTCTCTACTAGTCAATCACCATATAATAAAGTTTTGCCAACAGTTTGAAGGAAAATAATGCAGTAAATGTACCGATTTAGCACAACAAATGTACTTTAGGGAAAGTAAAAGTACACATTTTAAAATCTACTTAGTATATTAAAATTCCTGAGAAAAACTACTTACAGTAATTTGAGTGTTTGTAGTTTGTTACTTCACACCACTGCTGATGGTGTCTCAGTTTTTCAGCATCATTAATCGAGGTTTCATTATTACGTGGTCCTTCAGAAATAAGGGTAATGTGCTGATGTGGTGGCAGTTTTGTCATATACGGATAGCAAACACATTGTATTTATGACAATTTATTTTTCTGTTTTCAGTTTTTAGTTTCATTATTTGTTAATTTAGTTTCAAGAGTTTTTTTTATGTCCATTTAGTTTTTATAATTTTTTTTAAATGTTTTTTTTGGTTACAGTTAAATGAACATGAATGATCTGTTAATTATCTTTAACTTTTGTTTAACTGACCAAAATCTAAATGTGTTTGTGTGTGTGTGTGTGTGTGTGTGTACATATATATATATATATATAATATAAATATATGAGCAATATCACACGAGTAACAGTGCGATATGGCTGTATATCGGCACTGGTGGAAGGCGTGCGATGACACGAGGCCGCAATCCGAGTGCCTTAGTGCCCCCACCAGTGCCGATATACAGCCATATCGCACTGCTACGAGTGTGACATTGCATTTATACAACAGTTTGACAGCATAATTGTGTATATAAAAACAAAATCAAACACAGAGAGTTTCAAAAACCCTTTTGTATGTGGAACTACTTTCTTCAACATTGGATTCAAATCATAAGCTGACAGTTAAATCTGTAGTGTCTGCTTTTTGCTGGCTGTATGTGGGCGGAGTAATACACAAAGGGTAAAGAGGCTGTAGGAGTTCTGATATTGCAGAATATTGCACGGCTATCAGCCAATCAGATTTGAGAACCAGACAGAACTGTTGTATAAATAAATAAATATATATAAGAAAATATAAAATAAGTATAAAATATAGAATAACAAAAATAATAACTACAATTGCTGAGTTCCACACAATTTCTTCATGATGTCCCAACGCAAATGGATTAATGCCGAGTTCAGACTGCACGATTTTCAAACTAATGATGTCACAGATGTCTTCACTCTGCATGACCATCTGCGCTAGCTTTTCACTGCTGCTTTGTTTACAATGCAAGATGGATTGGCTTTCACACTGTATGACTTTAAAATAGGAAGAATCGCAGACAACTTCGAAAAACAAAACAAAGAACCGGTCCACGAACTACATCTCACAACCAAACATATGTGTGAAGTGACATAGAAACAACACAAGGTCACGTAGTATATGTTATTGTTATAGCCTTTAGTGGGGGAGAAAATGTACTTCTTTTGCTCAACGGGTTTTTGAAGGGAATTAGCAATTTCACTTTTTTTCTTTTTCGAGCAGGTTGTGAGTTTTTCCTTCATGACTTGGGTTCAAGTAGAGCAAAAAAGCTCTTTTAACTTCTCTCCCAATCGACCCCTGGCTATTCTAGTGGCTGCTGCTCTCTCATTGGCTGTAGGTGATTGTCTGTGTTATTTTCAATCATGAATCGCTGACAGCTCCAGATTTTTAGGGTGTTGGTGACTCATCGCGATTCCCTCAGATCGTGTCTTTGAACATTCACACTGTGTGATTGTTACCCACGTGAACAAGCACCAATTTTCCCATGATTTCAGGCATTTGCTGGCGATTTCTTAAAACCTGTTGGCGAGTCAAAATCGGGGCTAAAATCATGCAGTCTGAACTTGGCATAAGTTAACCTAATTGTGTTTAAATTGAAGTGGATTGAACATAAAACACTTAAGCTTTCCCCAAAAAACTAAAGAATTGTGTTGTTTCTACTTATTTTAAGTAAGCAGTTTGAGAAAGCAGTTTTTTAATTTTTATTTTTTAGTGTACTTGGTGTATTTAGAGTGATATTGACACACAAATGAACAGTTGACTAGTCATAATGTTTCCTTACAGGTCACATTAACATACTATACATATAAAGATCCGTTTACACAGTGTAAAGGCATACACACAGGCCATTTCTCCCAATGTTGCACTCATTTGTCCATTGTATTTTTTATGAAAAAGTCATCATCTCCATATTTGAAAAATGACACCAATATCCAACTATTCAGATGCAAAATCTAAGCATTATCAAGCAATTTAACACATTACATAAAAATGGGGGTTGAATATTGTAAAATATTTGTGTCTGTCTGTGTGTGTCTGAGAACATTGTTAGGCTCTTTAAATAAAGTGAGAAGTTGGCATGTAAATTAATTTCAATTAAATCAAGAGCGACTGACAGACGCACTCCCCATTCATTTGTCACATTTGACTGTTTCAGTCTGTCATATTGGCGTATGAGTCATTTATGTTCGGCGAATGTTGATGACTGCAATATTACAGTCATTAACAGTGTATGTGCGAGCTAGCAGAGATGTTTCTGAATCCCTCAAAGTCAGACAGTTTGTCAAAAGAGATTGCTTGGATTTGAAGCTACAGACTGGGTGTGAGCTACAGCTGATATCAGGAGAAGACAGACTGGTTGTCTCAGTATTTCCACGTGTGTGCACGCCACACACAGCTGGTCTGACCTGTACAGTCTGAGTCTCAGTACGCATAAGACAAACCCTCTGACGTCAATGTCTTTATAGTCTAGAACAGTTCCAAGTTTCATATTTTCCATGCATTATATCCTATATTTACAAATGAACAGAACACGTGTATAATGGAGAACTCTAGTGTAAAAGCCTCACTAGAGGTATATGCTTCCTCTGTTATAAATTATTATTATTATTAGTATTAGTATTATTCTTACACGGCTGTCTGGAATACTTGATTCTGATTGGTCAATCATGACATTCCAAGGTATGTGCATCAATTAATATGTTCACATCCATATTTATATGCTTGGCGCGAGTAACTCTATGTGTATGTTAGTGCATGCTCCATTCAGCTGTTTTCATTTCTTTAGCTTTGCCGATATCAGGCTTTATTCTGCGATAACTCCATGGATGCACTTTATCCCTTACTTATGCATATTGCTACACATGATAGTCTTTTATTGCTGAATGAACCTACTGCATAACAGATTAATCTGTCAAATGTGTATGTTAACTGGATGAAAAATACTGGATGAGTAGAAATATAAGTGGTGTTTTGGTGATTTGATACTATTATCAGTATATTTGTGAATGCCAGTGTTATTTTAGTATAATTTTTTAATAATCATTGTAATATTAATGTAACGTTTATATTTACACATTTTGAATTACATTTCATTTTAGTCCAAGTATGATTAATTTTGGTTAGTGTTTTACTTTTTTTACACACACACACACACACACACACACACACACACACACACAAACACACACACACACACACACACACACACATATATTTTTATATATATATATATATATATATATATATATATATATATGTGTGTGTGTGTTATTATATTAGAATTAAAACAAATAAAACATAAAAATGAGAAATGTTGGCTTGGGAACCACATGAAAATAAAGGGTTTTGAGTATATATATATATATATATATATATATATATATATATATATATATATATACTCAAAACCATTTATTTTCATGTGGGTTTTATTATTTCATGTGGGTTTTTTATGTGGGTTTTCATGTGGTTCCCAAGCCAACATTTCTCCCTTTTTATGTTTTTATTTGTTTATTTTTCATTTTTTTGAATTCTAATATAAGTATATTTTTATAATATTTCAACTTGTGTTTTCCTAGTAACAGAAACAATATTACATTTTTCTATCATGTAAATGCTGCGGTGTTCAGGGTTGGTCAGTGGTCCAAGTCAAAACTTGTGAAAAGATGAACTTGGAACTGTCAGATTAGTTCACACTATCAAGTGACTGTATTTGAAATGTCATACAGTTTAATTTGGAAAGTGTTGGTTTTCCAGAAGTTTGAGGCAAACACCACAGCAGGGTTAAATGCTGGTTATGGGCTTTATGGTAAGTACCTTGTTGTTATCATATTATTTAAGTAAGCACAACAGGCAATGCCTTGTGTCACTATAAATTATTAAAGGAATGACCATTTATTGCACGACAAGTCAATTTATTAATTATCACAACAGGCTGAACTAATACCATAAGTCTGACCACTTTTAAATCAACCAGAATCTTTCGCATTCATAGCACAGATTGTGCAGATAGGGATATTGATGATGCAACATTTTTTATATTGCCCGCTTACCTTGGTGGTCTCAAAGAGCAGGTCTCGATCTCCTGCAGTGATCCTGAACGTGTTGCTATCAGACACTCCATATGAGCAGATCTGAGTGATGGGCAGAGACTCCAGCGCTTCAGCCTCGCCCTGACGATACAGAGTCACGCAGGATGCCGCTACACCCAGCCACAACTTCTGAGAGAAGCTTCCTGTTGAGCTCTGAGGAACATATATGGATGTCAGACACTGCTTAAAGCATTCTCTAAACACCAAAATACACACTTTTTGTTGTCCTCTTATGTTCACCACGACTGCATTTATCCAATACAAAAACTATTAAATTAAAATAATAGCATTTGATCAAATATATTTTAAAATAGAAACGCATGTAATTTTCTGTTCATATGTTTTTAAAATGCACTGTATTGCTGTGATTACTCCAGTCTTCAGTGTTATATAATTCTTCAGAAATTATTTTAATATGCTGATTTAAAACTTAAAAAAAATCGATGTTGATTCGTGCTGATTTTGTATAAATATACTTTTGTGAAATTGTAATTGTATTGAAACGTGTCTTTGCATAATAACATTGTGCAAACAGCACATCAATCTGCAGTTTGACTACGCATGGATAAGAACAGACAGTTTATGTCACCACTATTGTCTTCACTTGAATACAATCCTCCTTCAAAACTTCACTTACGAGATGCTGATTTGCTTTATCCAGCAAAGAAATATAGTTCACAATATAGTCTGTAAATTAATCTGATCGCAAACACAGAAGAAATGCAGAGAAGTTTATGATGCAATTTTAGCACTTTTAGCAAGAATTAAAAACACTAACAAAAGACAAAAGTAAAGGAATGTCTAATTATATTTCATTTATATGAAATATTTACTAATATTGCACATTCCTTTACTTTTGTCTTTTTGGTGTATATATATATATATATATTAGATGTGTTACAATTGAATAGTTTTTTCTGTGAACCGCAATGCAGACGCAGACAATTCATTATCGGTTCAGTAATGGCTCCTAACCAGTTATTATGTACTGACGTCATTTATCTCATATGTTTATATTGCAGTAAAATACTATGGTAAGGAAGGCAAGCGCGAGTAATTAAATGCAGAAACTGTGCACAATTGACTGCGTGTGTGTTTTCTGGATAGTCTTTCACTAACACTGAAGATACAGCAAAAGCTCTGCTTTACTGCTGGAGAAAATAAATGTAAACTCCATTTCTTTCTTTCTCTCTCTCTCTCTCTCTCTCTGATTGCCGCGTCCCTTATCGTCTATGATTGCTAGTGTCACTTATCGGTAAACAGCGGCATCATGTTAGAGCCAATCACAGCCCTTTCTGTTGAGAGCATGATCAATCATCACGCTTACGACTCGCTTGGCACTGCTCAAAAAGCAAGCGGGATGATATTTACATTAGTTTATTTGCTTTAAATGCTAATGTTGTTCTGTGAATGTACTTGAGTTTTGTAAGATACATTCAAAAAGAGTGCTTTCAGGTCAAATAAAGGTACAGTTCATATATCTGACTACTCTATTTACATATAATTTATGTATATACCACATGTTTAATGCACCTTTGGTGAAAATAAAGTAATTTTTTCAAATACAAAAAATTAATTATTCCAAAAGTTTGCCAACTTACTATATAAAAGTCCACTTCATAGAGTGTGCAGCCGAACCCTGACCATTGCCGGGCAATGGTAAGATAAGCAGCCATGCTGTCCCTGCCACTGTATCCCACCAGGGCTTTCCAGCGCTCTAGAATAGTGGACATCACCACAGCCCCCTCCTCCCTCAGCCTGGCCCGCAGCCTTTGGTCCTGTTCCTGTCGTCGCTTGTGCCCCCACAGCGTCCCAGCCAGCAGACCCCCAGGGAAGGACGGGCAGCCGGGGGGATCGACGGGGGCCAGCAGGGCTCGGGCCTCCACCACCTCTGCTGGAAAGAGCTGCTCTAGCGCCGGGTACGGAGAGAGGGCGCTGAAATCCCCCAGCAGATACTGCAGCCTCAGCGCCGCCAGTGAAAGAAGATCTTCCTCACAAGCTGGCAGCTGCCCTCGCACCACCATCTCATGACACTGGCAGAGAGAAGGGAAGAAGCCGGCTTCAATTTATAAAGTTCACTACAAGGCTGTTTTAACACTATTTAATTAGCTGATGAACACAGCTAAAGTATTTGTGGTGAAAAATTATTCCAGGAATTAGTTCTGATATTTTCAAAATGCATTGCTATTCTCTCTTAAATTTAGAGCTTAATTTTTAAAGCAGATGGCGTTGAATGATTCACAAAACAGCTTGCATCCAATTCCTTACAAATACCACTAGAACCTTTAATAATGATTTATAAAGTTAGGAAAGTTTTAAGTGAACTACAAGTGTTTATAGTGAGCTATGTGTACAATAATCTCGATAAATCTAGATAAAAGCCAGCTTGCATTTTCATGTTATGTTTGGGCTCGCTTGACTTGAGAACACCAGCCCTAAATATGTACAAGCAAAGCTTGGCAGAAACGTAATGTGTATACTGTTCACATGTTTTTGATATTGTTTTGTCTCCACCTTAAATAGTCCTGTTTGTATTCTGCTACAGTAGTTGACATTCTTTTTATTTTTGAGCCATTTGTTTTGTACTTTTTAGTCTTCCAGCTAAAACCTGCTAACTTTTAGTTATCAAAATTTGTCAGAAAAAAACAGCCTCAAATGAAACTACATTTTACAAACATTATAAAATGTATTTTAGTTCCTCAATCTTTTCAAATTAACAGCATTCTAAACTGAAAAAGGATTGAAGAACAAAAATGCACAAACATTCTTCCTGTAAACAACATTGATATATTGATATTTTAAACATCAAGCATAATTAAATGTATTTAAAGCAGTATGAAACTAGCAGTGTGGGTAATGTTTGATGTCAATTCCATTGCTTATATGATTCAAAGTAAGTTCCATATAAGGGTGTCACGATCCTCCAAATTCTCGATTCGATTACATTTTCGATTCTGAAGGCACGATTCAATTCGATTTTGGATTATGAATAATTCATTAATTAATGACCAATTAATTATTTGTAGCCTACCGTTTAAACTACCTAACCTGCATGGTCTTTGTTTTACCCATAAACAAATCATACAGTAAATGAATAAAGGCAAGTTACACACATAATTACCACCTGTCAATCACTTTTTCTGCGGGACTCGTGAATAGGCAGTGATCTGTGTCGTTATAATGGCGTTGGTAAAAAAGAGGCACAACCAACAGGAACCAGCCAACAGTATCTGAGGTGTTCGCTAAAATCACTAAGTATAAGTGAGTGAAAGATTGAAGCAGTCCTCTGACTGCCTGGACCTGCTGTCTCGAGCGCATGGCTGTGTATGCGTCTGTGTCTGTGTGGTCACGTGATGTGCGTTTTCAGCAGTAGTGAGGAAGGAGGGCTGCTCAGAAATGCTACACGCCACTGTGGATGTCAAATCGTTGTTGTTCTAAAATGTCATTTAAAAACAAAGACAGTGTAAACAGGGCCTGAGTGTGTACTTTTCGCGAGCGGATTTGCAACGGGGGCGGGCGGAGGATCGCGATGCCGGTGTTGTCTATCGGACGAACCGTACGTAATACGTACAAAGCAGAGCTTGCAAAACTGTGTTTTTTTTGTCGACAACACGAACGTTGTCAACATAACTCACTGGAAATCCAAAATGCTTACACACCGGCGACTTCATTGAAAGAGGAGAGGGTTTAAGTTCTGTTGACGGGTCTCCTGCTTCTGCAGTTTAACAAGCACTTCAACAAGCCTGTTTTTTCCCGCTTGGCAAGCCAAGCTGACGTGACATGGGGGCGTGGCAGCATCGACAATTCTATTTTTTGATTCGATAATCGAAATTGAGCATAAATTTCGATCGATTTCGATTAAAAATTGAAATCGTGACACCCCTAGTTCCATATAATACAAAAACATGCCATGTTCTGAAAAAAATGGTACACGGAGCATTCTAGTTCTGCTCCTCCCTGCTCATCTCATGTTAATTTACCTGCTCATAGAGGAAGAGGTACTCAATGCTGTCTGTACTGATGTTTTCTGTGTCCAGCAGACAGTAGAGTTTAAAGCAGAGTCTGCACTGGCAGTCAGAGTCTGGATCTTTAGCTGACAAACTGGAAGACACAAAGACAGAGATTTACATGTGAAGTATACCATATGTTGCTCTAAAGATTACAAAAACAATTGTCTACCTCAATATAGGGAACCAAATGTAGGGGTCTAAACAAGTACCTAAATGATCGTTAGTTAGTCAGTCAGTCAGTCAGTCAGTCAGTACGAACGAACAAACAAACAAACAAACAAGCGAGTGAGCGAATGAACAAACGAGCGAGCGAAAAAGTGAACAAACGAATGAACAAACGACAAGAATTGTATAAATAATGAACGAACAAACAAGTTAAATGTTCTTTGATGGTTTATATGTTATATTTTTTACACTGTCTACATGGGTTTATAATTCACTTCTAATAATTGAATTTATATATGCCTTTAATAAATATAAAAAAACATTATTACAAGACTATTTAATATCTTTTATTTATGATGCTGTGCTTCTCAACATTTGTTGCACATACTACAAAACTATATGTTTGGGTTTTTTTTTACTGTAAATTAATATTATGTATTAACATTTTAGTAATTACTTTGTTAATTGTGCATTTAAATGTAATTTATATACATACATTTACATTTTATATCAGTATGTTGATGTACTTCCAACTGAAACGGAAAATTGAGTAGGGGGGGCGGGGCTTTTCTAACGTCATTGCCTCATAATAGTAAAAATATGGTTAAGAATATTGTGCCTGAAGCTGTCAAACAGATGCCAACAGTAAAGGACCACCAAACTGTCTGATTGAAGATTATACAACATTTTTTTTTCAGTAGATTAACTTAATTAACCTAAAGAATAACAATGTAGGCTTAACAAAATAAACATTTTAACTTTTGATTTCACACAGACATTAACATCTCTGTGTTTATACCAGTTCCCAAATCTTTAAGTAGTCCATGAGGCGAGCCATAACAATAACAAACAAAATCTGCCAAAGCTACTTATACAAATGACTAAAATCACCCTGATGTCATCATTCAACCACATGACTCAACCTAATTGGCTAAGGTTTCTCCTGCATGTGCAGTTTTGCACGCAAGAGTTTGTGTTGTATGTGGACACAATCAAACACTAGGCGTGTGTCCATGAACCTGATTCTGGGAAGAGTTGGCAGTGAGACACAGACAAACACAAGCACACTTCCCAGAATAAAGCGAATGCCTTGAATTCTGTCTGGCTTGGCTTTATCTCTCTTTCAGTTTGCTTTCCACATCAGTTAATGCTGGTGACATCAGCCTCACCTTGACATCCCCATTGGAACACTGAATACTAATAAAGAGCTGATTGTCCATTCGCACTGTATGTGTGTGTGTGTGTGTGTGTGTGTGTGTGTAAATGTATCAAGAGGGTTGGTTGGGTTAATATGTGCTAAAGGGCTGGGAAAGTGAATATCAAAGACAAAAACACAGGCCTGAATTGTACTATTGTGCTACTAGTCATAATACTAAATGAATGCCATATTCTTCGTTTACCACAGTAATATCATAGTAAATAATAAAGAGGTTATGACATGTGAAGTCGTTTTAATAGTTGTCTTGTTCTTTGTTCCATTAAATAATTCTTACAGATTCAAAACTTAATGTCTTCTTCGTTATAAGCAAAGGTTTAATTTAATCTAATAATAATTAAGCTGTAATAATGACTTGTTTGCCAATGAGGAGGCAAGTGACATCCCAGTGTTACATAGGAAATCAATTACACACCAATTATAATCACTGCTGCCATCTTAAGTGTATTTTTTGTTTTGTTCTAGTACATCTGTTATTTATTCTTTAGTTTATACTTTTTATTTTTACTATTGTTGTTGTTGTTAGCATAATTATTATTAATTTTATTATTTAACAACCTCTTGTTGTACTGTATTTTGTTTATTGCGTGTATTTTTATATGCCCACTGTTATATCCTGATCATCTACACCATATTTTTTGCATTTACATAATTTCAAAATAACAAAAAAAATTTGATGAAAAAAAAAACAATCCATGTCATGAACCCTTTAAAATCGATATATAATAGTGATGTGGTCATTTTGGTTTGGCAACTTAAAATATTTATTGTATTCTACCTAAAGCAGCAAGTTAAAAACATTTAGTAAAAGACAGAGTTACTTTTCAAATCTGGTGATGACATCAGCGATTATTGTGCTGCCTCCTATAGCTTTTTCCCAGCATGCATTCTGCTCAAAAAGACCAAACGTGTTTCGGCTGTCCTGCAGCCCGAGGCGCTCCGCCATCTTCCTCACCACCTAGACAGATGAAATCAAATCACAAAGAGAATCGCTGTTAGTTCAGTATCATAAGAAAAGTGTTAGTTTAGTGTCATTGAAAAACTATCACCATATGCTTAATATCACAGTAGTTTAAAGGTCCCATGAATTTAAAATAAAGTGTTTTATGGTGCTTTCACATCTGTAGTTCACTTCATTTGGTCCAGACCAAGAGCAATAAATTGTTGCAGTTTCTGCCATCTTCGGGTTGTTTTCACACCACACTGATTGCTTTGGTCCGTTCCAGTTGAAAAGAACCAAAATGCAGTCATCTGACAAAATCCACATCTCTCATTGGCCAGATGTTGTTGAACATAGTTCCTAAACTGTTTATCGATTGGTCAGAATTAACGTGTGGGAAAATGCTAATGAACTTCTGCAAGTAAACAAACCAGCAGACACAAAATGTTGCTTTTTACTATGGAGGGACGACTGCGCTGACTGAATGTATCCCTGCTTAAGACAAACTATACATTTAGAGAATGAAGCGTGGCCGCGCCTGGAAAACAATGTTTTAGTGCATCGCATGTCACTTTAGGAGGAGGCGTGAATTAATTTAGCTAAACTACGACATGGTCATCTTGCGGAAACATTATCAACGATCCATCAGGTGATTTTCTCCCTCTCTCTCTCTCTCTCTCTGTGTTGGTAAAGCGCTGTCAACAAATATTTTTCCTCCATATCCCATAATGCACAGCGCATCAGCCTACGGCAGCTGGACTAGTCCAAAAGGCGCAGTACTTTTTACTGTCGAGTCCGTTTCAGTTCGGATCATATTCTCACCACAAATGAACTGCTCCAGGGTTTGTTTGAAAGCGTACCAAGACCACCTCTTCAAGCAGGTCTCGGTACGCTTTTTGGTCTGCTTTTGGTGCGCAATCGAGTAGCATTGCTGCATTCACACCTGCCCAAACGAACTAATCCAAGAGGGAAAACGAATTCTAGTGTGATTCAACCGAACTAAATAAGGCAGGTGTGAAAGCACCCTTAAATGTCAGTATTAGTATTGTAAGTTAAGATATCTATAAGCAAGCATGCTCTAAAACAGTGGCAAATTTTTTGTTTAAAAGATATAAAACTGATATAAGCATTTAAAGCCTATAGTTTGTCACTTCCGCCTAAATGGATCAACGATTTTATTCACATAACCTCAAACTTCAGTTTCTCATCAAACCATACCCAATCAAATGATCTCTAGTATCTGACATGCCCCACCCCTTTCAAGCCAGTTCTCATTTTATGCACTTGAGCTCAACCCCTCTCACTGGCTGAGCTGTGATAAAACAAAATGCTACTGCCTGTTTTTTTTAAAGGGGAGGAGCTACACTATGTCCCACCCTCTTCGTGTTTTGGTTGAAATTTAATTAAACATTGAATAAAAATGCACTACATGGGACCTTTAAGTCTTGGAATTGTGATTTTTTTTTATCATAGAATTCAGAATTTTCTACTCAGAATAAAAATCTCACAATTCTCAAAATGTTTATGCATCTATAATAGTATAGTATAATTCATCATAAAATAACTAAATAACTTTTTAGTGAGTCAGAGTTGTAGGAAAGGATTGAAACCGAACCTCATTAGCTGTGGTGTGTGAGGTGATGGGTATCTGGCAGCAGCCTGGTCCAGGGTAATGCACAGTACACAGTATCTCCTGTCTTCCCATCAGCCCTTGAATCTCCTCCCACGAGGGCACACACTCTCTGCCTCGGGTCTTCTCTAGAGCCTGGCCAATGAAGGACGCATAGCTCTCCACTTCTGGGTCCACACTCAAACTCTGAACCCTGAAACATGGAGGAAAACAAAAAACAAAGTTTACAATACAAGCAAAGGCACTGTTTTTAGATGTTGGGCTTTTCATGAAGCGTTTTTATCTTTTCAGTTTAATGTGAAGAAAATATCCAAAATGTACTTTCAAGTCATTCTTTTGTCACACACTTCATCAATTTGTGTTGGGAGATTTTAATCACAATACATATATTTAAAGTCTGATTCACGGAGAAATATCTTCAAACATAGTTTACCTGATTATACAATGCACAGCAAAAGCAGTAACTAAATCATCATACTATCATCTCAAAAACATTGCAAGAATTACATGCTTTGTTTTTAGTGAAGACTTAGAGAAAGTTGTTCATGCTTTTATCAGCACCAGGGTGGATTACTGTAATGGACTCCTCATAGCCTTTCCCAAAAAGACAGTCAGACAGTTGCAGCTCATCCAGACTGAAAACACATCTGTGTAGCTGAGCCTTTACTGATGGAGCACTGAGCGAAAGATCTCACTATTATGTCTGTCTTTTCTTTTCATTCTTTTAAAACCTGTTTAACACATTTTAATCTGTTTTAATCACTGTTATTATTGGTTTTTATGTTCTTATACTTGTCTCTTTTATCCCTGTTTATGTAAAGCACTTTGAATTGCCACTGTGTTTGAAATGTGCTATATAAACCACACATTTTTTACTATTATTATTTATTATTATTATTACCTACAATAATTTACACATTTTTATTTCTGAAATATATTAATATGTTTTTTACAGAATTTTCTGATATCTGAAATTCCCTCTGGAAAAAAACCTTTGAATCTAGTGTAAAAAATAAATAAATAAACAAGATTATACCTGACTTGATTAAATGTTTAGATTGTTTTGTGTGCTGGAATTATATGAAAATTAGTGCACATTTAATCTAAACATATACATATTTTGCAAATGTAATCTAGAAATGTTTGCAATTCTTAATGTTATCATTTATCTGGCAAAGTATGATAATAATTCTTAGTTGTTGTTTTAACCTGCAGGTCTTGCTTTGTACTTTGAACATTAAAATTTACACAATTCCAAATCCAAACCACAAACTTTCTCTCAGATAAAAAAAAAAAAAAAAGACGAGGAGAAAGTTGTTTAGCCTCTCTGTTTGGTTTGTCTATTTGCGATATGAAGTGTCAGCCGCTTGGTAATCACATGGCCTAATTGTGTTAAGTAAACAGATGCGGGAAAGCGTCTGAAGGCCTCAGGAGAACAGAAACTCTTCCATCTCCATTACAGTCTCTCTAATCAAAGCCCTGTGGTCAGTGCACTCCATTTCCTCATGGCACGCTCGCTTATTTTGCCATTCTCCTATTTTCTGCCCTTCTCGTCTGTCTGTCCTCCAGGCCTGGCAGTACTTTGAGAGTCAATTAGCCATGGGATGCAGAAAGTGTTGTGCCGTTTCCCAATCCCTCAAGGAGAGGAAAAGAACGAGTGAACAGGAAGTGCACTTTCCAATCCAGGCAACCTCAGGCAGGCCAGATTTCCTACATACTCGACCACAGGACCGGAGGCAGTTGTGCGTGTTTATACTCAAGGACAATATTGGGTATCGTTTATGTGTGCATGTTTGGATCCGGCTGTACTGAAAGAAATCTGGTGTTGAAATTATTTTCACTCAGAAATTTTACAACTGATTTCTGAAATGGCAAGCAGATTTGTAAAGGGATAGTTCACCAAAAAATGTATTCTAAACCTTTATTATTATTTTTAATGGACACAAAAGTGCTTTTTTTAAAAGAATGTTGATAACTAGTAGGCGTTGACATCCATAGTAGGAAAAAAACAGGCTACTGATTTCCATCATTCTTCAAAATATCTTCTTTTGTAGAAGAAAGAGACTCAAACAGGTCTGAAACAAGTAGAGGATGAGTAAATGATGACAGACTTTACTTTTTTATGGTGAAATACACCTTTAAATGACTTGTATTACGTACAGAATCAGGTTACTTTGAATCCTGTTGATCCCAATTTTATTGTGCTTGAAATGTTCACAAATCAATTTGATCCGACAATTGTTTAATTTATGTTGAGCTGAACATTGATTTTATTGTTGCTAGCGCCTTAGTACATACAAAATAATTTTACATCTCTTCAGTTTAAAATAATGATTAAATGATACATTGTTTAAAAAAAATACACTTAAAATAATTTATAATATAAGTATATTTACATATATACTCTACTTTTCTTTTTAAAGTCACAAGAGCTAAGAGCTGGGCGATAAAATTGGTATCGATATTTATTGACTGACCACATTGTCAATATCGATATCGAATCTGAACCTTTTCGAATGCTGCGTGCGCACCGCGATTTAAGCAAGTAGAATTAACCAATATGCTTTGTAGCAAATATACACATTACAGTAATAACGGCAGACTAGTTACCTCAGACAAACACATCGCACCAAAGCACTGCAGTGGTTTTTACTTTTCTCCATAAACTTGCGTCAGAGCTGCAGCAATGGTTTTTCCATTTGTTATCCTCTGAGATAATGGTTGATGGTTACAAGAGATGCCAGTGGAGCGCGAGTGTAAAGTCTATTGTAAATGGTCAAGTAGATCAGAATAACAACACATGCGAAAATGAGTGCCGTATAGCAGCAGTCAGGAGATTGTAAATAATGGATGTAACGATGTCACCAGAGTGGCTTTTTGGTTTCTTTTCTTGTGCATCTCAGCCACTAACTCCCCATCTGAAATCAATTTAGCATAGGGGGTATTATAGTCATTCAACTACACAATTTGTAAAGTTGCAATATGTATTTGAATAATGATGGTTATAGTTCATTTACTTGAAAGCTCAGATTTGATTATCATAATTTGTTTTGTTCACAGAGTTTGAGATTTACTGTATCATTATTATTCACACCCTAAAGTTTGCTTTGATTGTTTAGTATTTGCACTTAACCATTGCACACACTTTGTAATATTATTGTTTAAGAGTTTCTTTAACACTTATTGTATTATTATAATTATATTATTATCTATTTTATTATAAAGAGATCAGATATTGTGTTAAATGTTTTTGTTTTTGACTATCAAAACTGTTTGTCTTAGTAATGTTAGTTAATTAAAATAAAGTGTTTAAATAAAAAATCCTAATACTCCTAATTGTATTGTTAAAAATATTCAATAATTATCAATATTAAATTATATGAAACATGATATCATGATAATTACATAATTATATCATTATAAATACAACATTGCCCAGCCCTACGAGAGCTAATGGCCAGACAGAACCTGTGGACTTTTTTTGTTATTACTGCACAAATTTGCGGGAAATGATTTTGAGCGTATATTAATTAAAATATTAACATGTAACATGTAAAATAATATAATGAAATAATAATACAAAAAAATGAACTTTAGAATGCAAATCTATGTAGAACCACTTGTTTGGTAAACAAAAAAAGTGAATCTCTCATGTACAGTAATATATGTCAGAAAATACACATCTAATATATCAATACTATTACTGAAATAAATAGAAAAACTGAGTAAGTATATACTCACACATATCTGCAAAAGTAAACAAATAGTCTGAATGATGGGCTCAAATATCGGCAGATTTCTGCGGGTACAGATTCTGTGTGGGTCTACTCATGAACAGTGAATATTGAACGTTGTTATTTGATTTTACACAACATAAAATATACTAAAGAAGTTACTAATTCATTAATTAAATAAATTTAATTAACTACTAAATTTGTTTATATAATTTGTGTGGAATATTAGCCGATACGGTCAGAGTGCGAATTACAGGAGAGTTTGGAGGGGTCTGTCCTTCCTAATTAATGCTTGATCCCCCCTGAAAAACATCAAAACAATGTATGGCGGTCTGCCCTTTAATAGTTAAAAAAGTTTGCTCTGATCTGTATCTTAAATAATATTAATGATTAAAATAATAGATAACTTCAATATATATTTGACCACCCCTATAATGGTTCATACCATTGTAATCTTTAAAAAAGCTGTCTGTAGGTGTCTGTAAAACTAGATGCATAGTTTGTATTTTATTATACAGTTGCTTGCACACGGAAGTTAAACAGTAAAATAAAAGGTGCAGGAAAGCAAACCTGTCACCGTTTATTTAATTTCACAAATATCATTGAGAACCACTCCATATCTCTCAAAACACAATAACAAGTTTGATTTTTATCAGTGTACGGTGGCTCAGTGTTTAGCACTGTCACCTAAGAACAAGAAAGTGGTCCTAGCACAGTGCTGGGTTGCAGTTGGGAGCCTATATAAAAAATTGGAAGTTCATACTGCAGTGGCGACCCCTGATAAATCAGGGACTAAGCTGAAGGAAAATACCTGAATGAATGAATGAATAAATGAATGAATGAATGAATGGATGGATGAATGAATGAGTGTAATCTTTTGAGCAAAATAATAATAATAATAATGATGATGAGATGTCAACTGTATTGTCAACAGTATGTGTGTGGTGTGACCTGTGTTTCTGTAAAACAGCATCAGAGTGCGACTGACCTCTTGAGGTGGAAGCGCAGGTATCTGAGGATGCCGCAGCTTGGCAGGAAGGTGCAGCTCATGCAGGTGAGCAGTTGCCAATATCTGAGCTGTGGGTTGGGGTTTGTCTGCGTCTGCACTCGTGAGCTGGTGGTGCTGGTCTGCTTGATGAGCTGACAGTAGAGCTCGTCTCGGAGCGGTCGGAGGTCCAGGCAGGTCTGCAGAATCCCTTGAATGAGAGGAATGGGCTCACGGGCTGATTCCAGCTGCTGGAGACAGTTAAACAGCCTCACCGCCTCCTCGCGGATCGATGTGTAGCCTTTGCTGGCCATGTCTAAGGAGTGGACAGAGAGTAAAGACATATTGAAGTGGAACATGCTTGTAAACTGTATGCATCTTGTCAACAAAACAAATATTTGATGGGTTAGCAACAGAAATTGAAGCAATTAATGGGATAGTTCATCTATTAACATTAACAAAAATTAACATTTACTCACTATTTACACAACCTCAAGGTGGTTATAAACCTTTATGAGTCTCTTTTTTATGTTAAACACAAAAGAAGATATTTTAAAGAATGTTAGACACAGGCAACCATTGACTTTCATAGTAGGAAAAATAAACTATGGATGTCTATGGTTACAGGTTTTCAGCTTTCTACAAAATATTTTCTTTTGTGTTTAAAAGAAGGGGGAGGATGATGAAAGTGTTGCATTGTAAACAAAGTAAAAGGGTAATGTTTTTTACCTAAACACTTTTTATTAAGGAGAATTGCTAATTTTATTTATTATTTATATCACTATTATTTTATCTTTTAAATTATTTCGTTTATAACTATATTACTATTATCATTATTATTCTTACATACAAATTTCCAAAATGTTTTTTTTTTTTTCATAAAATGTGCCTATTTTTTGGCCAAAGTTTACAATCCTACAAATAAGCAGAACAAATATAGTTAAGAAATGTAAGATTTAAAAAAAAAAAAATGAATTCCTTGTGAATGTTTTTATCATAAAAATGAAAAATGAATGTTTTTATCATAAATGCTCTGAAAAGTTTACAAAATGGGTCAAGAACAGCCTAAACACCCTTACTATAGTTTTCATGAAGCTAAAAATCCAAACATTTCTAACCAGAATACATGTAGAAAATGAGGCATTGGAGATGTTGTGTTGGGGAGTGGATGATACTGGCTTTGCATGGTCAAATTTCCATGTCTATGTATGTGTGCGGGTGTGTTTAACTCACGTGTGTGATGCAGGCTGCCGTAGGGGAAAGGCAGCAGTGGGGCGTACAGTGGGCTCTGCGTGTACCTCAGGATGGGATTATGTTGATAAATGTGCTCCACAACCTCTGGATTGAATTTATTCTCCTATAAATAAAAACAACAGGTGTAAAGTAATGCAAGGCTTTGAAATCGTAAAAAGAACACTCATGGCAGAAATATTTCCAGTGTTCCATTATTCCCCAATAAGCACATGCCATATTTGTTTTATTGTGTAACGAAACGATGAAATGATGATAATGTAATGCAAACGATGGAAATGCTGCAGTGTTTGGGGAAACGGATGCGGTGGATGAATGAAAGGGAAACAGATTTCAGCTTACAGATGGACTTGTCGACCCTGGTCAAGGTCTGGTCTTTCAGTGTGTGTATAATGAAAGCTGCTGTGTACATTTTGAGGGTGAATAAGGCCAGTTTCTGTTTGTTGTGAGGCGTTTGCTTATAAGAGACCTGATAAACCAACCCAAGAGCAGTTAAACGTGACAAAACATACTGCCACAATGGATATATACTATACATGTACGTTTTTGAGAGGTAAAATTAATAGTATCTACTATAGATACTCTAAGTGTATATGTCAGCCGATGTAAGGGGGAAAACTTTATCTTTCAAACTTTTGTCCACATGAAAACATTCCAAAAGCACGTCTAATGTGAGTTTCATGTGTGTTTTTTTCATATGAAGCTCATGTATAACTACTAAGAAGAGTTGTGTTCTTAAAATAGTCTGAGAAGAACAAGATGACGGAAGAAGAATAAGTTTATATATTATAACAGTACGTTGGCTTTCTAAAGCCACCAAAATAATAATAATAAAAATAATAACAATGAAATGTTTTATTTTTGAGCAGAAAATCTGAATAATATAATTATTTCGAAGGATCATGTTACAGAAGCAACAATGCTACAAATTTAGCCTTGAAATCACAGGAATAAATAACTTTAAGAGTTTAATTGCACATTTATTTCACTGTACTTTCAATCAAATAAATGCAGGCTTTGTGAGCAGAAGGGACTTGGCCATTAGTGTATGTATATACAAAACATAACAGTAAGGTCATTTAGGGGTCCGACCCTTTAACATTTCAATGTTTGCGGTTTTTAACGTCTGTCTGTCCGTCTGTTTATGTGCGCGCTCAATGGCATTCCGGGGAGTTCTGTGGGCTAGCAACTAGCATCCTATTAATACGGATCTCTCCGAGAGTGCCGGCATTACATCATAACAACAGGGTTATTCTGAAGAGCTACTCGTTGCTTTCCAAACTATTTCTAGAGACACGGGATACCAAGGGGCACATCTATAAGTGTAAAATCACTAGCCAAAAAACTAATAATAACATACTGGAGCAGAGAGATGACATTGAGTGGAGTTTAGATGCGTGTCTGTTAATGTGGATGTTTAAATGTAAACATTTGGTGTAAAAATATGAATATTTGCTTTATTATCTCTACGGTCTAATGGCATTTTCAAATAGAAACATTGGTGTTTAGCGCTTTTTGTTTTTCAGAAAATGCCAATTGTTCATGGTAACAAATGTTTTCATTTTTTTGTATGAGAAATTCCACATAATTATATAAAAGTTTAAACATTGGTTTAGTGTTGTCCTAAAGTTAATATATACATGTGTGCAAACATGGCATTTTTTTGTTATTTTATGCAAAAAATAGGGATGCATGATGTTAATATCACATATCAATATCAAAGCAAATTTTATTTTAATAATTTTGCTATGAGGGAGACACTGTTGCACAGTAGGTAGCGCTGTCGCCTCACAGCACGACGGTTGCTGGTTCGAGCCTCGGCTGGGTTTGCGTTTCGATGTGGAGTTTGCATGTTCTCCCCGCGTTCACGTGGGTTTCCTCCGTGTGCTTCGGTTTCCCCCCAATCCAAAGACATGAGGTATAGGTGAATTGGGTAGGCTAAATTGTCTGAGTGTGAATGAGTGTGTATGGGTGTTTCCCAAAGATGGGTTAAGGTTGGAAGGGCATCCTATGCATAAAACATATGCTGGATAATTTGGCGGTTCATTCCACGGTGGCGAACCAAGATTAATAAAGGGACTAAGCCGAAAATAAAATGAATGAATGAATTATTGCTATGATTCATTCATTTATTTTCCTGTGGCTTAGTCAGTAGCCGTGAACATTTGAAGCAGATCAAAAATGTTTTTCAGAATTGTACAAAGACAAAAACGGGTGTTGTTCAATAGTGTATGTGACAAATAAAGGTTTTTTCATCATTTCATCACCATCATACTCGGCTGTCAGCCTCCAAATATAAACAGACATCAGTTAATGGTATTAGCAAAAATCTCCATATCAGTGCATCTCATAACATTTGAAATTTTGGAAGAAACTTCAACAGTAGTTAAAGTTACATTGTACTCTATAAATCATAAATCAAGAGAAACTGGGGAATTTCAAGTGGCCTCAACTTAATCCACAGCTGTGCTTGCAACTAAGCTGACATTTCTAATCCTTCTTCAAATATGTTATGAATAAGTGTGAGTTCTCTTACCTCAATGTCACGTATGAGGAGCTGTGTTGGCGTCTCCACCGGCGCTTTGCTGTCGATGACTTTCTGCACGGCACACGCCCAGTGCACCGCCTCATTGTAGTGCTTTGTGAATAATCTGTAGCAGTGCTTGCGGCCATATACAGTCAGACTCCAGTAACCTGTCACACACACACCAAACAGACATTAACCAAAATGTAGCAATACAATCTCATTATACAAAAGCATCTCTGTACAATTACTGCACAAGTATTCAGATACATTCAAGAGCTTTTAGTTGAAAAGTATGAATAAAAGTAGCTGAAAAAAAGGAGTGATAAATCGTATATATGCTTAAACTGTTTCTGATTAAAAACAAATGCTCTAAAGCTCCAGTGTTCTAAAGCCCTCATATTTCCCATCCCTGGCCTGCAGTAAATGTGTTCATATGTTCTGGATCTGGATATTTTATGAGGATCTCACTAATATCTCATTTCTCCCCTGTTGTTAACTTTGGCAGTCAAAAGAATGAGGCTTTGGTTCAAAACTAAGGCTTTTAAAGATGTACCAATACTTTACAATCTCCATTAAGCCAACTCCATCTCTCTAGGCCAGTGGTTCTAAAATGTTTTTCACCAAGTGCCACCTCAGGAAAAAAAAGTCGTCTCCTTGAAATCTTAACATTAACTTTACATATTTAAATTAGAAAGTAGATCTGCTTACTGCATGTCATTTTCAGTATAAGTCAGAAAATCAAGTAAATAAACAAAGTTTTTGAGATCACATCTTAAGTGAACAATGGAGTTTGCGTTAACCGCACACATTATACTCTACCTCTAAGCTTCAAACATGGCGAAGTTGCTTGAGTCTATGTTCTGTGTCCTGTGCCGTTTCAATTACGTCCGAATTAATTATCCTAAATCTGAGCTTACAAACTAAACAGAAAGCCACTCTGCTTCACAAAACAAAGAAACTTTATATACTGAAAACATGCAATATTTTACGAACACACATTTGAACACATTTGTAATAATTTTTTTACTGATGATGCAGCATGAGGAAATTCCTGAGTTTATAGTAACTGAAATGTCAACACAACAGCATCGGTCTGCAAAAGTGCTTCTCTAGCGCGTATCTGCTTCGCAAGTGGTGTGCGCCTCTTTCTTTGGCTCTGCACCAAGCTGGTAGATTTTAAGCAGCTGTTGATGCGATGAGCTAAAGTAAACATTCTAAGCACACCAGTGTGATAACAGCCTCCAGGGAACAGCCATTGCTGATCACATTGGTGTTATCATACGCTTCAAAGGGCTAAAAGTGTGTTAATATTCTCTTATTATTCAGTGATTTCTCGGTGTACCACTAGAAAGAAGCACACGTACCAGACTAGTGATACACATACCACAGTTTGAGAGCTGCCGCTGCTCGAGTTTTTCGCTTCACATCTATCTAATAAAAAATGTACAAAACCAAATTATATTGGCAGTAGAAATTTTAAATAACTTCTATTCCATAATCAAAAGCCATCTCAAGACCAGTGGGCTTTCTATAAACCCATTTCACCTGATATTGCAATTATTATTAAGTAAAGTTTATTTATAAACTAATTTTCGAGAGGATCACGTCCTTATGATTGTCCACGACTATTCCCAAATTAGCCTAAAATTTCAAGAGTTCACACTTAGCTCATGATTTTACATAGCTTGTTTAGCGTGCTGTCCCGGGAGCGAGCCCTGAGCTCAAAGGATCCTCGACCCCAGGGCTCCCCCCCTTTTGCAGGGCGAGTGGAGATTGAGCTCAGGTCTATCTCAAACTCCCCCGCTGCTGAGGCCAAGGCGAACTTCCTGAGAGCAAGACATTATAAAAAAGATTTAGGCTTATTTTATCTATAATATAGAGCACATTTGGATGGTGGGAGGAAACCGGGGAACCCAGGGGAAACCCACGCGGACACGGGGAGAACATGCAAACTCCACACAGAAATACCAGATGGCTCAGCAAGGACCCAACACCATTGGTATTCTTGCTGTGAGGCAACAGTGCTAGTCACTGGGCCACCGTGCTGCCCATTCTGGATAAAGGAGGAAGAAGAGGAGGAGGGGGGTTTCTTCCAGACGAAGATAGTTGTAGAAAGGAAATGAGGATATATATAGTGATTTGGGATCCTTTGATTGGAGGATCATAATTAGCTAATGTGGACCAGCTTGGTCAATCATTATCACTTATTCACCAAGCAAATGATTCCTGAATTACTATAAATAACCAGAGTTTCTACTTTCATCCTTTCTAGATGGGCGACATGGAGGCCCACTGCTGCCTCGGCAAGAATGTCTTTGGTTAGCATCCTAAACCAGTCGACATTTCTGTGCATAGTTTGCATGTTGCCCCCGTGCTTGTGTGGGTTTTTCCCAGGTTCTCCTGTTTCCTTCCGCAGTCCAAATAATATGCAACCTAACTTAATTGATCATACAAAATTGGCATCCTAGTCGCCGTATATCTCTCCTTAGCCATGCTTTTATCTGTCATTAGTCAGAAATAAGTCAGGCGAGTTCATCAAGACCTACCAGAGCTCAAACTCCCCTCTCGCCCTGCTAATGGGAGGTAGCCCAGGGATCGAGCATCTCATAAATCAATCATTAGCTAACTCTTGAATTATGAAATATTATAAGCCGTTTCAAGAGTTAATTGAAAATGCATTGAATGTTGAATGTGTTAAAACAACTACAAAGCCCAACAACTCTCTGTCTACTGACCTAGCTCTTAAACACAAGACGTGTTTGTTGAAGCATTCTAGCCAAAAGGGATTTGAAATGTTTCGATGTGAAAATGATAAGTTTAGTTTGGGGGCAAAAGAAATGTACAGTATGTCCTTTTACCAGTCCTGATTCTAAAACAAAACCACAGCGTCAGTGTAGATTTACAACAATAAAGCTATACGTTTACAACACTAAACCCAGCAGACACACAATGTCATAAGACATTGATATTAGGTTAGATTTAGGTCGATTTTGATGTTCAATAACAGCATGAAATGATGTTGAAATTTGGTTGATTTTAGGTTGTGTTGGAAAGAGACCAAAATCCACCATCGAGTGAACATCTCAAACTAATTTCATATTGATGACCAATACTGAGATTTATTCATTAAGTATGGCAACCTGAGATACGTCATAGAGAGAACGTCCACACAACTTCAAGCTGTAACATCATTAGACGTTGATATTTTTTTAGATTGCAGTGGAAAGTAACCAAAATGCAATGTCTGTCCGAGATTGGACATTGACGTAGGCCTGACACTGGGTCCTGATTCCAATCCGATTTTCATTTCCAAACAAAATGCAACATCCCATGATGTTGGGGTACAGCGTCAACCATGTTGATGTCCTGTGCCAGCTGGAAAGCTGCTGCTGTCTACTTTTATGTTTATATTTAAAGTGTCCAAGCTTATTTCACAATGCTAGAAGAAAGGTTCAAACACTTGCCTTAAAAGTAATTCAAAAAGGGGTCAAACTTTAATACAACAGAAGATGTAAATGCGAATTTCTTCATCATCTACTCATGATACATTAAAATCGAGACAGGACCAACTATGAACTGCAATCCAAAATATTGGGTGTCTGCTGTAAACATCTCCAATGTTTCAGGCACTAAATTGTAGCTCATTATCGTTTTCATTAAAAGATCTGTGGACACGCCAGAGCATTAGCCATGATATTATATGGCAACTCATCTGTTAAAAGAAGAAACCGTTTCCATCGTGTCTGCTGCGCTGGATAATGAATGACTCCTGACCAACTGCTGCCCTCATGCACACAAACACGCACACACAAAGCTTCACTTTCACACACACACTTTTATCTAGGAAAGTCCCTGAAGTTAATCTGGGAAAAAATTCTGTTTTGTGAACTGGTTGAAAGATTGCGTGTGTGATTCAGAGGTTCAGTTGAATATGGGCCACATGAACACACACACACAGAGAGAGAGAGAGAGAGAGAGAGTATGACTAAGCCTCAGAGTCTGTCTGGTCATTGCCCACCATCTCCCCAGACAACAATGACTCTTGTTTGTCTGCCTTAGTTTCTCTTTTAGTCTTCTGGTCTCAAACAATCCTTCATTTCATGTCCTCAATCAAAGTCTTCCCACAAGAACGATTTCACGCCATTTGCTGACAAAGGATCAACAGGTCTCAAGGCCCTGTTCCTTTGATCAAACCAAAAGCTCTGTTCTCTCCCTGAACATGCATGTCATTGTAAGTGCAAATTTTAAAATCGGGTGTGAAATATTGTGTTTATTGTGTGAAAACCAGGCACAACACAAAAATGCATAAATTGTTACTCATTGTGCTCAAGGCCATAAATTGGCCAGTCGTTTACTGGAGCTTGGCAAAAGAACTGTGGCCCCAACTGAGCCTAGTTTCTCTCATGTTGTAGAGTTTGGGATTCCTGCCAATGTCACAGTCAATAGGGCTGGACGATTAATCGAAAAGTAACCGAAATCAACATTCAGAACCTATAATCGATCAAACTTTTACAGTTACTTTTCCTACCATGTGTGGCGTCATGTGACGTCATCTGATCTCTGGTCAAGTAGGAACGATGGACCCATTCTTGAGCCTTACTTTGCACTTCATTGATGATGACTGGACGTAATTAATCAAATATAGTAGATACTGTGTGTTTCCTTCAATTATTTTAAATCAAGTTTTGCACTCTTCATTTAAAAATCTATCACTTGTAATATGTAAGCATATTAACTGTACAAAACTTGTTCGTGAATTATGAGGGCAAAAAAATTTAATTAAATAAAATAATCATTCATTAATCGTAAATGAGTTGAAATGTTTAATTAATTGTAATTAATTGTAATTGTAATTAATTGTAATCTAATTTGATTTAGATTTTAAGCCAAATCACCCAGCCCTAACATTTAGCTAACAACACTATTGTTACAATAACAACATTTATAATGAACCAAATCATCACAATTAGATTCAAAATTAAACCTTTTATGTCTATTGTAAAATGACAAGCGGATGAAACTAAATGCATTTGTAAACAGGGTCATTACCAAAATCTAGTTGAAAATGCATTAGATTTAGAGGATAAATGGTTGTTCCCAATTGTTGCCACTGGCTTGCTCGGTTTGGGACTTGTGGAGCTGCGCATTGATAAGATTGCTTTTCAGTGTTTGTAATTTCAGCAGTGAAATTTAAACCCCACTGAACTGAACTAAACTGAACATCAACTCTGAAAACTGAACTTACACTGTTTCAATTTACTAGAACTTCTATGTTAAGCTGCTTTGGCACAACCTACATTGTAAAAGAGCTATAAAAATAAAGATGATTTTAATGGAATTAGATTGAACTTCTTTTATAGGGTTAAAGCTTATGTGGTAAAATCCATTCAGACAGCCACAAAATTCACATACTGCTTGCCTAAAGAGCTAGCATGGGACTGTTATGGGATGTGCTATGGGAAAGTGCTCCAAAACAAAGCGTTTGTATAAACATAACTTTGATAATAAAAGCTGTATTCAGCACTAACAGTCTTGTGGGCAGTGGGAATCGTGTAATTGTGCATCGAGCGTCACGAGTTCAAGTCCTGGCTTGCAGACCTTTCCCAATCCCATCCCATCTTTTTTAACATACAATGTTACTAGGGATTGTTGTAAATAGGGATTAAACATTGATTAAATTTGCATAGAATCACCAAGAGGCGACACTCTAGTGCGATTTGGGGAAACAGCCACTAGATTGCGTGGCGGCCATTTTGGAATGAAAACTCCAATAGAAAAACAGCATATTATAAGTCTGTAAAATAAACTATTGAAAGTGCTGATGATTGTGATAGTATGTGTTGTATTGTCATCTTTTAAGTTGTATATCAGCTTTAATGCTCTTTTTAAATAAATAAATAAATAACAAAGCAGCTGCTTGCCATCACGACAGCAACAAGATCCAACGGACAGCCGATCGCTTTCACTCCAAAATGGCGAAATCTGGGGCTGTTGCTGGGCGCTGCTGTTGCAATGGAACGCTTATTTGAGTGTCTCCTCTTGGTGATTTTAAGCTATTTGCCGATAACAAAGACTATATGATACACAAGACATGTCACTAGTATCTTTTTGAATAGGGAAAAGTGTAACTGTAAATATGGTGAATAAAGCAACGCCCACTAGTACAGAAGCCGATCATCTATCGCTATATGGTGAAAAAAGCCCGCCTTCTAGTACAGGAGCCAATCATCGATCGCTATAGACTGACAATACTCTGGGGGAGGGGCTTGGACCAGACACGAGTTTCTGCAGATTTTTTGTGATTTGAACATTTAGAAATGAAACTAAAGGGACAGTTGTTGTTTAATTTTATTGGTTATTCCTTATATGAAATTTAATGGTAAGCTTGGCAAGCAGTTTTGGAGAATTAGATGTTTCCCCATTCAAACAGAATGCCTGAGCATACTGCATAAGAGATGGCCACCAAGTGAAATGACTTGCCTTAAAGGAACTTTGCCGACAAATCTTAAGATTTGGGGGCCGATAACCGATAAATAGGCTGATGATAAAAATAAAAATTTCAAAATGTTATATTTTCATAGAGTGAACAACTGGTTTTAATTTTAAAACATCACAAAAGTTTGAATTGATCTTATGAACTGAACAGTCTACTCAAAGCAAAAATGCAATCGTTTCAAAATTGCAAGGTTATTACATAGACCAGTCAGATTTTGAGCGAGTTAGCGATTTAAATTGGACAAGTCTAAATAAGCTTGGCCAATGCATGCACAAGGCAGGCAGTTCTGTACAATTACGTAACCTATCGGCTTAAAGAAATCAATTAAAGCCTGAATTATAAGATATATAAATGTTAATTTGAATAGTTTATTAATCAGTTACTTGCGCATTCTGAATGAACAGAAAAAAACACCAACTATTCTTAAATAACTGCTTTGCTGCTAATACAATAGTTGATTTAGTAATGAAAAATTTATGTTAGTGCTTAACAAACTATGAATGAACCATTTGCTAATGCTTAACAAATGATTCATAGTGTGTAATTATAGTCTTACTAAGTTCATAGAATGAAACTTAATAAAGACTGAGGCTAACTTGTAAGTGTGTGCGTTACCTGTCTGTTTATAGGTGTGTTTATCAGGCCACAGCACTGAACAGAGCGATGTGAGTACAAGCGTTCCCAGTCTCCGAGCATCTCTGTCCGGGCCGCTGTAGTAGTCAAGAGAATCGGACGTTAACACAAACCAGAACCTCCTCTGCCGAAGCCAACCTCCCTGCACCTCCCGCAGGAGCCAGCCTGGGGAAAACAGAGAAAGGAAAGAGCCATATTACACACCATAAACACTGCACCAGCCCCATCCAACGAGAATATAAAGCTTCCATCACCAAATCTGACAGAAATAAATGATGTGCAGATTGTAATGTCATTCTTTGAGAGCTAGTTCATGCCTAGTCAGACTGAGTGCTCACAAAAAAGGCGGAAAGGCACAAACCAGTCCGTCCACATCCAGATCAAAACCGCGTACTAAACCTCTGCTCACCAAATTTAATGGAGGGTTGTGTTAAGGTCACACTGGGGATAAAAATCTCCCTGCAGACCTTCAGAAAGTTTGTTGTTTATGCACAAATGGGTATCAGAGCCAATAATCAGGAACATTTCATGGGAAACCCTCATGACACCCAGACCATGTTACCTTTTTTCCGCTGCTGCTTGCAGATGTGTAGCACCTGCTACCTTTCCCTTGAATTTATGCATATGTGTGTGTGTGTGTGTGTGTGTGTGTGTGTGTGTCAGGCAGACAGACTGGGGGAAGACTGTCTTATTTAGCAGCACCGTGGGCCAGCATGAGACAGCCTGGCGGAGCATTTGGACCCATCTACACTAATATTACTCTACCCTGTTTATTATTACTCATTACATGTGATTGAGTATTATTACCTCTCTAGAGCAGCAAATACCGTTCAGCGCTCACATTTACACACCCTGAGATCATAGACGACTTGGAATTACACACACACACACACACACACACTTAAACTTGTGGTCAGCAGCTTAAGTGATGGTTAACGATGTCTATCTGTCTCAGCGGGTGCGGAGTGTGTCAGTCAATCCATGCGTCACTGGCATTACTAAAGCTAGAACTGATGCATATATATGAGTGAGTGTCAGTGCAAGAGTGTCTCTGTGTTAGTGTTGTCACATTACTGAATTTCAGTACCAATTGGTCTAAAGCTTTAAAAACATCCACTTCTCGCTAACATTTAAGCGCTGTTGAGCGTGTTCTTAAACACTGCTGATTTGCTGTTGTGTTTACATGCTCAACAGAAAGGACTGTGATTGGTCATGAAGGTCATCAGTTCACCACTGTTTACCGGGTGCAAACAGATACATGCCACTTGATCATTTTAAAGCCACGAAGATCAGCTGATGTGTCTATGACCTGACACAGGAGAGATCCGCTGATAAATGGCGACTTTAAAATGATCCAGTGCCCCTGTGTCTGTGATTGCACTCAGTAAACAACGGTGAGTTTGGTAAATTGATGACCTTCACAGCCAATAACTGTCATTTCTGTTGAGCATGTGAACACAATGGCAAATCAGCACTGTTTAAGGACGCAATTAAATGTTAGTGGAAAATGAACGTTATTAAAATTTTTGTACAGATTGGTACCGAAATTCAGTATCGTGCTAACACTACTCTGTGTGTGTGTGTGTGTGTGTGTGTGTGTGTAGCTGCAGACAGGAGTCAAAACTGTCTCTCGATTGAAAGCTGACAAAAATGACTCTTGTTGCATTTGGCTCAATTATTGAATTATTTATTTATGTGTTTGGGAGTTAATGGCTTTTTCACTCAACAGACGAAAGAAAGACAAATAGATTTGGAACAGAAACAAAGTGCGAGTAAATGCCAGCAAAAAATAAAGTGTGTAAGTATTTACTCATTCTGAATGCAATGTCAAATAAATGTTGCTCTTCTGAACTTCATATATGTGAATGGAAAAATGTTTTTATTTTATGATTATTGTGGCTTCCATAATAATTATTCTGAATGATTGCATGATGTGACATTGAAGACTGGAGTGTATGATGCTGCAATGCTGCAATCATCACAAAAATAAATGACATAAAACGTGCACTAGTATATATATATATATATAAATAAATAAATAAATAAATCACATTCCAATATGAATCTTTTTCTTTATTTTGGATCAAATTAATGCAGCACTGATAAAAGTTAGACTTCTTTCAATAACATTTAAAACATTTGATTTAACTTTAAACCTGTCAATTACCAATAAATAATTACCTATACCCATTAATAGATACAAGCAACAGTAAGGCTCAAGCACACACGTACGGTCCGTCAAGCTTGCGCGTGGTTGTATTGCCCTCGCCGTGACTGACGCGCACCTCTCAAAAAAACGTAACTATCGCAACGACACATAGCGCAAGCTCTGTAATTGGTCGGCTTGTTAGTGTTGACAAGCTTGGGCGGTGCTGAGAGCCGCGAGCTCAATGAAGCAAGTTTACAAGTGTCATGAAGGACCTCCAGATGGAAACTTTTGTTTTGTGTTTACCTTATGATTGAAGATGTTGCACGTTTGCTGGTTCCCACTAATTTGAGCTACTTGTAGCGTTCAGAAAAAAACTCGACAGAGTAACATAAAAGCCTACTGCCACCTAGCGTGTCAGAAGTGTTATTGCAGAGCAACACAAACAGCACGCGGAAGTATACATGCAAAGCTACATGCAAGGCAGGCACCATGGGTCACGCCTATCACTAGATGCAAAAGTATAAATCAGCCTTTAGTCCATTTTATTATAAGACTTGTTTAATTTACAGTAATTATAATTATAGTATCTCTTGCTCTAGATTGTATGGTTTGTTACATGAAGACTGATGGGTCAACATTTTAAATAAAGTTTTCTCCCCGTAAGAACTTTGGTCTGCTCACTTAAAATCTAACCCTTTAGGTAGCCAAGCATGCATGTGTGTGTGTAAAACATTGTTTATTGAGCTGCACCCAAGTTTGTAATGAACTCACTACATTCAAATATAAATGATCCTAGTATCATGTTCAGTCTTAGAAACGGTCATCTAAATGTATACATGATTTAAAACCAGTGGTGGAAATACTAAAGTAAAAGCACCATTACTTGCTTAAAAATAAAAGTATCTGCTGTAAACATTACTCAAAGTATGCGTAAAAAGTAGCCCTTTTAAAAGTACTCAAGAGTAGTGAGTATTATGCTGTAAAAAGCTGATGCATTTACATGCACTTTGTGGATGTGTGTAAACGTAACATTCTGTAGTGCATTTAGTGATTGTTTAAGGACATTTTGGTCATCACACAGTAAACATTCATCATCTATTCATCAATGACATACATCTAAACAGACTATGGGTCATTGAATGTAAAGATTTTAAACACGTTCTTGGAAACTTTTAATGCTTGCAATCAGTTTGCTGCATTTATAAATCCACGTATAAGACCACGTTTTGCGGTTGTTCTGAATGATGCGATTTACTTTCTATGTGTAATTTTGATTGGACGGGAATCACAGGACTGATTTTTCTAATTCCGAAAGACAGAAAAAAATAGTGACTGCAGATGGAGGAAAAAGTGGAGTAAAAGTACTGATACTGCACTAAAAATGAACTCAGGAGAAAGTAAAAGTATGTTAAAACTACTTGGTATATTACAATTTCTGAGAAAAAATACTCAATTACAGCAATGTGAGTTTTTTCTAATTTGTTACTTTACACCACTGATTAAAACCATACAGACATAATTCAATTCAGATCAATCTGATTCCAAGAGACATGTCAAAATAAATGGACAGACATGGTGCATGAAAACAAACAACATATGAATTAATCAGTGAAATAAGCTGAATTTCTTCCTCACCCTTTACGACCACCTCAGGGTCTTCATCCATCGTCATCTTAGTCTTCTGTGTGATCAGACTTCTTTTCTCCTCAGGAACTCCCGACAGACTGAGGAATATGAACACACAACACAGACGTCAGCAATGTGCCTACTGTAATCCAGTAAGTACTGTACAACCCCCTGCCTATCCCTTAAAAATACCCCCACACACACATACACCTTGAGGGAAGTTGGGGTCAACATCTCACTTCTGCTGCTAAAACAGACCCCAACAAAACCACTTCACATATGCAGACATTTCACATCTCACACACAAACACAACACACACACACGCACACACACATCCCTCCACCCTCCGCCACCATGGCCAGGCAGGGCAGAGCTTTATCGGTCTGGCAGCCAGGGAAAAGACTGAAAATAAACGTGACTAAGAGACGCCAAGGACACTCGCACGCAAAGAGGGAACTGGGGAGACTCAAGAATAACAAGAGTGGTCTAGGGGTAAGAAAATATCAAGTCATTGTTCACCAGAAATTATATTAATAAAAGAAAACACTATAGTTGGGATTTTTCCAATCCAATAGGCCCAATAAATAATCTAAATTAGGGCTGTGTTCACATTCTCAGTGTTTGGGATTGACAACCACATATACTTACAGATGAGAAATTGTGGATCTAAAAATGCCTGTTAAAAGCTTTAATACTGAACGTGATTACTGATTAAAACATGTACGCAAATTTTGAGTAATACGCAGGGCCAGACAGAATCTGCGGACATTTTATTTGCTATTTCTGCAAATAAATCCATTTGCAGTACTGTATATTTATTAAACACAGTTTAATCACAATCACACAATAAGCACTTGCATGCGAACTCGCATCAAACGTAGTTATATTGGGTCTAAGGGCTGGCGGCTGGCTGTTAAGGAGTGTGATAGCAGGCATGGATCAGAGGCAGGCGGCGTGGGTCAGAGGCGAGATATCAGGCTGGGTTCAGGGCAGGCGGCGTGGATCAAAGTCAAGGTATCAAGTAAGGTTCAAGGCAGGCGGGAGGCAAGGCAAGGTCGAGAAACAGTCCAGGTAATACACAGGAGATCAGGCAAGGAGATAACGCTCAGTAATGTCAGCAGGGCAGAACAAGACTTCGCAAAGGAGTGAGTGTGTGAGCTGCTTATATGAGTGTGTGGATCATCAGTGGGATGAGCTGCAGGTGTGTGTAGCAATCAGTGTATGAGCATGACGTAATGTTTAGAAGTCCGGTGATGGTGACCTCTGCTAGCCAGCGAGAGGAATGACTGGGACCGTGTCGGTGACAAAAAAAAATAATAATAATAACTTTTTTGTTTCAGGTGTACAATGCAAACCCAATCTAATTCTGTTTGGTAAACAAAGCAGGTCTCCCATGTCATATATCTACTAAAGAACAGAACATAATACGTTATAAACTGTATTGTAAATGCATCATTTAAACATTAGCATAGTCTAGAATTCTACTGAAATGAATATAATAACTGAACAATATATTAACACAAGTTTCCAGAAATAGACTCTATAATATAGAAATAGCTAAAAAATCTGCAAAAATCTGCATGCACAGATGCCACATGGGCCTAGTAAATAAGCAATAAACCAATCTAACCAGCTGCTGTACAAGCTGAACCACACCATCACAAATTATACAAAAATTAGGGCTGTGTAATTAAACGAAATTCAGTTTCAATTTAGATTTTGGCTTCTAACGATTATGAAAAAACATTAATCGAGATAAAATGATTATCGCATCATATGCCGCCCCCTTTCCAGTTTCACATGAAGATGACCAAAAGCATGTACTGTAATGTAATGCTTTCAGCACAATATGCATATCATTCATTGATGTACATTCGAATCGTTCACGTTTTTAAAAGCGCGAAAGAGTGCATGCTGTTGTGTGTGTGCGCTTAGCCTCAGAGACGAGCAGAGCACACACATCTAAAGTCATCTTATTGTGAGTGCTTTAATGGTCAAATACATGCATATTTGTGTCAAAACAAGGTATTTAGGGATAATTCATATTAACCCTCATTTATGTAATAAACAAACGAATCAAAAGACATGTGAAAGAGAAACCATTAATCAGAACTGCACTGCTCCTAAAGTGACAGCGCGCAATATTCCTGCTGCCGACTGTTTGAGAAAATCCCTCACTGCTCTTGACTGAAGGATTTTTGTAGCTATAATTAAAGCTTTTTTCCTTACAGTGAAGATGCTTAAAACACAGTTTGTTTCTTATTTTTATTCTATTGTATTTATTTCCCTTTCCTTATTTACAGGGATGATAATAACTGTATATATTACAGTTGAAGTCAGAATTATTAGCCCTCCTGAATTATTAGCGGCCCTTTATATTTTTCCCCAATTTCTGTTTATCGGAGATATTTTTTATCCCATTTCTAAACATAAAAGATTTATAAACTCATTTCTAATAACTGATTTCTTTTATCTTTGCTATGATGACAGTACATTAAATTTTACTAGATATTTTTCAACATACTTGTATTCAGCTTAAAATGACATTCAAAGGTTTAAGTGGGGTAATTAGGCAAGTCATTGTATGACAGTAGTTTCTTCTGCAGACAATCAAAAAGAAAAAATAAATAGTTTAAAGGGGCTAATAGTGTTGACCTTAAAATAGGTTTCAAAATATTTAAATCTGCTTTTATTTTAGCCAAAACAAAGCAAATAAGACTTTCTCTAGAAGAAAAAATATTTTAGGAAATACTGCGAAAAACTACTTGCTCTGTTAAACCTCATTTGGTAAATATTTGTTAAAAATAAATAAATGAATAAAAAATATCACAGGAGGGCAAATAACTGTGATTGTTTTGAATAATAGCGATTACAATTATGACCAAAAGTATTGTGATTATGATATTTTTGCCATAATCAAGCAGCCCTAACAAAAATGCATACAAAAACAATTCTATCATTTTGAAAGCGGTGCAGAATGACATCAGGACGCAAAAAAGAATTCATTTTTGGTTCCCTTGAGATTTCCCTATGAGGTTTTACAATGGGCTTTTTCAATTTATATGAAGCATGATGTCTGTGGTAGATGCAACTTATCACAAATGAAAACCCAAAACACACTAGATGTGTGTGTTTGTGTGGCTCGCAGAGGCTTTTTTGCACCATGTGACCTGACAGACTATGGTTGTCCAGACTAGTTCCATTCACAAAGCAGAGCTTGACCAAAAATATGGCTGTGAGTCTTGAAACTGTATGGTTGAGAGCTCTGTTACAAAATGTGGTTGTCACACCCCTAAAGAGCCAAAATGTGCATGAATGAAACCATATTAATGGCTTAAAAACAGAACTGACAACCGTTTTCTTCTGTTGTGTAAACATAGCATATGAACAATCTTAACGGGACCGTTTTTCTGAATATGTTTCCATGTTAAATAAATGAATTTACTCTCATGGTATATAAAAAACTGGTTAATAAATTTGGTTTGAATAATGTAAAAGAGTCATACTGTTATCCGAATGTACAAAATCAAGGTAAAAGTGTCTGTTAAATGACTACTTACTCAGTTGGACTAAACCACTCTTGTTAAGAGCACAATAACAACTTGTAATAAAAAGGTAAAAGATTAGTTAGAGGGGGTCATTAGTTAGCATTAGCAAATGATAGATGATTTGAGGAATGCTGGGAGCACAAGCACCTTGAAGCAGACAGTGACTGATAGATAATCACTCTGATAGCACTGGCACTCAGACAGTCTAAAACACACACATGATCAAAAAGAGAGAGCAAGGAAGTGCCGCATCAGCGGAATTTAATTTGACAGTGTGTTGATTAATTAAATGAGACATTCCTGTTATCTGAGATGACTTGACTTGGCACTAATTATTTGGACTAACTTATTTCTAATCCAAATTACCCAATTGTTGAGTCAATCAAATAGAAAAAATGGTGAGAAGAACCCATTTTCTCCTGCTGATGGTTCAGAAAAAACATCTTGGTTAATCCCAGAAATCATATCATCACTAAATGGATTGAGACTGGTCCAATTATAATGCTCAGTATGAAAGATATTCATTCTGAGGTTGTCTAAAAATTATATATTGACCTTATTCTTTCATGTAGGAACAGGCGCAGCCATTACAGATGAAATGTTCAGAGATTTCTCTTTAACTTCCACAGATTTTTAGCTATTAAAGTAAAATTGATCACTATGTTGCGCTTGATGTAAAACACACACACACATATATATATATATATATATATATATATATATATATATATATATATATATATATATATACACACACACACACACACACACACATACATACATATACACATTCTTAGCTATAAGTAGCTTGACCATTTACTGTCATTTTGCTATACACTCTAAAAATGCTGGGTTCTCATGATTCAATGTTGGGACAAATACAGACAAACCCAAAACCTTGGGCTAAAAACTGTCATTTAAATTTTAATGAACCCAATGTTGGGTCTGTTCATATTTGACCGAATGTTGGGTTAAGACAACCTAAAAGTTTATAGAGTGTAAGCAACTGACTATGAAGACTTAAATTACAGAAAGCGCTTACTTCTGCATTGCAGAATACAGTAAATAGCTCTGCTTTGCATTTTTTATACACTCTAAAAAATGCTCAACTCATTCAAGTTCTGACTCGTGGTCATTTCCCTTTAAAATGGCATAATATTATACTATGTGCTGTGCATAGCATCAAATAAGCTAGACGTTTTCCAAAGCACTAGACCTTTAGTAGCATGATATTATTATTTGTATAACTCTTTCATTCACTTGAATATAATTGATATTAGAGCTGCACGATTCTCTCACGACAGAATCGTAGAAATGCTGGATTAAGATCTTCTAGGGGGTCGAATCGAGATCGCAATCTTTTAACGATTAATTGTGCAGCTCTAATTGATATCTTAAAATGAAAGTATATTCGATAGATGCTGATCGTGATCAAAATAAAAGCAATAGATGACTACGATACATGACACCTACATAGGTACTTGTCGAGGAGCACTTTCGCCGCACAGAGATGCCCATACTAGGGCGCGCGGGTGTTTTAAGCTATATT